GCTCGCTGATAAACCACGTTAGTTGAAAATTACGATTTTGTCGAGTGTAATGTTACGAGGTTTGTGTCACGATTCATTAATTCACGTGACCTCGAGGACCTTTTGGACCTTAGGGTCCCAAAGGTCCTCAAAAGATGATATAGGGTATATAAACATTCATTTAGTCTCGTAGTTAAGGAGCTTTGTGCTCAACTTAGTTATCAATTAGTTTACCTACATTCTACTTGATCTAGTAACGACTTCACTTCCAAGTGAAGACCAGTGATAAAGCCTTAACCCACAACTACCAAACAGACGAAACCTTAGGCAGCCGCTGCCTCCAGTATAGTATCGTTACAGTTTGCCGTCTAGATCATGTGGAAGTGCTCTAGACTCTCGAGGTGGTTTATAACTAAGTGTCAAATAGGGACTTAAGTAATGACAATAATACAATTCATAATTAATAATAAAGTATACTAAATGATTGATCTTGATCTTAAATATAAAACTCTATACAAAGGGAATCCATCTTGATTATATAAACCTTCGTATTCCAACATTGGAGCGAGGGAGCGAAGGAGCGAGATTCGAATTTCGCTCCTTCGCTCCCTCTGTCACACTCAAGAATACTGGGTAAAGTATCTTGTATTAGAAAATACTAAGCTAAGGAGAAAAGAAGAAGGAAAACAAGAGTAGCGAGTTTTCCTGTGATTAAATACAAACGGGGCATGCCACGTGACCCGGAGGTGTGAGGCGTCACACCCTCGCTCCCTCACAAGACTATCCATGTGATCCTATAACACATGATAATAGTTTATAATGTTACAACGTAACATGTAAAAGGTGGCCGAAAAGTGGGGTACTAGACTTATTTCTTCTTTTTCTTCTTTTTTACTTGGAGATAAAATAATTCTTTTCTTATTTATTTATTTCTTTAATTCTTTAATTAATCAGTTTATTTTGATATATTAAAAAGGCACTTGAAAAGATAAATAAGTGATTACTGCTCTATATTTAGTAATTAAACACTTATTTTATTCCAGCCTTTCATCCGATGTCATTTATCCATCCATCCTAATTCATCTCCTATCCCTCATCTACATCCACATGCACATCCCATAATTCATACCCCCTAACTCCAACACAACTAAACACAACTCCAACCCTATCCCATACTATCCCGTTGACGATCCCGCTTGAGAATTACCCAACCTCAAATTAACTTTTTCCCTATGCCCCTTATTCTTTAAATGAACCTCAAAATTTCCCACCGTGGTATCCGGTCCTGGTGTATATAATTTACCAGGGCAATCATGGCATCTGATTCGAGGAAGGTACATCCATTTTATACCTTCAGGGGTAGTACCTGGAGGTGGAGCAGGAACTGGAGTTTCGGATGAGATGGAGACGGCGGAATAACGCATCATGCCTTCAAAACGATCATTGGGGTATTGTTGGTGAAGGGCTGTTAGACCTGTGGCTAGCCAGGATGGAGGTGGTGGTGGCTTTATGAAGATGTTAGTTGAGGATTTGACAAAGTGCCAAACGAAGGCTGGTGATTTATTGAATCATGTAAAGTAATAATTAAAGGATTGAGAAATAAACTTACAGGTGGAAGAACTTGACCAGGGATTGGTGCTGGAGCATCAATTCTACCAATTTGACCTACTGCTACAGCATTTACTGGTTGTGGTGTAGGTACTGGTGCTGGAGTTGTTGCTAATGGTTGAGCTGCTTGTACTCCAGGTGTTGAAGGTGGTCCCATAGATCCTGGTGGAGCAGGTGTACCGAATGTTGATGTTGCTCGAGTCATAGAAGGTGTTTGTTGACTTGGACGACCTTTGCCTAAATCTCTGACTAATTTCCTGAATTTTTCTTTTGGCATTTTTAATCTGATTACCAATGTAGGAGTATCAATACTATCCTCTCGAGCATCACGACCAAATTTCCTCGCTGACGTTCTGGTTTCATGATGATGTGCTAGCATAGCTTCTGGAGTTTCTGATCTTCCAATATTGGCCATCCTTTGTTGTGCAGCTGTAGCTGCTCCACGCATATTTCTCGTTCTTGCTGTACCTTGAGTCACTTGTACTGCGGGAGATTCAGGAGAAGAATCTTCACTGTCATCTGATTCTGAAAGATCTGCACCGTCTTGTCTACCAAAACCAGCACGTCTTCCTCTCCCTGATGGTACCCCTACTCGTTTGTATAATCGACTTTCCTCAACCGTCGCTGCTGCTCCGGGTAATACGGAAGATACAACCAAAGTTCTCACCGTTCTCTGTCTATCCTTCAAATCCGGTAAAACTGGTCCTCCTCTCCTATTTACAGATCTCTTTTGTCTTCGTTGCTCTCTTGAAAATACCAACTCATGCTTCTCTAAATCTGCTTCAGTCATCTCATACAGATACGGCGCAAACTCCTTAATTTGTTGATGTGGCCGGAATACTGAAGGTAGAGGTGAAGGTAAAAATGCTGCAACTAAATCGGCATCTTCTACCGGCCTTCCGTCGAATGGATGTCCAACACCATACAAACTCCGTATAAACAATTGACTTTGTTCACGTATGCAATGTGCTATTGCCGTAGTAAATTCCCCAGAAAGTGATAAATCTTTGGTCATACTTTGCGCAAACTCCTCTGGTGAGTTTAAAGGATTATTGATATCCCATTCGAATTTATCTTCTAATGTGTGTGGTCCAATGGTGATGTTGAGCTTGATGAGAATGCGCAACTCGTCATTCTTATAGGCTGTATATGGTAACATCTCGTCCAAAGGATCTTCTGGAAAATAAACCAGTGGGTTGAAGTCGACAATTTGATCATTCATTTGTTGTTGAACTTGTTGTAGTACTGGTTCCGCTACTGGAGTAACCAAACCTAGATCCGCTATAAGTTGTTTCGCAAACAACTCCGTGGTAACAGTTCGATCATGTAGATTCCAGGTAAAAGTATCTCGAAGTTTGACCTTATCCCAATCCACATCCAACCTTATGGGGACCAATTCTTCCACTTGATCTGCCTGCATAGCCATGTCTTTCCGCTTGATTCGTAATGGCTTCGCTTTCCTCTTCGCAAACTTCGCATGCGCATACAATATCCTCGTTGGACCATCTGTGACTCCATTTCCATATCCATCATAACCTGTTCCATATAATCGACTCGCTGTAAAGACATCTTTGAGACTTTTCACCAGTTCGTAATCTTGCGCTTCCTGGTGTTTGTTGGTAAAATAGGCTCGCCGTTTATCTTGACCATCGACAATGGCGCTAGAATGGACTAAAGTGTGATGAAGGTATTGCTCGAGAAGTAGCTTATCAAAATCGGATTTCGTCCGAGGTCGATGTGTTAGAGTAGAAGATTGAGATGAGGTAGGATTCGTAGAGTCAGAAGGTACAGCTGCGGTAGCTGAGGAAGATTCATCTTGAGGAATTTGTTGCTGTGGATCTTTTGTCATGGTGAAAACATTCGCGAAAACTATGCGACGAATAAAAGAGAACGAGTGGAAGAAATTGATTAGTAGGAAAATAATTTTAATTGTGAATAATCTAGGTAAGATCTTGATCTTACAATGTCATAATCGCGAACCATATAAACTTCGCGACAACATAATACACGGGGCGTGAGATTAGTGATAATGTGATATGTAATTGACTAGAATGGTTTTAATGGTACTCCATACTAGCTTTTACAGTTAAGCAAAAGGGACGTTGGTGCAAAAATTGGCGAGCTTGAATGTTCACCGCCCTGCTCATCTTGGACAGAATGAAGAATCTGCCATGTTTTATACTGGTTTACCAGTTTACTCCAATTTGATAAAAATACAATTAACTGAACAATTAATAATAACTGAACGACACAACTAATGATCAGTCAAAATGTTGAATATCGCTCCGCTGGTTCTCAGGGAGCTACTGCCCTGGAGGCAGACTACTCGGAAGCCAACTTTAGTGCATTTTAGTGAATGGTTGGATACTCTCTGTGGTAGATACCTATGTACCTAGGTAAGTCTAAGAAGCGATGATGTAGCTAGGTACACCTGGGCTTGATAGGTTGATGGATACAACGACTTGGAAATCTATCTTTTTATATACCTATTTGAACAGAGTAACAATCAATTTATTAATTCATATAATACTCAGTACATACATAGGTAATGCATCATTGTAAAGTATTATTACCTACCTTTAAATGCAGTATAATAATTATTTATTATTTATCATCATGATCATTTATTACTCACAGCGGCTACACGGTCGAGGCACAGGTGAGGTCACCCCCCAAGCGAAACAAAGCCCACACTTTCTAAAATCCTTCCAAGCTTCCCAAGTACTAATAAAGGTTCAGGAACATACGAGGGGGAAAATCAGAAGAAAACACTGTTCTGCACCTTCCGAGTAAAACAACCAAAACCACTTACTATCCACAAATCCCTCTCAGCATAACTCGAAACCATTACAATCATGGCCGATAAGAAGGAAGAAACTCAGGAGATTGGTCAGTTGTTCATATTTCCTTATTAATCGTCAATCCAATCTTACTTTGTTGATGTTGGCTTGCTGAGCAAAGATGAACCCCGCCAATGCGACTCGAAAGATACAAGAATTTGCAACAACCACCTGGGAAACAGCGCAAAGTACAGAGCACAATCAACTAACAATATAACAACATGTAGATTACTCTCTCAACAACCCTGATACCCTCACCAAATACAAGAATGCTGCTACAATCTCCCAAAAGGTTTTGAAGGATGTTACCGCCTTGTGTGTTGCCGGCGAGAAAATCGTCACAATTTGCGAGAAGGGTGACAAGCTCCTTGAGGAGGAGATCGCAAAGGTTTACCGAGGAAAGAAGATGATCAAGGGTAAGCAGACTCCTCTACTCATCATATTTATTCGACTAACAAACAGAAAAGGTATTGCCCACCCAACCACTGTTTCTCCTTCAGCTTTCGTAACTCCTTATACTCCTCTTACAACGGACGAAGCCGAAGCAAATGTTGTTCTCAAGGAGGGCGAGGCCATCAAAATTCAACTCGGTGCACAAATCGACGGATTCGGAACAATTGTCTGTGATACCATTATCATTCCTTCTGCTGAGAACGCAAATGGAGAGATCATTGGAAGAGATGCGGATCTCTTGTTGGCTACACACTACGCAAATGAGTTGTTGTTACGTTTGATGGTCCCTCCTGGATTGGTCCCAGTCGGAACAGAAGAGGAGCAGAAGAAAGCAGCAGCTGTTAAAGCTCCAACCCAAGCTAAGATCACAAGCTTACTCGAGAAATTGGTAAAGAGTTACGACTGTAACTTGGTCGAGCACACCACCTCTTGGCAATTTGAGCGCAACGAAATCGAAGGAAAGAAGAAGATTATCCTTGCTCCAGGAGATGGTACAAGAGGTGATGGTGTTCCGGAAGTCGGCGAAGTTTGGGGTGTTGAGATGGGTGTTTCCCTTGGCTCCGGAAAGATCAAGAACTTTGAGAACAGAACTACTCTTCACCGTCGTACCAACCTCACATACGCCTTGAAGCGACCAAGTTCTAGAGCGATTATGAACGAGGTTGTGAAAAAGTTTGGCACTTTCCCATTCAGTTTACGACAATTGGAATCTGAGCGTGATGCTAAGGTCGGTGTTGTTGAGTGTGTACGTGGTAACGTTTTCAGACAATATGAAGTTGTTGGAGACAAGGACAACGAGGCAGTTGGAAGATTGTTGACCACAATCGGTAAGTAATGATCAAAATATTTGCATTTGAAAGATTACACTAACACGTTTAGCAATTACCAAAAACGGTTTACAAAAGATTGCCTCGCCACCTGAGCCAGATCTTAGCAAGTTTAAGACTGATAAGAAGATCACCGATGAGGAGATCCTCAAGATACTGGAGCAGCCTTTGGCTAAGGACAAGAAGAAGAAAGCTGCCAAGAAGCCCGCTGCATCAGAGTAAATAGGTAGATGAGGAAATTGGACACGTGATAAGAGGAAGAGAGATGACAACTGAATCAGTTGAAGGCTGACAAATGGTCTATTTCAAACATCACTAAGAAAAACTACTCTTCCCTATTTACGTTTCTTGCTGCCGGCACTGCGTCATAAAGCTTATCAAGTATTCACTGTTCTTACTTCATTTGTTATTGTCATTCGGAGGAGCGACGGGCAAAATGTGGTAACTCGGGTCTGCATCCCATAGAAAGATTTTATTGAGCAGTGGAAAGCTTCTCAAATTCAGAGATATGCAGCAAATATATGAGTGCTGAACCACTGAACCAATCTTGCAAGTGAATTTACTCTTTTGATTATCGCGTGTTTTTATGACTTTCTCAGCTATGTGACGTGTAGCCACTCTGAAATGGGGTATGGCACCTCCTCTTTTTGAACGCTCGGTTAGCGTAGTTGGGTTTGAAGGCGAGATCCCAGTTCAATTGCCTAGTAAACGGTCACATACTTTCTTCGCTTCCAAGGTTCGAGCCAAAACAATACAGAATCATCCTCCCCTCCTGGGTAACATTTCAACCATACCTTTTCATCAACTTCATCAAGAACCGTCGCAAAAATTAATACGGAAGCTGTTTGCAGCCACTTACTGCCGCCCTATCCATCCAGCAGCCTCCTAAGCGACTCCAAGATCTTTGGGTCACCAGTTAATTTCATTTCGGTATCGATAAGGGCAGGTTACTCATTTCACCACCTTCTTCCTCTTCTGTTTTCTTCTTCCTCTCCTCCTGTGAACCTATTGTTCGTTGTCACTACCGCCTCACAAAAACAAGCAGTAAAGGTATTTTTCCTTTCCACTTTTGATGCTGTATTCTACCCCTCTCTTGATTCATTATTTCATGCTGTCTTTTCACATGACACGAGTACACCACGAGAAAACTTACGCGATCGATCACCTTTGAAATAGGGAGGATACATTTCCTTCAACAAAACACTTTTCCGTCGTAACGATCATCGACTAGAATCATTTATTAACCTCCTATGCCATATAGGAATTTCCATACTCATTTGGAGTTCCAATAGGCGGAATTCCGTCATTTGCCTTTTTCCATTTCGTGCAGCCCAAGATTTCGGCTCTCAAGGGGCGCTAGCTAAGGGATTTCATCTCGAAGCGAGAACTTGACTTTCTTTCCTCCTCAACTCAATCATACCACGATAATTCAACGCGTACATATCCCTTGGGAACAGCATTTGAGAACATTTGCATGATTGCAAACTGCAGAGAAGTACTTTAAATTCTTTTAAATTAAATGATGCATAGACTAACAATTTATTAGTTACCTCGGGAGTGCGATCGCAATTGAAAGGAGTCGGGTCGGTCGCAGGAGGCGACGAGCGAGGAAGCTATGAGCCAACTCAACTCCCGCCCAACACGCTCTCGTCGATCCAGTCCTTTTGTTTCCGCACAACGCAACTCGAACTCTTCTCCAGCTACTGCCGCAGATACAGGTCGAAAAAGAACGTTTATGGACAAATGGACGGAGCCTCCTATTCCCACGCCTTTGCCGTCTTTCGCAGAAGCTGGAATGGAGAGGCACGGAGTGGTCGCAAATATGGCACCACTTGGAACGCGACCGAGCGCAAAAGCCGTCAAATCTTCTGCCAAGTCAGAGGCAGCAGATGCGAATGGGAGCAGACCTAATGGTGTCATAGAAGTGGTGGATGATGCTCCTCCCTCTTTATCGGCCACACCTCAAGAAGCAATGGACACTACAGAACCTACCTCGAACGTTTCACGACGAAGGTCGACATCTACAAGGATTGAGGATACTGAGCATGCTTCGCCTTCGACTCCGCAACATCCAAGAAGTGCACGAAAAAGCATTACTAGATCGAGTGTCGCACCTCAAAGCGTACGCAACGAAAGCGAAGGACCTAGCATGTATGCGACTTCTCCTGCTCAACGCACACCTCTCCCACACGAGTCACCTTCTCTAGGTTCTTCTTATCATAATCACAAGATGAATTATACGTATGATGAAAGAGATGAGGCTCGTCAAAGGGAGGGACGGGCTCGGGCAGCCGAGGCGGCTTTCCGCAGAAAAACTGCCAGGATGGTGGAATTAGCTGTATCCCAAGCCATCGAGGAGCAGCATTGGTGTACTGCTTTTGCTTTACGAGAACTATTCGACGAGGATCCAGAGAATTTTGGTGCACTTGTTGAAAAAGTGGTTTACGAGGAGGCTACTGAAGAGGAGATTCGGGATTTTACCAGATTGATTTCAGTCAAGAAAAAGGAAGGTAGAAAGGACAAGACGGCTGAATATTATTTCAACGGAGATGGTAGTGACCCCGCACCTCATCGACCGCGACGTCCTCAAGCTCCACCACCGCCACCGGCCCAAGCTATGATTTTCCAACCTTTCAAACCAATATTTGAGACACAAAGACCTACGTACTCCTCGCCATATGCTTCCCCATATGCTTCGATATATGCTCAGCCACCCCCACCTCCACCAGCTGCTTCTACCAAGAAAGAGACAAGAGCAGTAGCAGCTGATTCTGTTAGGCGTCCATCAGACGTTAAACCATCCTCTACATCTGTATCTCCACGGAATCAGGGGGATCATGCTCTTTATCCTAATAAAAAGCACAAAGCAAATAGTTTTACAGCTACAAATGAGGAAGTCAACGATAAGTCAATTGCAAGTGCAAGTGGCGTTGATGGAATCAAGAAGCAACAGAACGGGGTTGCGTCGGCTTCTTCTGGTGCAATTTTATCATCCCCACCACCAAAATCATCGGACCGTCCGAGAGCAGTCTCAATCTCAAGCTCTTCATCATTGTCATCAGTTGACGAACAAATTCTTGATAATGAAGAATATAGTCCTATGGATTTTGACCACGCTCCTAACCATGCTGGTGCAACTAAATCTTTGAAGGGTTCCGGAAAATCCAAGGGACAGGGTATTGTGGAAGCGGGTAACGCCAATGCCAACGCGAAATTTGGTGCATCCGTTTCAACCGAGACCCAGTCAAATGTGGGAGGGTCAATCAATCAAAAGCAGCCAATCAAATCGAGAGATTTGTCTAGGTTCGAATCCGATACAATTTCAACCAAGGCAAACAAAACCAATAATAAAAGTCGAGCTCTAAACAAATCTAAAACTTCGTCACCTGCGCATCCATCCTTCCAAGCCATTAATATCCCGACCAGATCTCATAACACAACCATAAATTTAAGTTCTGGCGTTGATACGGAAAATATTCAGGCTAATTCAAATATGGCACCTGAATTAATACGTACCTCATCGTCTTCTTCTGTTGGATCAGTACCAATATTGAAGCCAGTGGTGCCTAAAAAGCCACAGATCGTATTCAAATCAAAGAAGAAGCAGGCAATTGATCGCCCTACTTATGAAGAGAGCGAATTGGTTGGTAAATGGAAGCGCCAGGCGCGACAAATTACCAATGGTATTACTGAGGAAATACGCACTGAAAGCTTTGTACGTCCTCATATAGAGCCTAGAAGTGTAACACCTCCAGTTCGAGCTATTGAATACACATCTGATGGAGGAGATTCTGTGTCTGTTCCTACCGCTGCCGCTGCAACTTCTAATCGTCCAGCCAAAACTATTCGACTGATCAATAAGAATGAACGAGCCAGCAGAAGACAAACCACTACTGCCTCTGTTAACAATTATGATTCGGAAATGAGTTCACCCACCGGACTTGGATTTCAACCAGATTTACCTCCTGGATCGTTACCAAATTCTCGTGCTGGCACACCCTCATCTAATCGACCATCTAGAAAGGCAAAGAATGGCACTGGTCTACGTGTCAAAACTTCGTAAGTTTCCATACTTTATTTTAAGTCTTTTGTATCACGTCAGATTTTCTATTTCTACATCCTTTGGGAGAAAAGAACTTTGTATCTCTTAACTCATTATTTTCCTTGGGCCCCTCTAATCCTCGCCACTTCACCACATCGTTTCAAGTGCACCTGTCGCATCGTGTTGTATCCTCATGTTACACAACAAATCACAGATGGGATTTTCTTTCACCAGGAATTGAATCAAAATTTTTATTTCTTCTTTCTTTCTTACTTAAATGACCAAAATAATTCGCTAACAATTCTTTTCCCTCGCACAGACCAATGAAGAAAAAGAGTGGCCCTTCAGCTGGTATCCCAAGAGCGAGCGGTGAGCGGAATAGTCCAGTTGGAGGTTATTATACAAATCAACCGGTAAGCCATTTTCCTTCAAATAAGTGTATGAGGTACCGACGACGATGGTGGAAAGGATAAATAGACGATGTTGTAAAGTTCTTCATCACTTTTTGTCACTTTTTGTCGCTTTTTCTTTTCCGCTCCACCCTTCTATCCCTTCACTGCATCCTCCTCTACTCCGTACATCTTCTACGCTCTTCACACTATCGCCATTGTCATCATTATCATCAAAAAATCGTCATCATTTTACTCGAGTCCCTCTTTTATATGATATTCGATGATGAAGTTATGATTCGATGAAAATGATGACTTTGATATCTTCTGAAATAAATTTGGTTCTTGTTATGTTGCATTGTTGTTTCAATAATCAGGAGGCTGGGTTCTGCGGAAATTTTGAGAAGAAAAAAAAAGCTGCAGTCCGGGCGGATAGCAGATAGCGCAAACTCTGATAATAATCATGGTGGATTGTGGATTATCTACATCAGACCCATTCGTCTTTGCCGAGCAGAAAACCCCCACATATGAAACCTTTGCCACCTTCACATTTCATTATTCATCATCCTATTATTTGTAAAGAGAGTTTATTATGGTTGTGTCTTGAACAACCAAAAAGCTGACATATGCTTGAACAGACTGATGGAGATAACGATGACTATTGTACGTCTTGTGGCGGCAATGGTAAGTTACTTTGTTGTGACGGATGCACTCGATCTTTTCATTTCAAATGTGTAGATCTTCCGAGTGATCCGGAAAGTTTAACAGATGAAGAATGGTATTGTTATGAATGTCTTGGGAACAACGTTCCTCGATCGAAGGATGAGGAAGTTGGATTTTTTGGTCCTTTGTTGGCAGAATTGGAGAGAAAGAATCCAAGTGCTTTCTATCTCCCATTAGCAATTCGGGAATATTTCGAAAATGTCAAAACTGGAACTGAAGGAGAGTACGAAGAAGGTGTTGTACAAAAGCCAAAGTAAGCTTACCTCTTGTAATATTCTTGGCTTTTCCTTACTAACCACCCATCAGAAATAATCGTGGTTATGATGAAGCTCCGGATTACTTCAAATTGAAGGACAACAAAGGAAATCCAATTCTCTGTCATAACTGTCACCTCTCAGCGTCTCAACCAAGTCGAGCAATCATTCCATGTTCTTATTGTAGTCTCTCATGGCATTTGGATTGTTTAGATCCTCCACTTGCGAAAGAACCCCCACCTGGAAAATCTTGGAGATGTCCAGCTCATGTTGATGACCTTCTCGAGAAAGTACCAGGATCTTTAGGTCCAGCTCATCGTTTCCGAAAGATCAAAGGGGCTTCACTCATTAAACCTGTCCTTGCTCGTGGCATTAGAAATAATGGTCATATTGAGGTTGAGAACACTGCCTCTGAAGATGAAGATCAAGGTAGTGGGTTTTACGAGCAGAGAGAGTATGGACATGTGTATAAGCTTCCAGAAGAGGGTATCAAGCTTGACTTCATTTCACGGTATGTATTTCCTTCGGCTGATGAAAGTTTATTTACTGATTAATTGTATAGTATTCATCGTGAATTTGGACAATACAATCAACGAAGCTTTACCAACAATAGGACCTCTATTCCGAAGCCACGATCACAAACCGTCGATTTTAGCAGGCGTGACATTGATGAACAGCAAGCTGCTCTCAATCTTGCATATCTGGCCACAGCAAATCCATCAATTAATCTTACGCAAAGTCTAATTGATGCCTTAATTGTAAGTTAGCTTTCAATTGTATCTAAATCTCAAACTACGTAACATAATGACGTAACACCAACGCTAATCCAAAATCCCTTTAGTCCGAAGCCGATGAACCTGTTATCAAGTTAATAGCACAAGGAGATGCGTCAAAGCTTTCCAAGAATAAGCCATTAACTCAAGCTGACAAATCATCTTTGGTGGCTATGACAGCTTTTCTGCAAGAGCGTCTGGCTTCTACCGTTAACGATAGAGAAGTTGAGGGTAGCCGTATGGAGGTTGATGATGAGGAAAGTCTGATTGGACGTGTTGATGATTCTGATGAATAGGAAGACTCGTGACTCCACATCATCAGAATCGGACATTCATAAGTCGATCAGGTTGACATCGACTTCATGTGGGCAGCGAGAGTGGGGACTAATATGAATTGTCTCGTGATATTATCATCATGTGACATTGTTTGGGAGAATACCAGACATTCATGCTACGTTCACCCAGTATCTTTCACCTCGAGTTATCAATGACAGAGTGGTATCTCTGCACAACTGAGTCAATATTCCGATAGTAAGCATAGCTTGCTGTGCCGAAAACGAATATTGATTATTACTTTCTATCCTGTTTCTTTTTATTTAGCTCTGGCATGCATTTTTTCATTTCTGTTAAACCACGCTTTTCAATCTACTCTGTCTTGTGAGATAGGAAGACACAAACAAAGATTATTTCATACTTGTATCATAAATCATATCATACGACACAATTCTTTTTGGGCAATGCTTAAGAGCATATTTGAGAGTGGAGGATGGGATCATTGGTGCAGCATGGCGTTTGGTGGAGTTTTTTTCTTCTACTTCATCTTTTTCCTTCTGAGGTGTTTGGGAGAATTGAGATTTTGAGATTTTGCGGGTACTTGAATGTGTTGGTGCATTTTAATGGGTTGCGGGGATTGAGGAGTGAGCAGTGAGAGGTGAGAGGCAGTGGAGGTTGGCCTTTTGATTTTTCTTCTTGGGAGAAGTTTGGGTGAAGATGGCAGAATACCAAGAGTGTGGTGGTGGTGGTTTTATTGGTAGAGGGATGAATAGTCGGGTCGGCGGATCGATCGTAGAGAAAGAAGGGGAGTGTGGGATGATGCTTTTTATCATACCATACCATATCATATTATCTGGTTTTCTGATGGTATGAGATGAGAGGAAAGGAGAGGAGAGGAGAGGAGGGGAAGTTTCTTTTGATTTCCTTTACATCTTACATCGCATTGGTGGATGGGAGGGATGGAGGAAGGTGGAGGATTTGAAGAAAAAAATAAATAAGGGGGGGAAACGTTGTATGATAATTGCTCCTTCTCCTGCTACTGCTGCTAGCGAGGAATGAGGAATAAGGAATAAGGGAAGAAGTGAGGATGTGAAGGAAAGAGGAGTACTAGGTAGTGATACTAGGTAGTGACATACCATCGGAAATTAGATGAGGAATTATGTGATATGATATGATATGATATGATATGATATGATATGATATGATATGATATGATATGATATGATATGATATAATATGATATGATTTGAAATTATTGATGGAATGAAATAAAATGATTGGACAATGTGAATTCTTTAATATATATATAAAAATAAACTTTTTATAAGTATATAATCTCAAGATTGATTTTAACTTTATATTTAAATAATATAGTATACACATATACAAATATGAATACGAATAGTAATTTATTTCCCCCCCCCCTTCCTTAAAAAAAAGATATAATATTAAAAGAAATGACCTTACACAGGGAATAGTGAGAAGCTGACAGGGCAGAACTGAGGCTATATTGGGCTTTTATATGAATCACACATTGTCTCTATTCTACAGAAGTGCGAAGCTCTTCTACAGAGAGCTTCTCAATCTAGTCCTAATAGGACTAGTGCCTTGTGTACGTGCTAAGCAGAAACCATTCACTTTAATATATAATATATATATAAGGGTTTCTGAAAGTGAAGAGAATTAGCTCAAAACCTTTTTAAGATTAACTCTTTTTAAGGAATACTATTTTCATATAATAAATTACCTTTATTAATTGGGAATATTTCAAAAAAAAACAATTTCAATAGATTTTAATCTATAAGAATCATTTATTTATTTTGTTAAAGTGAATGGTTCCTGTGTAGCACGTGCACAGGGCACTAGTCCTACTAGGACTAGATTGAGAAGCTCTCTATAAGAGAGCTTCGCACTTTCATAGAATTTAAAAAAGTGATTAATCTACTAGATCAATATTAACTTAGTTCTACTCTATGTTACGAGGTTTGCCGTCTAAATCACGTGGAAGTGCTCTAGGCTCTCGAGGTGGTTTATAACTAGGTATCAAACAGAGATTTAAAGTAATGACAATTGTGACGGAAAAGTCGTAAACGGAGTCAATTCAATCACTTAGAATCTAAAACTAAAGAACTAAGAAGATTCTAAGTAAGAAGGTCTTTATATACAGGGCTAGTGCACGTGAGCCACTAGTGGGATAACAACCGTCACGTAACAACAATAATATAATTTATAATTAATAATAGAGTATACTAAATAATTAATCTTGAATACAAAGTTTTATATAAAGGAAATCTATTTTGATTATATAAATCTTTATATTTTAATTGATTAATAAGATCAATATAACTCAATACTGAGTTTGTTAATCCTTACTAAATTAATCATATGATATTGATAACATATAAGCATTTTTGTTACGACGGGCTACACAACTACCAAGACACGTGATCACAAATGATCAGTAGTGATCATTAAGGATCACGGTATAGGTGATCACTGGTGATCATTAAGGATCACTAAGGATCACGATATAGGTGATCATTGGTGATCATGAAGGATCACCAGTAATCATAGAAGCATAAAGGACTATATAATCAAGATGGATTTCCTTTGTATAGAGCTTCGTGCTCAAGATCAATCATTTAGTATACTCTACTATTAGTTACGAATTGCATTATTGTCATTACTTTAAGTCCCTGCTTGACGCCTAGTTATAAACCACCTCGAGAGCCTAGAGCACTTCCACGTGATCTAGACGGCAAACCTCGTAACATCAAGGTGGTTTATAATTAGACATTAAGCAGGGACTTAAAGTAATGACAATAATGATATGCAATTCGTAACTAATAGTAGAGTATACTAAATGATTGATCTTGAGCATGAAGCTCTATACAAAGGAAATCCATTATGATTATATAGACCTTTGTATTATACATCCTATCGCCTCCTATTATATCCCATTGCCTGTAGTTGAATGATTCTAGGTAGGACAATATTGGGTCATGTGACCATAAGCTTAGTCACCTGAGTAGCTATTAGGATTGGTCGTAACATTAACTAACCAACTGACCAACTAACTATAATAATAAGATAAATAAGATAAATAAGATAAATAAGATAAATGAGATAAATAAGATAAATAAGATAAATAAGATAAATAAAATAAATATCTACAAAAAAGCAATAATAACATAAGTAAACAAGCATATAAATAAACAACTCATTATGATTATTCACTTTATCTCATTTTATCCCATTTCATCCCATTTCATTTGCACTTGTATTTGTATTCCGTTTCCATAAACATAAACATAAATATAAAATTACTATTCTCCTTTTCTCTTTCCGTCTTCCGCCAGTCCTGCACGTTTTCCCCTCCGATATCCCTTTCGCACCATTTACCATTTTCCTTCACCGTCCTTGCTAACTTCGCTCTTGACTTCACTTCACTTTACTTCGTATCCCCTCTCCCTCATCATCATCACCTATCTTTACTATCCATCCCCTTAGCTACGATATTTAGATAGTAAGTACCGAATATCGAGAATGAAATCTTGATCAGTCAAATCATGTACTGTACCATGCATGAGCCATATACCAATCGTATGAACAGAAATCAACAGATATCCATACATACATACATACATACATACATACAACAAACCAAACCTTTTCGCGTCGCGAACTGGGTATACGCTTTTTCTCGTTCCTGCAGCTCCACTCTTCCATTTCCCATCATCATCACTCATTCACACCATCATTTGGCTCTTCCCCTCGTCGTTCTACCACTTCCAACTACATCCTTAATCTTCCTTCCCTTACTAGCCTTTGCACTGACTGGTGTACTTTCAACCACCTCCTCCACAACTTCCTCCTCCACTTCTTGAACCTTTCCCCTTATGTTCCTTGTCGGTTTCAATGCCTGTCTATTTACCTTCGATTTCGTTTGAACAGGTAACGTAGATGTATTCCCACTAGATCTCTTACTACCACGAGTGTTTTTACCGTTAGTTTGAGGTTCTTCTTCGACATCAACTTGGAATTCAGGTTCATCAGCCATTTCTACATCTTCATCTTCTGCCTCAACTGCAGGAGAGTCCTCTGTTTGAAGTACTTGCTCTTCTTCAATCTCGGCTTCAGGTTCCGGACTGACTGCTTTCTTCCCTCTACCATTTCTTCCCCTACCAGAAGCTCTAGGGTTCCTAGTATTTGTTTTGGCGCGTGGAGGAGAAGGAGTAGGTATCGTTATTTCTTCCGGTGCTACCGAATCAGCTGATTCTACTGCATCATTCGCATCTGCCGCGTCATCTTCGTCTAATTCGACCTCCTCCTGCGATGTAATTTTTTTGCCATTCGATTTCTTACCCTTAGGTGTAGCTTTAGCAGATCTAGAAGCGCGTTTTGGAGGCGAAGATACGAGTTCCTCTTCCATATCCACATCTTCTTGGACTTGCTCAACCTCACTCTCATCCTCAGTGACAGGAGCTTGATTTTTGGCTTTAGAGGGTGTTTTTGCCTTTGCTTTTGATTTAGCTGCTGCTCTTGCTCCACGTTTAGATTGTGGTGGTATAGGTTCGGCCTCTGATTCAGGTTCAGGTTCAGCTTCAACCTCGGGTTCTGCCTCATCTTCCATAACCACATCCTCTTGCTCAGCCTCATCTTCGCTGACCGCAGTCCGGGCTGATTTCTTGGGTGTCCTTGTCTTTGCCTTTCCCTTCCCTGTCGATTTTGGCTTCGGTTCTTCTTCCTCTGCATCATCTTCATTTTCCTCAACATCATCTTCATCCTGCTCAGCATCACCCTCATCCTCATCCTCATCCTCATCCTCATCATCCTCTGGCTCCACCCTATTACCATCATTATCAAAGTACTCCCACTTACTAACTCCTTCCAACATTTCATCCTCATCCTCACTATCATCCCTATCAACATAACTCTTTCTAGCACTGGCACCTCTTCCACTCTTTCTTCTCTCTGCACTACTAATAGCTGGAGTTCTTGGCTCTTTAATTTTCTTTGGCTTAGGAGTTTTGACTACTCTTTCTTTCTTGGGAGCTGCTGATTTAGGTCTCCCTTCCGATTTCTGTTTCTTGGCTACAGGGAGAGAAGATTCGTCCATAGATTTTCGTTTTTGTGACTATGAGTGGTATTAGCAAATAACTTAAAAGACATGACTCGAAATGAGTGCGACTGAGACAAACCTTCTTTTTGTCCACATTTCTAATCAACTTGTCTAATTCCTCATCCATTTCTTCTGGTATGAAGTTCTTTTCAGCGATTTCTTGAGCTATACTGTGAGATTGAAGTGGTCCGAACAATTTCGCAGGAACCCTAACTTTGGCCGGGTAAGACTGCATAGTCCAACCCTTCTTAACTTCCCACTTTGATATTACTGCTTGAGCGAGATCACTTAAGACGTATAGGTTTTCTGATTCAACAGGATTGATAGAATCTCGAGCCTGTTTGACACTTTGAGCATACTTATAGATAAGACCTAGATTGTCTTCGGACGCAATAGAAGATACGTAGTATAAAATGTAACGAGCATGATCGATAAGTTCCCTGGGTTCGACACTATAATCTGGGTGATGTGCTAAGAGTGAGAGAAGTCGTGGGAGAGTTTTCTCCAGTACCATAGACTTGGATTCAGCAAAGACTTTCGCACGAGAACGAATCCATGTGATGATTGAGTTTTTGAAGTTTTGTTCCGGCTCGAAAGCAGTCAAGAAAATGATTGTGTAAAAACGATCAGGGAGCTTGTCCTTAACCAAGTACTTTTGAAGCTTTTCGACAAAACCTCTTCTAACATTCATGTGCTCGTCTTGAGCCACGAAAGATAGCCGGTCAAATTGAGCGGGAGTTAAAAGTTCGTCAAATGCTGGAGTAGTGCAAAGCTTGAGCATTAACTGTGCTGCTAATAACCTCAACCGAGATTTATGATGTCTGGGGGTATCCTGCTTTTTTGAAAGCTCTCCGTCATTAACGATCAGTGTGTTCAAAAGTTTATAGACGGGCTGAGCAACAGTTTTTATTTCTGCCTCTTCAACTGTACGAAGCCTGTTCACTAGAATTTTCAGAGCCCAACACTTAGCTTGGCATTCTTCGTCCAGTTCATCATCATTTTGCCAGCTGGGGTCAGTGTCTTTCGCTGGAGTTCGGACCTGTAAAAGAAGGTTTTTGGTGGTGATTTCAAGAATCTCATTACTATAGTCATCGGCAATCTTGGGTGATAATAGCTGCAACTGACTGATCGCTGCCAACTTTGTCAAGAAATGACCCTCTCCATATTTCCAATCTTTTGATGACTTCTCCAAAATATCCTTTGCATGCATCTCTTTTCGGTCGGTGGCAGCCATCAAAAGAGTTATCGCATATTTGGCAGCCTTAGGTGGTGTTCCAAAAGATGCGTAGTTGACCAATGTTTGAGTAAACTTGCGGTCTTTTGGAAGTGACTTGGATTCAGTCTTGCTTTTGGCAAATACTGCGCATGCTTTCAAGGTTGCCACGGTGCCTGGCTCGTTCTCTTTCGTCTCCGTTGGTGCCTCATCCTCCAAAGTTTTGCATAACTCCTTGATGTTTGCTGTCAGGACCTGTGGATTCTTCTCGGAAATTTCGTTCATGACCTCCTGAGCTGTAGCACCTAAGCCTTTATCATCAGTTCTCGAGAACTGGAGAATAGTAGGCAAATGACTCCGATTGTATATCAAGAATGCAGAACGGTAAATAAGGGGCGTGAGAGTATCGAGGAGACCAGCTGGAGCGTTCGGTGCTGCCTCAATACGTTTAGAGAATTCTTTGATCGCATTGTGAACAGTTTTGAAATCGCTCTTAGGATCCATTGTGTACCGTAAAAGTTGATAAGTTCTCCTATCATGAAGCTTCGCATATTTATGTAAATCTTGGCTTGTCCTAAGAGGATCTGGAAAGAATTGAAGGAGGTATTCAATCACTGCGTTCAGCTTTTGTCTAGCATCTGCAGCATCACCACCGGTTACTCCGCCGTTGAACTCTTCGCATTTTTTAATATATGCAGTGAAAACATCAGAATATGACTTTGTCCGGGCCTGTATAGCAAAAAAGGCCTTCTTGGGTTTAGGATCAAGAGATCGAACTAATAATAAGATGCGCTCTGCTCGGATTCTGTCTGCATCGAATGGTTCGTCGGAAGATAAGAGGGATTGAGACGAGCCATTCTTCGAGCCTTTGATCTTTGAAGGAGGATAGGTCAAAGGTAAGAGCTGCTCGAACATCACATGATCTAACAAAACATTAAGCTCTGAATCATTGGCGAAGAAAGCATCGAAAATCCTCGAGGGAATAGCCCCTAATGAAGCAATAACACTCTCATTTCCCGCAGCAATCTCACCCGTAGCTACACCCCATATAGTACCAAGAGTTGTCATAGCCTCTGCTCGAACCGCGGGCTTACGATCTCTTGCTCGGTCGGCCAAGTTGCTAAGAACAGAACCGGACTTGGTTACTGGGCCATTAGGCGCAAGCTTTTCCATAATATCCACCAGATTGAAGCTTGCAACCGCTTTCACAGCAGCAACTCGGACCTTCTCGTCTGGATCATTCAACTTCTCTGCCAATGACTTGACCAGTGCAACTTCGTCTTCCCGATTTAGTCCAATACCTCCTGCCTGAGTAACCAAGATTCGACCTATGGCTGTGGTCCAAGCTGATCGGATGACTGGGGATTTGTCATTTTTTCGACCAATGAAGCTATGCCAAACAGATGGATGTGTCTGAGAGAATGACTGTGGCGAACTGGGTTTGATAAGAATGCTTGTGATGGGTGTTACCGGGTAGTCATCAAGTCGTACAGGAGGATATGCAGCTGGGTCCATATTTGGAAGAGGTGGTGGTCCTGCAGCACCAATACCAGAGATGATATCTCCTAAAGTCTCGGTAGCTAACATTCGTAATTGGATATTCTCCGCCGATAATTCTGCCTCCACCTGAGGAATGACATTCTGTAGAACCGCAGGTGATGCACGCCACAATTCTCTCAGAAGTCTGTGGGCCTTGTTGAGTTCTTTCAGGTCGGAATCTGTTGGCCCTGTGGGTGCATCATCTTCATCCGAATCTGCATCATCCTTTCGATGTCCGTTTGCTTTACCTCCACTTGTAGAAACCTCCATCATAACATCGTTAAAATATTGGCTAACATAACGAGACATCTTATCAGAGCAGTCATTACAGATGGTCTTTGCCATATTGTATGCTTCCGGTAAATCTTTCAACAATAGCGTGGATTGCTTGTCATCGGCCTTTGCACCGTGCTTGCTTTTACCTCCACTAGGCGTAGCAGCTCGTAGAAATTGTGCAACGATAATATCGATAACATGAGGACCCACCACTGGCGCTTCATCCACCAAAGTAACTAAACATTGTGACATATTGTATTCGACATCTTTACTTATTTGTTCCCCTGTAGAAGATTTCGAGGAACCGGAGCAAATGTCAAAGAAAGTGCTGAATAGATGAAGCATGAGATCCTCAGCATTAGGAAGATCTGTCATCAAAACGATACTTTTGACTTCTGCGAGAGATGACAAAACATATTTGTGCTCGGTATTGTATGTGTGGCTAGGATTGGAAAGGGCTGGTAAAATGGTGGTGACAAAGAAGGCGAAGATGTTCTGGTAAGGTTAGGTCCTGATTTAACGTCTTGCAATGTCTGAGGATGGTATACCTTGACCTGCGAACTAGTATATGGTGCATCTGGAGCGCAAAGCTTCAATATATCTACCAAACAACATCCTGCCCATGCCTTGACGCCGTTGTCCTTATGGTTTAATAAATTCTGCGCCGCAAGCTCCTTGGCCACAACAGTCAATGATGATTTATCAATTTCCTCCTGGTCCATATCCCGCAACTCGCTCGCGAGCTTCTTAAGTCTCTTCAATAGAGTTTCGGTTGCAATGGGCTTTCCTGCGCGCCATGATAATGGTTCATCAAAGACTAAGCTTGTAGATGGTTCTTCTGGTTCAGGAGATTCGATCGCACCGCGGCGCGGAGCCATTTTCAATTGAGAAGTCCAATCGCGGAGTTGTACTTTTGGTAAATATTCTCGTTGGAAGTTAATTTGGAGATGCGCAGAGTAATGGTGGATTATTTTGTGGTTGAATGCATTTATTTGATGATTGATGTATTTGAGCTTACTTACATGGGTGGAGGAGAAATCGCGTGTGGTACCAAAGTACTCTAGGACGCGTTTAAGCTTTTCGGGGCAATCGCGCTAGAGATATCTTTATCCTAAGCATCACTTCACTTCAACCCTCACTTCAACCTTTACTTCACTTCACTTCACTTCATTTCAAGCTTCACTGTCTATCTACCTAATAAGTACGGTCTCTACAAATAATCAAGTTACTCTACCCACCACTCGAAATTATCGTGTCGGTACCAAAAATCACATTAAATTCGGCAGCAATATCAGTTCATATTCATCGTGGTCCATTTATCATGCGATGCCTAGACAGATAAAGAGAATAACCAGTGCTTCATCTAGAACAAGTATTCCATACAGTAAAAGGTATAATTTTATCTAATCGGACATTACCTACCATTTGTTGTTCATATGGCATCTCTTATTCACAGATATGGTCGAGTTGGAATAATTCTTGTGTCTGACATTGTGAGATGTTGCTCTAGAATATAATGCTCTGCTCGTATTTATCTATCATATGGACACATCCACATCTATCGAGCCTATGAGTGGGCTACTGGGCTACCAATTATGTCAATAACCGGGAGACTAGACAAAATACTCGGATCGAAGGTAGCTTGATACATTTGAATGTATACTTGATGTTGCTATCCTGTAGTAAAGAAAGCGCATCAAGTGCGCTAGATTCATATTTTCAGGGTGTGATAGTTCAGCGCTTCTCATGCTACGTCCCGCAGGTATCCTACTTTCTTGCGGCGAAGGGAATGGGTCAAGTACATCTAGCAAATCAGATCTTGGAGGCTTGAAGCCAGGCTTGAGTATGGAAGAAAATCCTCCGCGAATCATTAAGCACATGAGGAAAACAGTCTTCAAATCCATCATGTATTTAACTTGCGGCTCAAGGTGGCCCATTTCACTTGTTCCCACTTACCATGATCGGGATGATATGGTATTTCCTGCAGGTGGTAGGAAGAAAAACCTCAACAACAATATTATCCTTCAGCCTTGTTTACATGCTTTTGGAGTCATCCAGCTGATGTAAGTATATTTCGAGCATCAAGCGACAACTAGATTGTCTCCTGGGAATCTTGATGACGCTCCGCTGGCCCTCCGGGGGCCACTGCCGTGGAGGCAGACCATGGATATCTGATCAAGAAGAGTGTTCCGCGTCTTCATATAAATACAGAAGAAACGGTTCGAAATATAACTTGAGATGATATTGATGCGTGCTAGTTTGTGGCCAAGATTATCCAGCCCAACTTCCTGGAAGACTGATCCATTGTGAGATAAACTGATACACATCAAGGTACTAGTGTAACAACTGTGATAAAATCAAAATCCGGAATGATAGGAAGGGAGCCTTGATGATATCAGTAAAAGGAGGAAAGAGACTCATTTTATGTTGTTTGCTATACTCTAGCCAGTATTTGCTTGTCACTTAAAAGTTACTAATGACAACTCAATCGGATCATAAATTCATCTTTTGAAATATGTTTGCTACCCATTATCGGGTCATAAGATATCCCAAATCACATACTGGCTTTGAGAATCTGAAAGGTGTCTGTCAGGATGTTTTGCTATATGAAGATTGTAATGTCATAATTGCTAACTTAGGTTAAAAAAATCCAACCAATCAAGGTATTGTTTCTTGAAATTAAATCTCAAATTACGTACCTTTTTAATACATCACACGATTTTGAAAATACAATTTCCTAATTCGATGATTCCTTTGCTGTTGTTATGGATTCACTTCAAGTCCTTTCGGCAAAGTCTGTCGGCCCGACATGACAATCCTTTCGCATCAAAATCACCTCAGTTTTTGGAATAACAACCTTTTATCTTTCCCACCAAAACTCAATACAAGATAAACGGAAAACATCAAGTTGTTGATCGATTTGATACACCACACTCATTTTGAACCTCATACGATTATTAAAATTCTCCCCTTGTCTTCCTACATCTTCCTCTCTTTCTCTCATGATCTTTTCTTCCCTTCTCTTCCCCCCACCAAAACACCGTCCACATCCATCAAAACAGCAAAATATATCAAGAACCTTCCTCGAAAATACTTATATTCGTTCCTTTTATCAAAAATATTGAACACGTCTCTCTGACTTATTAAATAATCAAAATGAATCTCCTTTTGAGTATTCTGCTTTCTGTTACGGCACTGGTTGCCGCAGCGACTTCTAGTAGAGATGCGTCAAATTCCTGTATGTATCACCATCGATCTTCATATTCGTATACAAATCACTAACTTCTTTTCTTACAATACAGCCGTCAATGCAGTCAATAATGAGATTCGAGACATCCCCGATGGAGGTCTTTCTTTGCTAGGAACTTCTCCCGTCATAGTCAATAATGTAGTTGTCGCGACTACATCTTCTAACTTTGGCTCCCCTTCTGTCGCTATTACTATCGATCAAGCCTCTGCAGCTACATCAACTCTTAGTGATAATTTCCCTCCTGTTAGTCCCGGTCATTCAATTATTCATAGCGGCATTCATGATTCTACAACTGTCATTTTTTCCACTGTCACGTTGCCTCCAACTACTTCGGTTGCTGTTGGACCTGTTGTTCCGACTGCTCAATCTATCGCTCCGACTACAAGTCCTTTGTCTGCTATTGATGAACAAGGGTAAGTTAACTTCACAGTTAAATTCTCTGAACTTGACTAATTAATGTAGAGCTGCTCTTGTTTCTTCTGCAGCTACGACTACATCTCATTCGTATGTATAAATTCTGCAGTAATTTGATTGATGGAAACTAATATAGTTTACTTTAGAGCTTCGGCCACTTCTGATGTTACTCAACCAGTAGTATTAGAGACATCTACTCTTGAACCAGAAACCACTCAACCTTCTCAACCATCTATTGTTGAATCTTCAGCAACTCAATCATATGTTGTTGAATCATCTGTAACTCTAGCAACTTCTCAATCTTCGACCTCGCAATCTTCGACCGCTCAATCGTCAACTGCTCAACCATCAACTTCTCAATCGTCAGGTGCTCAATCATCGACTGCTAGATCCTCAAAAGTTCAATCATCAGGTTCGCAATCGTCAACTTCACAATCATTAACTGCTCAGTCATCAGCTGCTCTATCATCGACTGCTCAATTACCGGCTCAATCGTCGATGGATCTGTTATCGACTGCTCAATCATCGACTCAAACTTCAGAAGTTCCATCATCAACTGCCCAATCCTTAGCAGCCCCGTCGACGACTTGTGAACCTTCTCCCAGTCAAACATACACTTTTCAGCCTTCAGTCACTGAAACTTCGGCTTCTCCATCATCCTCTGTTTCATCATTTTCTGCTCAATTTTGGACAACTCAATCAAAATCACTTGAATCATCGGCAGCTCAAGCTACAGCAGAAAGCAGCATTAGTCAAATATCAGCTGCCACAAGCCTTCCAACAATGAGCGCGATCAGTCCTCCATTCCTTAATACCACTGCTTCCCTTGTTCAATCTTTAAGTCCGTCTGTAGTCTATCCTAGTTCAACAATTGTTCCAGTAGTGTCTGCATCTAGTCCTGCTACCTCTGTCATTGTCGGAACAGCACAAACTAACTCTGCAAGTCTTCCTACAATTATTCCACCATACAACAATGTATCCAGTTCAGCTGTTTCTGGTATTTTTGGAACATCCCAAAGCATAATTTTCAGCAGTTATTCTAGTAATACGGCATCCAACGCTTTTGGCACAACCAAAACAACTACAAGAACAACTACCATCACTTCAACAACAACCCGTACTGGCACTATCACTACTACCATTAGAAGGTCATCTACTAGTATCACTTCTCAAAGTTTTATTGGCAAACTTCCTGTCACTGGTACTCAAGCTGGTCTCACAATAGAAACTTTCACTTCTGGTGGAAGTACCTGGACTACAACTGAGACTGGTCCTCCACGTACCGTTACTGCATCTCTGATGTTGAATCCATCACTTTCGGCTTCTAGCAACGGTGGTATTCTTACTTTCAATAGTGTTGCGCCATCTGGAGCTTGCACTTGTCCATCTCAGGTTACTGTCACTGTTACTGCAACTTCATTTATTGCTACTGGTAGTACTCTTACAGGTACTGCAGCTATTGCAGCTACTGGATCTACAACATCTGCCAATTCCCCAGAAGAATCTACCAGTTCGTCGTCGCACTCAACAACATACAATCAGCCACCCCAAGAATCCTGGACCACCAACAGCGTTCCTGGCTTCATTGGTGTTACCATCCCAACAGGAGGCATGTCGTATCCTCCTCAAGCGGCCAGCTACTCCTTGAGCTATACCACCACAACTCCCGCCTCTGTCTCCGTCTCCCACACTCATCCATACATGAGTATTGAACCCACACCCAACCTTAGTGTTTTATCCAACTACTCATCAACCAGTACTGGAAGTCTCTTAGGAATAAATGCAGGAACCGGCATCGGAGCAAGCATCCATCCAAGTTATCAACCAGCTACCCGACCATCATCAGGTATCTCACCCTCCATCAACTCATTCAAATCATCCTCAAAAATGTACAGCAGCAACGCCGAGATCAACGCTGCCGGTACCGAATCTGTCGCTTTAATCGTCGGTTTCGTGGCACTTATTCTTCTCGTCTAGTTTAATCTTCAATTTAATCTTGGACTAGGCAATTAGGCTTCAGAATACGTTGTAATTACAACAAGCCATGAATCGAAATTACATATGATGTGATGATATGATACGGATCTTAAAATGGTGGATGGATGGATGGATATGAGGAATAGCATTTACACCTGCTCTTTCTTACTTACATCTTTGTTTTATCTGACTGCCTGCTTGCGTTTAGGATTTTTCTTTATCGAATGAAAAGGATGGATATGATGGATAGGGTGGGAAGGTGGGCATCTAGATTAGGATTTTAGGTGCTCTGGTTATTTTCTTTTCTTTTCTTCTAAATAGGTTTTTAATGGAATAAATGAATATGTTTTTAAAATGAATTGTACTTATGACTGCTTGATATGGTTTTATGATATAAAGATATGACCTGACTCGGAATATACAAGTAGCTTGCACTCTTGAGCAGTATAATATATACCTCTCAAGATCATCATCACTGACAAGTCTGTTATTTTATAGTTTTACACCATCTTCAAAGAATCTAAATGAAATTTAATAAATAAAAGATCTTTTGATATATATTATATAACACGTTAAAAGGAATGACCTTACACAGGGAATAGTGGGAAGCTGATAGGGCAGAATTGAGGCTATATTGATCTTATATATATATCACTCTGTCATGAATCACAATTATCCTAGGATCAGAATCGTCCCAGGATTAGTGTGTCCTGGGATGAAAAGGAATCACGTGATAAGGAGCCCTAGGAGCCCTAAGGAGCCAGAAAGCTCCTGGAGGCTCCCTTTATCGTTCATTATATAGTTAGAATAGTTTCATAGTTTATGAGCTTCGTGCTCAACTTAGTTATCAATTAGTTTACCTATATTCTACTTGATCTAGTAACGAATTCACTTCCAAATGAATACCAGTGATAAAGCCTTAACCCACAACTACCAACCAGATGAAACCTTAGGCAGCCGCTGCCCCCAGTACTGTATCGTTACAGTGGCCGAGATTAAGGGCCGAGAAGTGGGGTATTAGACTTACATATCTAAATAAATATTCAAAACAAGATTTTTTTTAATAATATTTTGAATTTTTGAATTTTTGAAATTTTGAGGATTTTGAGGATTGCTTTTGTTATGTTTTTATATATCAAATAACCTTACCCAGGGGGGGAGGGGATATTTGTTTGTTTTTCCTAATTGGGAATTAATTAATTGTTTTGTGAGTATTTTATTGATTAATATCAAGTGAGTGAGTGAGTAATTAAATAAATCAAAGGGTTAAAGAGTTAAAGAGTTAAAGAGTTAAAGAGTTAAAGAGTTAAAGAGTTAAAGAGTTAAAGAGTTAAAGAGTTAAAGAGTTAAAGAGTTAATATTGGGTTTCTTGAGACCAGAAAGAGCATCAGATTGAATTGATTGATTCTCTAGCTAAGCAGTTAAGCTGCGAGTATATATTCAAAAAATGAAGGAATAGGGTTATGTATTCGGCCTTCGGAATTAAAGTGCTTTGAAATCAAAATATTGAAAGCAAACAAACAGTATACCAAAAAGGAAAGAATGAATTAAAAGTTGAGTTTTGTTTGCTCCTTATATGCATCATGCAATATATATGCATATGCTGCCAAGATCCCAGGAGGTCAACAGTTAAAGAGTTAAGAGTTAAGAGTCAGGAATATAATATAACACCTATATGATTTTATCTATCTACTCTAAATATACTAATAGTCTAGTCCATCTAAACAATTCCTCCCATCCAGGAAAGTCTAGTCTAGTCTAAACAAATCTAAAATCCCCTCCATCTCACTCTAATAAGCGTACGACCGAGCTTCATTTCATACCTACTCATCCCTCACTACCTACTTCCAATCCAATCCAACCAACCAGCCATCAACCAACAATCTATCTCTAAAAAGAAGTTTGCGCTGATTTAAATCATCTATCTTTTCCCAAGATCTAACCTCATCAATTCCATCCGGTATCAAATCCATATATTTTCTTAACAATCAAATAAAAAAAAACTCCTCAACTCCATTCACTAATGCACATGGTAAAATACCAGTACTTTCTCAACCTTCACACACAAGATGAAGATGACTACCTCACTCTCCCAAAACCTCAGCCAAAAGAGGTAATCCAGCCTTGGCTCTTTCTTGAACACTTTGACTTAATCTTCTTCCTGCATTCATGTTTCTGCTTGTAGACATAGCAGTAGCCATTGAGCCAACTGGTACAACCTTTGATGCAGTTGGTTTTCCACTTTCCTTGACGATTGTAGCTTGACCATTGGTAAGATCCTTAGCATGAACTTCTCCTTCTCGTTTATACAAGTTTCTGAACATGTATACACCACTTCCTTCCATTCCTTCGGATTCTTCGACGAATTTACAAGTACGTTGATTTCTCCAGAAAGCAGTCCAGAATGGAGTTTTGACATCGGCTTTGTAATGTTGTCCCATAACCTTCTTGATGTGTTGACTTGCTTCTCCGGCATGGTAAAATGGGATGGTGGAAACCAAGTGATGGCAAACGTGAGTACCAATGATATCATGGAAAAGATGAGTATCAATAAAACCAAGATCACGATCGATAGTTGCGGTTGCACCACGAGCGAAGTTCCAGGTGTTGTTATTGTAATGAGGCATGGAAGCATCAGTGTGTTGAAGGAAGGTAATAGCAACTGCAAGAGAATATGTTAGTTTTGACTTAATCAGAGGGCCGACGAATATCACTTACCAATCCAGTTGTTAACCCACAACCATGGAACACCCCAGAGAACAATAACATTGAAACTTCCAAAGACTTGACCAGCCCAAATCAAAGCAGCAATCATAACAGCTACACCAACATCACTCAAAGCGATCAATGGCAACTCATGCTTCTTGTAGAAAACACTGTCTTCTCCAAAGTAGAAGTGAGAAATTCTCATTCCTTTAGCACCATCATAATCTTGACCAGTCAAGTTGGCAATTAAATATCCTGGCCATCCAAAGAATTGATGAATGAAAGCATAATAAAGGGAGTAAATTGGAGAATCTTCAGCCAATTCAGCAAACTCAACCATATTTGCCTTTGCCTTCTCACCAAAATTTCTCTTCACCCAGCCCTCTCTTGTATGTGGAACGAAAGCTGTATCCTTATCCATATTTCCAGTAGCTTTGTGATGTTGGGAGTGAGAAAGTCTCCAGGAATGGAATGGGACAAGTAAGAAAGAATGCATAATCAATCCCATGGTCCAGTTCAATTTCTTATTCTTGCTGAAAGCACCATGTCCACATTCATGTGCCAAAATCCAAATACCGGTGAAAACAAATCCTTGAACAGTGGTGTATGCCACCCAAGCGGCAAATCGAAGGTATACGTTGGGAAGCATTGGGATAAAAGTGAGAGCGAGGTAGATGAGGGTAGAAACGTAAAAGTAATCGCGGACGACGTATGCCATTGATCGAATAATTGAAGGTTTGAAGCAATGAGGCGGGATGGCATCGTAGATTTCTTTCATGGTGTAATTAGGGAGTTCGAAGACATTTCCATGCATGTCAAGATGTTGAGGTTGTTTTTCCTCAACGAGGGTTTTGCTCGACGAGCGAGTTGAGGGTGCCATCTTTGTGAGATTTGTTCCTCCAATTCGAGTTTGAGGAGATTGATTTTTTCCGTTTGTATTTTCTTCAGATCGATCGAAATAATTCAAAGATCTTGGATATTAAAAAAGGTAATTCCTACTTCTTGCTTTGATATGCAATGAAATATAGATATCTGTATCAGAAAGCTACCTTGAAGACAGCAATCAGAAGATTCTAGATTTCTAACACTTCTGAGAGAAGAGAAAAAAAGAGAATGAAAATTGAAATGATTGAAAAAGGGATCAAGATTTCAAAAGAAAGAAAAACATGAAAAGGAATTGAGGAGTGCGAGAGAGTTGAAGTTTATAGTTGAATGTGGGATGTATTTTCTTAGCTTTACCCTTAGCTTGAGAACTAATAAATGTTCGATGGTCGAGGCAATTTTCCCATATTACCACATCAGCAAATCATGAAATCATGAAATCAGCAAATCAGCAAATCAGCAAATCAGCAAATCAGCAAATCACCACTTCACCACTTCACCACATATGAAATTGAAAAAAAGATCAAATCAACCGGACCCTTAATTTATTAGCGTGAACCACGTTCATGTTTGATTCTCCATTATTTCTTTTTACTTTTTCCCACTTTTAAAAAAGGTTTTCCCCACTTCAAGGATTTGTGAAAAAGAAGATAGTGGAGATTCATACTCCTCAACAGTTTTTGGCACGCTACTAAATAACTTCCTTGAATTCATGAATTTACCTCAATTTACCGTAATTCTTTCTGACAATTGATTCTTTTGATTGGTTCAGATAAGAAGTTGGCATAAATGAGGATTGTTGTCAGCATTTATATTTCTTGGAAAGGATACTTACCTACCTACCTAGTACCTACCTTGAGTCGTGAGACTGAAGAAGGAATTGAAAGGGATGGATACGGATACGATACTCACATCATCTTTGTCAATGTATTAGATAGGGGATATACCTACCCATCAATGTAATCCCCAAAGATAATACCCAGTAGAATATCTCTATGATAGGGGCAAGCCCCCAAACCCCCATAGCTCGCTGCGCTCGAAAGACTTCCTACTTCCCTTTTCATATGTTCAAACTTCCAAGCACAGATAGATAGCGGTACTCCAAAAAACAGCAGCTACCCTTCAGGAGAAACATGCATGGAAACTTGAAACATCGAAGCTTGAAAGGCCAATGCATTACCAGTATTATCCCATCCTGATACACCCGTCCGCTAGCTATCTCCACTGACTGACTGTCTTTTCTACTCAGTACCGCGTAAACAAAATCAAAATCCATAATTCTAATTCTTCACCCCCTCCTTTTTCTTACCGTATTGTTATAATGACCCCTCAAAATGTAACATGATATTAGCATATCTAGTAACTAAGTAAATATCTTAGCTCAAGAAAGAAGAGAAGAAGAAAATCAGAAATGAATTGAATTACAGAATAACCATTTCTAACCACTGATAGATTTCTAGTCGTAAAGCTTACACGGTATCATCTTCCCACCTCATCCCCTATCTCACATCTTCAATTTCTTTTTCCAAGTTCCGTGCAACCTCACCACCAAACATCAGCCCACTCACATGTCAAAAAAACATTCTTGTGTTACCCAAGCTGTTCACCGTTACAACAGCCTCATATCTAAATCCCGTGTGTGTAGCATCAGTATTTCACACTTCGCACAAATTATATCAACCTACTAGTCGAACTAATCTAAACCTATCTATCAAAAATTCAACGAACCAAAAACTCCCCCAAGGAATCTATCTAACCCTTCTTAGTAAGTCCCAAGATGCAGGGTCCTTCTCGAATCACTTAATCTTCGGCACTTTTTCCCAATTTTGATTAGTCAACAAGAACACTTCATCTATCTTGAGCACCCTTGACTCGTTCACCCACTGGGCAGTGGGCTCATTGAAATACATACAAAAAACTGTTGATATGTCGATTTTTTAATTGGTTCGTTTAGTGATGTACTTCTTGAATCTTGGCTTCTTGGCTTCTTGTTCTTGGCTTCTTGTTCTTGGCTATATCATCGTTGGAGTATAGGGAGAGTACGGACCTACAGTGTGTTAAATGAACTCGGTTAGAAGGTCGAAGATAGAATTTGGAATTTCGAGTTCGATTAAGAGGGGTTACATATATGGGACATTTCCTGCTTCTAGAACAAGTAGAAGATAGATAGATAGATAGACGATCGACTAAAAAGGAGAGGCGAAATCAATATCTAGGTCGGGAATAAATTAATGTAGATAGGGACACTATACCGTATCTACTTCACACGAATGGGATATTTTTCGCTCACTTACTTACCTACCTACCTACTGCGTATATGTCGTGTTTCCCAAGGTTGCATCGTGGCTGTGTTTCTTTGATGTTCCGAAACGGTGAACGGTCTATGCATATACATTGGTACATACTACTACATAGATACATACATATAACTCAGCATCAACGTACTCGTAGATATGCGATTCGCTGCTGTACTCGTACTCGCAAAGCGCATAGAGTAAAGTTGCACTGCAGATATGAGGCTCGAAGATATTCATTCCGTTTAGCCCCCCACATTTAAGTTTCTTTCTTGCTTGAGCTGTACGTATAGTGAGTGTACACTAAACTGTACAGTAAGATCTTACGTTTTCACTCGCACTCACGGATATACTACCCAAAAGAGAAAATGTTGGGGAAAAACCTTTCATGTGAGGTGATTTTTAAGTATTATTCAGGGGTACGTAGCGTAGTGGAGTATGTATGTAGAGTACGTGGATATGAACACTACTAGTACTTTGGATCAAGGGTCCATGACAAGGTCCTCTTATCTGGAGCCGAAGATCAAATATTTTAGGGGATGTTTAGGCGGGTTTTGTTATGGTGTAGGTTGATTTGTGTTTATTCGTGTTTATCTAATACAGAGTACGTATACGAGTACATACTTAGTACAATCATCAATGGATGATTTTTGTTTCAAAACCGCACGTTCTTTCTTTTTTATAATGAGTGAGAGGAGAGATAGGAGGAGGAGGAGGCGAGTTTTACTTTTCCTTTTCCATGTACCTTATCTTTAGAAGAAAAAGAGAGGAGAAAGGAGAAAGGAGAAGGAGAAGAAGAAGAAGGAGAATATCCACTCGACAGAACCACTCTATCTACCTACTCCGTAGTTAATTCAATCGCAAATCGCAATACAGTAGTACGTACCCTACTAAAAACAAAGGAAACTCAAAAGTAAAGTAAACTCAGCACAGCACGACGCACAGAGTACTATACTATCTGATCGGGGCCAAGAAACTTTAAATGTTCCTCTAGAGAAATATACGGGATACGGGATATGGTTTCTAGATGCGGTGAGAGTTGGATTTATTATGTAAGGTTAAGTCTTAGGTTGACTTGATTTGATTGTATGGCGGGGTAAGGAGTAGGTAGGTAGTTAAGGAGAAGGGAAAAAATAATAATCCTCGAGTAAGAATATAAATGATGGGTAGGTATCTATTTTCGATGGTAAATAAAGGAGAGGAGAGGAGAGGATAGATAAATGGTTTTGTTTTCGTCTTGATTCTTTTAATTCTTTACTTTTTATCTTCAATCTATTGTTTTTTCTTTTCATTTTATATGTTGTGAATGTAGCAAATGTATTTGAATACTAGAAAGACATCCTACATATATCAAGTAAGTACTTGGACTTGTAAGATCTTTTTATTTCTTATTGATTCTACTACTGAAGTACTCGAGTTATCGTACCCTTCCTTTCTTTACCTTTTCATATATTTTCAATATCGCGAAGTATCTAGAAACCATTTCCCGCCTCCATTCATCAAACCTATCATCTAACTATCTTGAGGTAAAAACAATCAATCAAGCGATAATCTCCAGAAACTTTTTCCAATCTCAATCGTTGTCATATCTACTTCATAATTGTCTGGTAGATACCTACTCATACATACTCAGCAGTGTACATGATAATCTCCAGAAACTTTTTTCAATCTCAATCATATCTATCTAGTACTTTGTACTTCGGACTTAACTGGAAGATAATCATACCTACTTGAGGGATATAATCAATATAATCTCGATAGGTTACCCTTTCTCCGAATTCTTCTTTCTCGTCTCTTTAGATATCTTTCTATTCATTTTTAAAAATGCTCATTTTGTTGATAAGGGTTAAGCCATAGTGGATTGTTTTTGTATTTGATAGTGGCTACAAATAAATCTCACAACATGTATAAGTATACTTCATTTTTAATATATATTGTTAAAGTGAATGGTTCCTGCATAGCACGTGCACAGGGCACTAGTCCTATTAGGACTAGATTGAGAAGCTCTCTGTAGGAGAGCTTCGCACTTCCATAGAACTTAGATAATGAGTGATATATATAACATGGTTTATCAGTAACCGGAACATATCAGTAACCGGAACACTTTTACCTCAATTACCACCTCTCAACTTTAACACGCGATAAATCCATATTCAACCTTTCAAATCAATATGCAAGAGTCGCAAATTAATCTAGCTATTCAAGCTATTGCTTCATCCAAAAAACTAAGTGTGCGAAGAGCTGCTAAAATCTATAATATACCGCATACTACCCTTATCTACAAAATAGCTGGTCGAACGCCGAAAGCTGGATCTCGATCAATATATTGTAAAATGATGGAATTAGAGAAGAAATCGCTTTTTCAATATATAATTGATATAGACGAGAGAGGGTTTAGTCCTCGAATAAGTGATGTGGAAGATATGGCGAATTATATACTCGAAACGCGGGGTGCGAAGAAGGTTGGAAAGCTCTAGGCTCATCGCTTTGTGAAACAATATACAGAATTAAAAACGCGTTTTAATTGCATTTATGATTTTCAAAGAGCTCTCTGCAAAGATTCAGAGCTTATTGAAAGATGGTTTCGATTAGTATCGAATATGCGGGCCAAATATGGTATTCTAGACTGCGATTTCTACAATTTCGATGAGACAGGCTTTATGATAGGATAAATATCACTACATATAGTAGTTACTAAAACTGATCGATATAGAAAAAGCAAAGCTATACAATCAGGCAATCGAGAATAAGCTACAGCGATTATTTGTGTTGATGGAGAAGATCATAATATACCTCCGTTTTTGATAGTAAAAGGCGAATACCATCTCTCAAATTGATATACCGAAGGCGATTTACCATACGATTGGCTTATTAAACCTACTACCAATAGATGGACAGATAATGAGACAGGTCTTGAATGGATTAAGCACTTCAACAAACATACTGAAAGTAGGAAAGTGAGTAGATATCGAATGTTAGTGCTTGATGGGCATAAAAATCATAAATCGCCAGCATTTCAGGAATACTGCAAGGAACACAACATTATATTACTTAGTTTACCACCTCATTCTTCGCATCTAACTCAACCACTCGATATCAGTTGTTTTGGTCCTTTAAAGCATTTATATAATCGATAAATCGAGAACTTTATCAAAGTGTATATCACTCATATTACCAAAACCGAGTTCTTTCAAGCTTTCAAAGCTGCATATATCGAAGCAATATCTATATCAAATAGTAAAGCTGGGTTCCGCGGAGCTGGGTTAATCCCATTTAATCCGGAAATTGTACTTTCAAAGCTAGATATTCGAATAAGAACTCTATCAAATAGATCAATATTAATCGATCCTGATATATAGCAATCTCAAACATCTCACAATCCAATTGAAGCTCTTTCTTAATCCATTTTAGTGAAAAGTTGTATTGCTCGATATTAAGGGAGTTTATCTACTCCAATATTTGAAACAATTGCAGCTTTAGCTAAGGGTACAGAGCTTCTAGCTTATGCGAATACGTTTTTAAATGCTGAGGTTCATAATCTCCGCAAAGCAAATGAAGCACTTAGTAAACGCTGGAGAGCTAGAAAAGCTTTAATACGAAAAGGAGAAGCACTTTCAATAGAAGATGGGTATAGTATATTAAAATAAGAAAATGTAGAAGATCAGATACAATATAACGAATATACAAATGATGGTTCTTCAGCAAGGAGGCAAGCTACTATACGACGATGTAGCAAATGTGGTAGTACTTTACATAATGCACGAACTTGTCAGTTCGATCCAGCATTAGTTGATCTTTAGATTATATATAATTCAATCCTAATTTATGGTGTTGTTGTAATTTTATTTTAATGGAATGTGGGTAATTGAGGTAAAAGTGTTCCGGTTACTGATAAACCACGTTATAAGACCAATATAGCCTCAATTCTGCCCTATCAGCTTCCCACTATTCCCTGTGTAAGGTCATTCCTTTTAACAATTTCAACCTTTAATATCTCAATCAATAAAATCACAAATATTCTGAAATTTTCAGAATTTATTATTATATAAATAATAAATTCGTAATTGAAATTTCAAAGAATTATATCTGTAAATAAAAAAGTTATAAAGATCGATTTTCGTCATTTTTGATAAGGAAAAGTGGCCCAAAAGGGAAGTGGCCCAAAAGTAGGGTACTAGACTTTTAGCGACAATATAAAGTTGTGATATATTGAAGCGTTTATATAGTTGATTGTTATTAAAAATGACTATCTCGTGAATCATGAATCTCATAACCGTAGAATGACTCCCATCTCTCAGAATCTTCCACCTAATCTCCAACCTCCTCTAAAACTCCACACTATCTTTCATCTCGAAGCATTTCAAAAACCCTATACATGCATCGCACGTAACGAAACCCCTCTTGACTTCCCATCTCCCCATCATATATCTCCCTCTAAATCATCAATATCCATCTCATCCAGCTCTTGAATCCGTACTCCGGTAACATATATACTTTTCCTCCAAGCCTCTTTCCCATTACAAAATTCCTCATCCGAGCAAATGTGCCTGAAAGAATGGGGTAAAGAATTTTTATTCTTATAATGACCCAGAATATGCGCTTGACTCCTCCTACAAGCATTTATGTCATGACGAGGAAATTGTTTATTGCATCCTTCAACAAAACAACGATCATGAGTACAGTCCAGTATTAAAAAGGTGTTTTGTTGGAGCTGTTGCTCTTTTTGGTGTTACTCGTCAGGTCGAAGACGTCGTATATATATGCTGTGGACTTCAAGATGCTTTTTCATGCTGTCGAGTCGAAGAGATATGTGTGAACAATTGGACTCTGGGCATGCGATGAATTGAAAAGGGCTGTGGGTATTGAAATGTTTTCTTAGAGCTTCTAGTTTGGGGAATAACTTGCCACAGTAGCACTCGTAAGTTTCGGAGGAAGTAGGTGTATCAAGACGCCACCCCTCTTTGTAATAAGCTCTATCGACTTCTTCAAATGTACAATAACTCTTGTCATCTCGATCCTGAATTCGAGTATCGGAGAGAAGATTCCGAATGGATTGGAAAATAGAAACGATAAATTCCCGAGTCTCTTCTGGACCAGATGCGTGTGTGCGATAGAAAGATCGAATGAAGTTGGTCAAATGAGCAGGTCTAAATGTATTGGAGAGATTCTCTCCTTGTATTAACGCCGCTAGAACAGACCTCAACAACATATCCGCAGCCTCAGGCTTTGAGCAAACACGTTGCTCGGCAGAATAGTTGTTTGAGACATTAATCGAAGGATCAGGTTGCAGTTCTCTGTTCTTCCCTTTGCTATGTGAGGATGCGTGGTTGAGCATATAACCCTATAAGAGGGTGATAACGGTCTTGTTAGTATGAAGAATACTCGAATATGTGAGCATAGGAAAGTGTTGAAACATAGAAAAGGCCGTGCAGAAAATCGAAGAGTGACATAATTTACATATTTCATTCTATCCTCAGGATTTATATTATTCTTCATTAAATATTCAACAAAGTATAAACTTAAACTCACAAAAATTGCATCCTGGGAATCTCGTGTGTTATTGTATTGAAAATTGTCCAATGTAAGATCGTCTAGAGCTAGTGGTGATGATATTTGCTGAAAATGAGTCCTAAATAAATTCTCAGACGCTTCAAAGAAATACAAATCTATATTGTCGTAAGAGGAAGGCAGAATTGCATCCGCAAAAGCATTTTTTCCGATTAGAATTGAAGTTTGACAGGTAGTTGGTAGTTCAATATATGAATGGACATTTATACGATCATCATGGGCTGGGACCGACCCCAGATCGGGTGACTAAGCAAACATCATCAATCAGCGTTTGGAAAAGAGGAAATAAGGCCTCAAAGGCATTATCATACCATAGAATTTCCATTTTTGACCGTGTTTCCTTCAAGATCGGTGTTGAAAAGTAGCGATGCCGAACCATCCCCCTTTCTTTCATTTGGACACTTTTTCGAGCTAGAACTCGCAAATGTAGCCGAGTAAATATGCGCATCATGATTCAAATCGTGTTTGGTGCTCAAGTGACTGCCGTGCGTAGGTGTATTGAGACGCCACTCCTCTTCTGTAGTAGAATCCCTGGCTGTGGTCAGCTTTAACTCTAGATCACATCTAATCTTGGCGTCTTCGAGAACCAAGTAGGCTGGAACAATGTATGCGACGCCAGATTCGGGACAGCAAGATACAATATGACCGAGGAGATTGCCGCTTCTAGCCTCAACTACCCAAGATCCACAGTCTCCTTCAGCAAGTTTTCTATTCAGTCTTACTGTCTAAAGTTCGTTTTGTCTGGTAGAGCCTCTCTGCATAATAAATGATGGAGTACCAGAGATTGTACCCTCAAGCAGTCCCGCGGAACTTGTGACTGCAAAGACAATTGTGTTCAATGGAAGAGTCCTGACGATACTTTCAGGATACAAGGTTTCTCGTACGAGTGGGTGCTTTAGAGCAATCCGATTGAAGGTTTGAAGACTCGTTTTACTGGTTTCAATCAAAGCATAGTCGAGTTCTGGCGACTTCATAAAGATATGACCAATGTTCTCAAAGCTACGGCCTGGAAGGTCTAAAGGCGCGCTTGTTATGTTCTTGAAACTATTCAATGTATCAATTTCCATGATCGACGCTTCTTCAAAGCTTTCCCTCGGCGATGCAACGTCTGGGTGAGATACTGGAGATGGGAGAGTGTCCATTGGTTTTCCAATGTCATCCGAACTCGCGTACTCAAGAATTTCGGGCGTAACACTTCCTCTGCTGGTTGCCTCCGTAGCGCCCCCGTCTTCCTCATCCGAATAAAGGTCCTCGCCAATATCAAATTCGAATTCACAATCAGAGTCTCCCGTGATACCGCGGCAGCATGATCAGTGGTGGGGTGGAAGGCGTGGGCAACGGTCAAGTAGAAAAATCTATTTCCCGACCGAAGAATTCCTCCAGCGGTAGCTTTCCTGAAAGTTGAACTATTTTCTCGAGTGCTTGAAAAAATCCGTGAGCCACAAACAGCATCTGACACCTCCCGAAAAATGCCTTCAAGGCGAGGCTCATTTTCTTCGCCTTGATTCGAGAGCAGAAAATTTTTGTTACTACAGCGAGCCAATTGCAGCGTTGCGGAAATGTCACCAGCCAGCTGAACAAGCTTTTCAAAATCAGGAGGGCGCGAACAATCTCCAATCCTCACACCTGGGTATCTGTCCAAATTCTGCTCTCCACAACGGTCTTTTTCACTTTCTTTCGGCAATCCTCCTCCTTGCTGCAAAACATTATCGTGGGTTCTGCCGTTTCCCTTTTTCGACCGATCATATACATCGTCCATGTTACCGGCTTGGTGACAGGGTCACTGTGCTTTTCTAGATGTTCTTTGATTTCTTCTGCGATTTGGATGAAATTTTGCCTGGCAGGATCCAAGGCCTCCCAACAGGAATTATATTTGCCCATGTTCCTGTAATATACACCAGCTGATTCTTCTGGATTGGGCCAGCAGCATTTGTTTCGCTTCAGTAACTTTGACCATGAACTTGAGCTGTTTTGAATCATGGCTCTAATGCTTTGACCATTCGAAAAGCAACCAATTTGTTGTCGGGGCACGACAAATTGCAAGCAGGTTACTGATAACATATGGAAGAGAGGAGAGTAGAAATCAGAAAACCGCCCCCGGAAAGGCAGTGTGGAACAAGGAGGTGAAGTCAGCGTTACACTGCACGGGACTTGCAGATGAGGGGCGGCTAATGCATTTATATATTATTTATCCAGCCTTATCAAGGTTTATTGATATCGGACCTACAAGGCTCACAATTTTGTAAGATTAAAGGTTGTCGTAAGATACTATCTTGGCCCAGATTTGGGATTCTGTAAGCTCCTGGAACTCTAGATTTTACCTCAGAGTATATCTCGAGTCCCGTGGAGAAAAATCCTGGTTTGCGGCTTGACTCGCGTCTGGAGACAATTCTTGGACACAAAATTACGTGTAAATGCGCAACATGCAGCAGGCAACTCAAGATTCCCTGGACAGTTGGATGCATCTTTCTCCAATCAGCGTTAACACAAAGTGTGAGATTCTAAACAATCTCTGGAATCTCGACTTGAATCCATAAAATTTCTATGCTAGCGACCTCGACTACGATATATACTTTGCGTACTATACTGAACAATGTAGCGACGCTTTGCATGATCGTGGACGACAAATTTTACTTATAATGCATCGAGACATCATCGATATTGCGAATTATATAAAAACTTCGACAAGCCGCAAGAATATTGCACAGATTCTACATTTGAAGTTGCCAGCACCGTTACCCTCTAATCACGAAGAACTCGTGGATGCATCAATTGGACTTACTATCCGACTGCTTCTTATGATGAACTTTGGGAGTCTACAGTACGGGTTTACGGGTCGGACGAAACTTTCATGGACAAAGGAATCATTGGGAAAGAACATGGATGAATATTTGGGCGCTTTCAGATCTTCAAGTTGCGGCCAAGAAAGAGTGAGATTAGAAAAGGAATTCAACGCTTGTAATTTAGAGCGTATCGCTGGATTACAAATTGAGTGGACAATGAATCTTGCAGATCATCTACAGTTGACAGATGAAGAGAATAAAGTATCCATATTTTGCTATGCTTCATTTTTGGAATGCCAGTTGAAAAGGTATGTACTGCATTCAAATTTTATCTAGATGATAGCTAATTGAAATAGTACTATATTCCCAAAAGGATTTATCGCGGAAACATTGCGAACTATCCGCCTCCTTATTCCTCAAACAGAAAAACAAACTAAGCAATGGTTCGAGAAGAAATGCTTGTCCGCACCTCACCTTGACCAAAAAGTGCTGAAGTGCGGTCGACTGAGGGCAGAAAATAGGCGAATTGAAGATTTTGAATTCTGGCGCGAACAACTTGTGATTCTAAAGCAGTACTCCGATGAAGCAGAACCAAATACTATATCTCAATGGTGGTGTGACAGACGGAAGCGAGTACAATGGTATACTTTCTGGGTTGCAATGCTAGTTTTAAGTCTTACTATTTTCTTTGGATTGATTGAATGCGTGAAGGGAGCCTTACAAGTATATAAAGCATTTAACAATTAAATTTATATAGATAAATTTAGCATTGACGATGTTGAATCAATTCCAGTGAATGGTTATATTCATATAAAGAATTACCATTTTTGAGTTAATAATTTTAAAATAAATAATAAAATAAAATAAAATTAAAATATTAATTTTTGTTAAAAGGAATGACCTTACACAGGGAATAGTGGGAAGCTGATAGGGCAGAACTGAGGCTATATTGGTCTAGTATATTAATCACTCACTATCTAAGTTCTAGTGAAGTGCGAAGCTCTCCTACGGAGAGCTTCTCAATCTAGTCCTAATAGAACTAGTACTTTGTGCACGTGCTACGCAGGAACCATTCACTTTAACAATTTTAAAAATTTAAAAACTTTTAAATTATAATTCGTATAAGATATGTGTAAAAGTTAAAAAAATTATTTTACTTTTCAATAACTTTTACAAAATTTACAAACAATAAAAAATTAATTAATTGATTACCTGATGCGGGTTATGTCACGCCGTCGTAACAAATTTATATACAAATCTGAAAATCATCAAAATTTGAGACAATCTTTTAATAAAAATTACTAAAAATAAACTATAAATTTTTTGAAAATATATATAATATAATTGATTAAATAAACTGATCTATTTGATTAATTATAATATAGATATTTCAAAAAGATTTATAATTGATTTTTCATAATTTTTGTTCAGAAGTTATTTAAGATTTTCAAGATTCTCAAATTTGTATATAAATCCTATACAAATTGAAAATTGCGATTTCAATCTTGAATAACTCAATCAATAAAATTGCGAAAAATCTGAAATTTTCAGAATGTACTATTATATAAGCTAAAAACCTGTGTTTCAAATTTTATTAAATTATATTCATAAATAAGGAAGTTATAAAGGTCGATTTTTGTTGTTTTTGATATAAAAAGGTGGCCGAGAAGTGGGGTACTAAACTTACATATAACTTCAAAACAAAAATAACAAAAAATATTTTATAAATATTTTAATGTGTTTCATTTGATTTTCTATATATAAAACTTTATAAAATTATTTTGATATTTCATATATATAATCAAGATCAAAAAGGGTGGAAAATCGTCGATTTCGCTTAATGTGCGGTGAGTAGATTCCAGAACTCTTATATCTCAGATCACAGGAAGAAAGAGCAGATCTAGTAAATTTAATTAACAGTAAATCATAGACTTCAAAGATAAAGTATATACACTGTCGACAATTGTATAGAAACCGTTCCCTCTTGCGGTCAATAAGTTGCAAGCAGAATAGAATGGTATGGAAAATCGATCATTACCGAGTCTAGGCGACGAGAATTCTTTATTAATCATTATTTACATTATAAACACAAAGAACGCTAATTGATAAGAAGTCAAATATAACCACAACGCTATCTTGATCGAAAGAGAAAGAGAAAGGAAGAAGGCCTTGCTAGTTCTGTACACCTAGCCCATACCAAATATACCTATAGAAATCTCACAATGATGAGAAATCATCTAATTGAAGGTGAGCCATCCTCTTCAGATCCTAGCTCTACAGCCGCGGCATATGAATTTACCGAATTTTTCAATACGCCCGTCCTTGAAGATCTATCTGATGGATTCCGAATGTTCTGGTTGTTGAGGTGCTCGAAATCTGAATTTGCTACCAGATATCTAGTCATTGAAAGATCCGATTCTGGCTCTAGAGAGGTTTCCAATCTCCCAGATAGTAGCGACGTCGAATGTGTCCTGCTTCTGTATGGACTTTTGTAAGAAGATGGGCGGCGATTTGTTGGATAATTATGATGGTTGAAGCTCTTGTTGCTTTCGGCAAAATCGTAGTCACTAGACTTTTGGGAATGGTGATATGAATCGGCACTTTCTCCTGGGTCGATACTTTCTCCAGCTTCTGTATAATCATCAATCTCCTGATGTGTTTCGCCATCAGTATCGTCATCATCACTTCTTGGAACCCGCTCTCGATTCTCTGGTTGAACGCAGGGGCTAGTTCTCCAGTATTCCTTTTTTCCACATTCATCTTTATTTGAACATCGGTGTCGAAAGACCAATGGTGTTTTGGATGTTTTGGATGCTCTTAGATGACCTATGATGTGAGCCTGACTCATTTGGCAGTTTTCCCAGGAACCGCGAAGAAGTTTTGTTTCACAGAAAACGCAATATTCATGAGTCCGATCATTAATCACGAAAGTATTCCTTTTGATAAGTCTTGGTAATCTGCTCTTTTCCTCTATTGAAAGACTTTCAATGTATCTTTTATGGGTTCTGGAGCCGAGGTGATTTCTCATAGCGTCTTTCCTCACAAATATCTTGTCGCAACCAGGCACAATACAAGCTGTGAACTCATAAGGGTTATGGATGGTATTGTGGCGCCCTACCTCTTTGGGCTCGACATATGTGTTACAATCGTCGTAGTAACAATGATATCCTTCTGAAGAGACCTTGAGCCGCTTGCTGGATGATGAGGCTGTAGTCATGGAATCTCCATCGTTACTCCGACGCTTTGATTGAAGAGCATATACCGATGATGTTTGGTGTGTTCGTTGCGATGAACTAGATAGTGTTGGTGTTGTGTTCTGTCCCCTCGGCAGATACTCCTGTGGGGGGTTGAAAGTCCATCCTGCATCGAAGTAGATCTTATAGACGGCTTCTGAAATTTTCGTGGGTTTCATATCCCTCCATGGTACAGCGTCGTGTCGAATGACTTCGAGTATAGAGCAGAAAATCAAGACCTCCAATTCCTGTGTCTCATCACCAGCAGCGACCCTGCGATAGAAAGCTTGTACAATATCTTTTATTTTCGAAGCGACTAATTGCTGGTTTAAATTTTTGTCTTCAAATCCACGCATTCTTTCGCATACAATATCAAATAACTCGCTTTGGATGTTAATGTTGGTGGATGTATCGTGCACAGAAATAGAGGGATCATGGCTCGCGTCGTGGTCAGCCCGATCGGATACAAGATCGCGGCCATCAAGCGCTGTTTTCCTAACATCTTGTATCTGATTTAGTCCTCGGAATGAGGAACCCTCCTTGTTTCTGGTCGATGCTCTGGGCCGAAGCATTGGTCTGGAGTTTTCTATGGACCCCAAGACATTGAACTCCTATCGTAAAACATCATTAGTTTTGATGTCTCCCATCTCAGTAGCATAATGGAAGTATAAAGTTAGATCATAGATACGAAATTCATTAGGTGCTTGCATGCAACAGAGACCTCATATTTAAGGGTTAGACATTGACATAATTTTCATAAATATGGTTCGTCGCGGAAAAAATTTCAACTTACAGACATTTCACGGCGGTGAAGGTGGGAATCTGACACAGAGATTGTGTTCGACCCTGATGATATCCGAGAATCTATTGGCGCTTCGGTCAAATGAGGCATTTCGGAGTCTGTACATTCCATTTGATCAGGAAAAACAGAACTGTCGTTCATTTGAGCGACCGCCGGCTTCTCAGTTGGTTGTCTATCGTTTAATATTCGACGTATTGTCTGAGACGGTGAAGGTGCTTGAGTACTGAAGTCCCCTGTAACATCCCCCAATGCATCGAGTTCTTCTCCACATTTTCGTACGTCAATATAATTGTTAAGCAAATCAGAAGTATGATCGCGATGGTAATCGTAACCTTGAGAGTCGTCGTTTGTAAGGGTAGTTAGATCATCGAGATCATTATTGCAACCATTACTATCTGGAAAGAGAACAAAATGATTGAATAAATTTGATGCCTCTTCATCAAAAGATCCAATACTAGGGGATGCGGGGTACGGACCAGGGTCGACGTCCCAGCCACCATGGTGTGGCAGTGTTCTTTCGTACCTCTCTATGGACTCTTCTGCAGTTTCGAGAGACATGGCATAGAAATGAATAGTATTTTTTGAAGAGGATGTAAGAATGAAATATAGTTAATATAAACTAACCAGAATCTTGCTCCTAGTTCTAGTAGAGAGCTTTTGTGACGATTCTTTGGGATCTGGCAGATTGTGTACCAGTCCCAGGGACTCTGTTTTTGTATGAGAGAGGTAGGATAGAGTAAAGAAACACAAATAGACTCCTTGTTCAATTGTTTAGTAGAAGTATGTGTTGGCAGTCGCCAAGTCGCATAAAGATGTTATTGATGGAGATGGGGATGGAGATGGCGACGGTACCATTAGCAAGTGCTAAGCGAGTGAAGGGGAAAGTGAGGATCGAGAATAAATTGAGATTTAGAATCGCTAAAATTAAGATAAGGAACACGACAGTCTTGGGTTACGGATAATTTTTTCTTAACTGGGTCTCTGGAACTCAAAAACCACTGGGGATGGATGGCAATCATGGGTGGCACTCTTTTTCCCTGTCGCCATCTCCGCCGCCATCCCCAGCGCCATCGCCATCACCAACAACATCTCACTTCTCACTATCTTATTGTTAATAGTTAAATTAGGCCTTACATAAGTCCCTATAAACTGAAAATTTTGCTGTTGACTAATCCTCAGTTTATCCAAGAAACCATCAGTCCTTAACAAAAAGGTGAATAATTTGGAGTTGTTTGTAAGTGTTTCCAGGTTTATTTGGTTCAGCTGCTATGAGTGCTCAAGACCAACTATCAGAAAGCCATCAGTTTGAATTGCTTTTCTTGTAAGTCCCTCACTTAAATCCATCTGCCTCTTCTGAATTCGGTAAATGAACTATCACTTTCCTTTTTGGACCAGGTCAAACGAAGGTCAATGTCGATTTTGATGTAAACATCCAGAAGTATTCTTAGGAACTAGCTTGAACAATCTATCAATAATAGACTAAACGAATCAAGGAACGAGAACAATATAGCGATGTACGTGATACATGGAACTCTCTGGACGTGCAGCCATGTGAAACAGTGGACTGCGTACAAGCTGTGCATCGCCGGGAGCTATAATCAACAAAATGTGCGTGAAGATAGGCGTATTCGAAACTGCTCAGCATGCGAATTACTAAAGGCGCAGAAGTAAATATCACAAAACACATGCGAAACTAGACCAAACTAACACAACTAGGCGTGCCTCGTGGCTGGGATAGAATCAATGAATGCTCAGTCAGGAATGAGAATATAATGTGCTTGATGAAGTTGATAATAGAGAAGTAGAAAGGGCGAATGGTAAAAGCTAGGAACATTTCATCGAGAAAGGTTGTGTGTCTTAATGTCCAACTATGAAGATAGATTCTATATCCAGATTTAAAGCAATAACAATAAGCCTTTGCTCGATGTTGGACAATGTCTCTGACAAAATACTTCGAGGCCATCATAATTTGGTGATGAGCCTGGGCAAGAAAGACTGATATGCGGCTGCTCATGAAAAGGATCATCAAGCTGGAAATGATCATCTCTGTCTTGAGAGCAGGGTGTGGTCTTGGAGCTACCCATTCTCTGGAATTTCGCTCAATTGTGAGGAGTTATAGGATTGATGCGCATTTGACCATATTTTGCATTCCATGCGTAAGGTTAGCTTTAGTTTAAGGTCAACCATGTCCCAGTGAGGGTATGGGTAACTTACCATCTTAGATTTTTGAGCAAATAAGCCATGGCGATATATATGCTACGAGATTAGAGTGATGGAGGCTGACTTTAGGCCTTCAAACGCCCAATGAACCCCACATTCTTCATGTGACAAGGTTAAGGTTACAAAGCGAGGTTTTGATATCCAGGTTGATCACATTCCATTCTTGTGCGCCTGGACAGCCCTTTACACACATAAGAATGGTGCTCCTCGAAAATCTGGGTGCATAATTTACTTCTTGGAAATTGAGTAATCTTGATTCGCATGTTGCGATCGCAGAGGAGAGACTTCTATTACATGTTGAAGCGTCATTAGACAAAGCCCTCGATGAGCAGCATTGCCCCGGACGTTCCATGCCGTGTTCGCCTTGATATAAATCCCACATGCCGACCCATTCGATGGCAAATCAATGTGGTAGGAGGTAAAAGCATCGAGTACACTCTTCCAATTGCTTTCCGAGAAATCGAATTATCAGGCCGGGCTTGTGGATTTTGCCCCTTGATTAAAAAAGGCGTGCGCGCCACGCGTCGTGATGGCGAGCCCCTTCATCGCGAAAGTAACAACAATCGAATTGACAGAGACGGTCGGATCATCGTTCAGAAGTCTGCTCTGCTTTAGATTGAATTGATTCATGAAAAAAATGATGGGAAAGAAGATGTGTTGTCTGGACTTCAATTCTTGGTGGCAAACAAGGATGATAAGATTTGGTTGAGGCCCACCCTCAACTCAAAACCAGCGATTCATTACATTCCGGTTATCTTGGCACAGTCGTGGTTGCGAGAAATGTTTCTACATTGATTTCACTCGAGACACACATCACTATCACTAATTCCTGAATTGAAAACCGCCTTCAAAATTGTTTGTCTTGCGATGTGGCTTCTACAAGTCAACTGCCCTCTAGACCTCTGGATATATTTGGAAATACAGATTTTTCAGTCTAAAAGAGACTAAACAATTCCCAACCAGCGGAAAACAGCCTTCATAGGAAACACTATCCAATCCCTGGGACTCTAAACATTTCATTCGAACCACTTCTTCTAATATAGGACTCTTCTGCCGTAGAATCCGAGGGTATGCTCTGTCGGCCACCTTTCAGGACGCGATATCTGTTGTCCGAGCTTTAGGAATGAGATTCATATGGATCGACTCTCTCTGCATAGTTCAAGACTCCGTGAAAGCATGAAAGCATGAATCTACTCTCATGGCCTCAATATACTCCCATTGCTACGTAAACATCGCGGCTACTGGCACCGATGATAGTTCAGGAGGCTTGTCTTAAACCTAGAAAGCTACTTCATCGATCTATCCCTACATTCGCAAAAGATTCTCTTGGACCAGACCTCGAGGACAAGATCGTATATGTTCGTGGATCACTGAATAGTCTCCATAAACTATAGTGCACTTCAAGTATCTTGAGAAATAAAAGCCGTAGTTCATAGGAGGAAGAGAAACTAGAGGCGCCGTTGCTTTTGAGAGTCTAGATCTCTCAAGAACGATTTTTAGCACCGATAACATTGAATTTTTGCTCGTCAGAGCTGGTCATGGAATGCTGCAAAGAGTGAGGTGTGATATTGGCTCGTGGAAACGAATTGGAGTCTTAATTTTAGGAAGGATGATGAGTGTTATCATATTATCAAAGTATAGGTGAAAGAGAATTCATTTTGATATGAATTGAAGCTCTAATTACCACAAGTATTCCCATTCCACCCAGGGTATTCCAAAGACAAATGATATTAACCTCTCCTCCACGCTACCACCACCTCCATATTCTCACATATCCCTAAATCTTCATACACATGAACGACAAACGATTGTTGGGCACTTAAAAAGAGGGAGAAAGCGCGAGTGACACGGTGCGACCCATGAAGTGGCAGTTGCTAATTCACGCCGAACCAGCCTCCCCGCCAAACCATCCTGCAATACGCTCCCCAGAGGAACCAGCACTGAACGGATTTCTCTCAGACGCTGGGGCCGCCAACCCCGCCGCCCAAAAATCACTCCTCCAGCACCAGTGACAGCTGCTGTATAGAAGAAAGGGGTTTTCACGCCCAAAACCCCTGCCTAAGCTCCTCTTTTACGTATTTCTCTTGCTCGACTATTTGAGCCGTCCATCTAAGCCTGAGCTCGACGGATTCTCTCAGCTGCTGCATCAGCAAACAGCTTATGATCTCCTGTCAAGCCAAGTTTTATCGCGCGCTCGGCACGCTCCACACTATTAGATGGATGATCGCTAACTGTACGAGGTATCCACGAACGTTGCAAGCCCTCACGTCTGAGGATGTCATCAGACATCTCCGTGAAGCGTTTGTACCCACGCTTATACTCTCCGCGGTCAGTGTAAATGTCTGATGCACGTTGATGTCTCGCAACTGGACTTATGCGCACCATTTGGAGAATATCGTGATCAGACAGATTACTTCCGGTCGATGGAGGATATAAAATCAATCATATGGCCTCGGGATGATTTTTGTTATGGACAGATGGACTCTCGCGAAGTTCACGAGGGCGTTCTTGCTCAACACCGAGTGCATTAACGAATCTTATGCTTCCGCCCCACTCCTTAACCAAATATTCGTCAGTGGTCTTCATTCGTTCATTGTAACCTCCGGCCAGGGACTGCAATCCACTCGAACTGAAAGAAGGAAGTTGAGAGCCAGCGATTGGTGGTGGCGAAGGAGAAGGCATGATCTGCGTAGCAGCTATGCGTTGCAATTCTGCAGCTTGCTTCAGATATTGCATTCGATATCCGCGGAGTAATAGCAAGCAAAGTTAATCATAGTTATGGTTTATGTCGTCGTTCTCAGGTTCGAACGCTGCTTGTTCGAACAACATGATTCTGATGACACCATGTAGTTGGTCACGGAGTGGTACATTTGGGCTGCACCGATGCATGCTGTGCCTTTGAGCAAAGAAATTCTCAATTTCGGGACCATTTTTTGGGATCCATGCTTTGAGGTAGCCGAGTTCGTTATGAGTGGGTGGAGGTATGATACTCATTGTCAAGGTACCTGGCCTTAAAACTGGGTATCCGTCATAAGTAAGCTCAAGACCCTGAATAATGGCAGGAATTTTGTGGTGAAGTGAAAGGCCTTGACTATCGAAGAAACGACTGCTGGAAATTTGATCACTGGCAAATTGGTCGTTGGAAGTTTGACCATCTATAGAGGTGATATTCCTCGAAGGTCGATCATCGGGGAGCTGATTTCCGTAGAGTTGACAGTCGAAGCTTTGATTGCTGGAGCTATAGCTTTCGTATGGCTCGCTAATGTAAGGTTGGTAATGAGGGAGTGGGTATAAATATTGTTGAGGTTCGGATGGATAAGCAGTCTGATGATCGAAGTCATCCGAAGGTCGGTAGGAATCAGAAGGTGCAGGATGTGAATTTTGCCGTGGTAGGAGCGAGGAGTTTCCGGATTCTTGATCTAAACAAAGTTATTATTAAACGCCTACACAATAAAGACCGACGAAGAAACAGCTTACCATATAAATGAGACGCTAAATTGGTACTAGCGATACTATAGCGCTCAAAAGAAGTAGGCGGATCGGAGGTAGGTGGATGGTACTCTTCGGTGTCAACCCCTGGCGAGCTATCTATGCAATCTTGTTAATTTTTGAGACTTTTGCCTCCTAAGGGAGGAAAAAAATTACCAGAATACCTTGAATTCGGATCAGAGCCAAATTCTTTCTCTTCCTCTCCTTGCTTGCTAAAAGAAGTAGTTTCTAACGAGTTGTTATTGTGGTTTTGCCCGTCATCTTCCAAAAGAAGAGGATTACTAGGAAAATTCGATAATGACATTGTGGGAAGATAATCAACGTGCGGTAAAAGGCTTTACTGTGGCTGAAAGAAGGAGTAATGAATGATGGATGTGGACAAAATACAAGGCAGATCGGAGGAAGGTGATCTTATTGTTGTATAGAGGAAAGGAAATCTGTAATCAGAAATGAAATCGATGGCTATTTATTTATTACTACTAATGTCATACTATGGCCATGTGGTTAGCCGAGAGTACTAGTGGCAGATGGAATACAGCCAATTCAAGATGGAAGAGCCAATGGAAGAGAGACAGGGTCTACGAAGCTATTTTTGTGTTTTATTTGTGTGACTTTCCCTTCGGAGATCTAATTTCAACAATGCACATCAAATCTAGAACAGTAATGAGCTTAGATCTAACCTAAAACGAGAATATCAATGACATCATAGCAACGCCAGTTAGCCGACATCCTTTGCTAAGGGTCATTTCAAGACATCAAAGCACGAGAGCCAGGATTCCAAGTCCAAAGTGGGAGCACAAGGCCCTGAGAAAACAAATTTGTGATCTGGAAAGTCTGCAATGTGATTCTCTTAATCTAGCTCTAAAGTAGTTATGGATCACTCAAATCGATATAGGTATATCATATTTGAATAAACATTCTGCTCCTAAGAAATGAACGGCCCAGCATGTCAGTAGTTAGGAATTTAATCTGGTAATAATAGACTCTCGAATACTAATATTTTTTAAACCATTTTAAATATTCTTGAACAAGCAAATAATTTGTCGATATTCAGATAGAGCTATGATACAACAATAGAAATTGTGTCGAAGAACTCTTATTCTTTAGACTATTGAAAGTTTTTATATTTAATCTATTACTCCGGGCTTGCTTTTGAATATATAAGTAATCTAGTTATAATCAAAAATATCAAGTCGATATAGATATCTTTTATAAGTACAATAATATAATATGAATATAATTATAAAGTTTACTATATAAAGTGTTTTGATAGATGCGATTATAATACTTTATAGAATGTTAATATTATAAAATAATTTTAATTCTCAATCTTTTTATTCTATTGAAGTTTAATAAATCTTGAAAAATTAAAGTTTAATCAATTTTATTTAATTTTGAACCTAATTCAAATAAAGATTTAGATAAACACTCTCAAGTTTAATCAGACATCAAATGTCAAAAATTAATTTCATAAACTAGACTATAATATATTACAAATACTCTATCAAGCCCTATAATAATCATACTCACGGCGCATACTCACCGTGCTAAAGATGCATTACCTCGCTTCGCATGATGAGTCAGCCGTCACCCCGCCTTACCCCTCATTACCAGATTAGGCCTAGGATGTAGCTGGTGGATAATTAGCAACCTCGACCTCAGTGATAGAATGACAATCAAGCTTCTTTGGATATAGCTGCTAAAATCAAACGAGAGAGATTAGATAAAGTCTAATATTAAGCATGGGAGAGAATTAAAACCATTTACTGGCGAGCTTCGAGCGCCGATAATTAGTTCATCTTCGGCAGCAAAAAAAAAAAAAAACCAACCGGGTCCATATCGGCATCGAACACAAAGGTAAAACAGATGCAACGCAATGAGAGTAAATTGACTGGTCGACTACCTGGAAGGAAGGCAGGAAGAAATAATTTTAGACACACACTTTCAGGACGTAAGATCAATATGCGTGTGCTTTCAATCACTGAGTGAGATGACAGGGAATGACACATGGCGGCAGAACTGCACTCTTGCATTAATATCTGGAAGGGTAATCTCTGATGTATATAACTGTAGCGACTGTTACTAATCTGACTTTCCATACCCGCATGGCTCCTCCACTGCATGACGGAGAAAAAAGTTTGAAACTTTGAACGAGGGACTTTATATGACAAAGACAACAACAACGAGTGTGATTGCGGAGACCTAAAATAACCTCTCCATTTCTGATACTAATCACAGTGTTAGAAACTCAAACAAAACAAACATGTGACAACTCACATAATTATATTCCAATTTTTTCTACTTGGTTGATGGGTTTCCGCAGATACTCCAATCATCACCCGCCTTTTCCTGATGATGGACAGAGTTGTCTGAGTGTCCAGTCTCAATGTTATATAATGAAGTATTGATGCTACTAATTGGATTCCACGGAGCCTGCCCAGAGCTTTCGGCAGCCCAGCGCTCCATTGGCGTCAATGATTCGGCATTGGTAGCGGAGGCGGAGATGAGGAAGCCCTGAGTTTCGGTTTGACTATTGCCGTCATAGGTGGATGCATTGGTCGACCACACACGATGCACGTCCGTGTATTGGACTTGCTTATAGTCATCGGTTGATTGCGTTTTGGCTGTATCCCTGACCATATTTATGCCGGTTGAAGACCCAGTCTGAGGTTCCTGAACAACGAATTAGTAAATTGAATCAACTGTGGGAATAAAAAACAAACCTGACTTGTCGACTGGTAACTATCTGCAGGATTGATCATTGTGATGAAGATTATGGCTCGGGATCTGAAGAGAAAATGACCTTGGAATATGTTCTTTAGGGTCTCTGATTGAGTAACTGTGTTCTTCCGTGTTTTTCGATTTAGCAGCAGGTGTCCCAAGCTGGCTCAAACAACAAACGTGCTGGTATTGCTTATCCCAAAGATCGCGCGTATCCGATGAAGCTGATGCAGAATGAACACGATAATTTATTTTGTTAATGGTTGATTTGAGGAAAGTGTTCTCCGAAAGAGCAGAAGGCATTGAAGGATACAGAAAGATTGAGTGAGAAACTGGTGATCTTATAGAAAAAAATATCAACTTGCTATATCTTTCATCCTCCATGATACCAACTCTAGTTACCTTCGGCTAGCTCAATGTAAAGTAGGGGGCTTCTGTTAGATCCAGACCCAATGGTATAGTGCTTTGTAATTTTCATCCACATGTCACCTGAAAGCCACTTGACAAGAAGTAGGTGAAAGCGAACTTGGTGATCCGGGCAAGGAACTCACAGAATTACATGCTGCTGGGGACTTTGAATCCTTGAAGTGGATCTAACCACACCCAATAACATTTTTACATTTTCCTCTAAACCAGTCTACCTGATTATATCCCACTATATTGTGGCACACTAATGCAAGAGAATTGCGAACCCCCTACCAAGATCTATGAGCTACGGCTTCTGATCTGGGGACTCCAGATGATGTTGCTGCAGGGAACTTTTAGTAAACAAGGTTCCAATGCCGAAAATTCTCAACGACGCTTTTTCGGTTACAAGGATACTTACTCGTGGTAAGCGCAAGTTCGTGATGTGGGTGTCCACCACCCCTGCCAATGCAAGGGAACTTTGGAGTGGACGTCAGAGCATCGGAGCCTCACAACCTCAACCCCAATTCATTGTAAGGTAACTAAACCTTCAATTCAGCAACTAAATGCTAGCATTTGAACCATCGTTAGGTTGAGATGTGATCTGCTTGGGCTGAAGTAATGACTGTTAAGTATGATTGATTTAGAAAGATTTGAACTCGATGGACTGACGGCCACCAAAGTAATCTTACGTTTTACACGACCGAGCGACGAATTGAGAATAATTTGGTTCCTTTGCTTCACCGTAATCATTTCTCTGTGCGATGAAAGTTTGTGGCCATTCAGAAGGAATAGGGTTGAAGCACACTTCAGTATCTAAACATGTTTATCGGGCATGTATGACTTGGATGACATGTATGAATCAATGAATCAATGAATCAATGAACCACCAAGATTGTGAGAAAGGCAATTTGGAAAAGGCATTGTGGATATGCATCACACAACTCATGGTACGTTGCCCTCCCCAAGCTATGAGGATATGAACATCAAAATTAGCCTACAATATGTATCAAAAACATAATGAAGTATCTAGTAGGTTAATCGACAAGAAGAAACGATCACGTGGATGTCAAGCTAAGCGGGGCGGTGATCAAATTCGGAAAGTTCTATGTTAGAGAAAATGCAGTGCGACCTTATAATGGACCGATATCTTCGAGGGAAATGCAAAGAACTTTTGTTAGCATCCAATCATTCACGTCAAATCCAGGCTTACATGACAATCTTAATCGCATATCTTCTATGTCTAGGACTTCGAAATTACCCTAAGCGATTATTTGCAGTGAAAATGGCTTGCACATAGGTTACACGCCTTTTGATGTACATACTCGGAAATTTTGATGCAGCAAGGGAATTTCGGTCAACCGTTGATATGCACTACAAGGCTGAGCGTAACATTAATGACTGATAAGTATCAGGATGCTTCATTTCATTTTATCTATCTTGCAATTCTAAATGCAGAAACGTTTCTGACTCAATCATTAGTTCTCTTCTGAAGAATATTTGTGTTCCTCAATATATTAAACTACTCACTGCCAGAACTGACAATTTGCATCTTCCATCAAGTTCATTCTGGGGTTTTTACCCAATAGCTGTCTTACCAGCATGGATGCTCAGCCGCTTCTCGGGAACGGAATTTCCATTGAGGTTGAAGAAAAACCACTGAACACTAAAGGCCTCAAAGCTCTCTCTTTAGAAGAGTGGTCGGCGTTCAAACCAATCATACAGCAATTATATATTGATAAAAACAAAACTCTCCAAGATGTTGCTAGCATACTCATGAGCGAATTCGGATTTTATCCTACGTATGTACTGATTTGCTTCTGGTGATTAATGGAAGCTGTAGCATGCTAACAATTTGATCACAGAAGGCGCCAATTGACGAGGAAATTTGAGGAATGGGGTTTAAAAAAGAATCTTAGAAAAGCGGAAAGGAAGCTCCTTCTAGAAAATGGGCATTCCAAAGGCACCTCGCATGTCAGTATCTCGGACAAACGTGTTTTAGACCCTCGAAGGATCCAAAGGTTGAAAAGAAGATATGGACATGAAACTCAACGGCCTCAAGGTTTGATTTCCTCTAGTATAACCCTTCCTCAAAAATGTACTGATATTTGGTTTGCCACATTTAGATCTGCCCCTAGAAAAAATTGATGGGGTAGTGATACCTGCTGTAACAGAATCGTGTCCCTCACTCGGAGAGCAGCAATCTACAATAAATCACATGGAAGAGGTTCCTGCAAGTCATTCGACGCCCCTGCGCTTGGAGATTCCCGATGAGGATGCTGCCATGGATTCAGAACATTGGCCATTTGAGTGGGATGCTGTCGATGTCCCAGGATCTCCTGGATTGACCCGACTATTCGACCGATTGGAGCTTGAAGCCTCTATAACACCTATAGATATCGATGATGAAGTTGTGGAAGAAAAGCAACTGGTCTCAGGAATTGAGCTTCGCCACAAAGTAGAGTGCGGGCGGTACAACAAAAAGGCAAATATCTTCTGCTTATAGCCCTATCAAGTATGGTAGCATGCCGAAGGCTGCATTGCAGCTTGTAAATACACCAGGGAAGATACTACTTCAATGGAGCCCGTTGTTTGAGCTTGATATTTTTCCAACTTCTAGGAATACGCCCAGTCATTTGATGATGCTGCCTGCATCTGCTCGGTCAATTGAAACGTGGAGAATAGAACTCGAAGACTGGAAATTCAAGCTTTCGAAATTAAGGAAGATACAATCAGTTCATAATTCAGCAATTATTTTATGTATTGAGCGCTTGATCTTTCTCCATAATAACTTAAACTTCGATCCCCTGGAGTTATACTATCAACTCCTTGATGTAAGACTAAAACAGGTCAACCGCAATGATGAAAAAATAATAGCGACTTACCTTGACATTGTCGAAGAGCTCTTGGAACAAGGCAAAACTTCAGAAGCAGAACACTTGCATCGAAGTTTACACCAAACGATCCAAGAATCTGGGTCGAGCGTTGAACAATCTTTGCATATTCGGTTGTCCTATCTAGAAGCCTCTATTCTATGGGTATGTGGTCAAATTCAGGAGGCCGAAAATATCATCCGATTAGTGATACAGAAAGCTTTAAGATTCCTCGGCCCAAGTCATAAAATAACGATGAAAGCGTTTGGCCTTCATGGCCTTTTACTCGGTATATCTGAGACCGAATCATATTCAGGAGCCGAGAAGCTATATAGATACATCATACAGGCAGGCAGGAGTGGTTTGCAAAATGAACCTTGGAGTTACTTCGAGAATATCAGGTTGTTGATCATCATCCTGAAAGATATGAAAAAATTTGAAGAAAGTTACACTCTGTGTACAAATATTATGGAACAATTGAAACAAACATTGGGGGAGTGCCACTCTTGCTTTCGTCAATTTCAATGCACACTAAGTGGTCTCCTTCGTGCATGGGGCAGGCTATCGGAGTCCATCGAACTTTTACATGAGATGATTACAGAAGAAGACATGGATCGAGATTTCCTCCGAGTAGATATTTGTTATGAGCTCGCTTACGCCCTACATGAAGATGGAAATTATCGGAAAGCGATGGTTTGGTATAAAAGGTGTCTATTATATTCAACTGAGCTATGCGGTCGGCGTAGTAATCATATGATGATTATGTGTCCCAGTGAAGCACTAGGGGGTTGTTATGAAGATCTATCGCAGTTCGAGGATGCATTATTCCTTTATGAGAAGCTTTCAGAAAAATTAAAGATTGCTCTTACAGATGATAACCCATTAATCAAAGAAGTCGAAAGATGGATTAATTGGATACAATATCGTATTAATGAGAGCGTTGCGAGTATCGAGGAGAATGAGGATATTATATATGACATGAGCTTGGATGAGATTTTCGAAATGGAAGACAGAGAGCTTGATGAAAGGATTGTCAAGACAAGCAACCAGATTAGCACAATAAAGCTGGTCTAAGATTGTGACTGCACAGAATAGGTAAGTTCGGCTAAGTATCGCCACCGTGTTCAGCAGATTAACACATCTACAGAGTCAACATCATTTCCCCATTCCTTTAGTATGGCTTACGAATCAAGAGACCGCTCGAATTTTGTTGACCTCGCTCCACCATGTTAGGTTCTTCGCTATACTGGATTATCCACGTAACCTCCACATCCATTCCATACCTCCAATACAGCATACTATAAAAGTCGACGATATCCATGCGAAGATTTACCACTAAATTTTACTCCGATCACCAAATATTTATTCATAATGTTTCGACTTTATCAACAATTTTTCAATATACTGTCTTCAACTATTCATTCATTTCTTATTGTCTCTAAATATTACATTACTTTACGACGTTAACCATTTCTATCCATGACGATATGCATCCTTTGGTCTCATGAGCAACTCCACAGATATCTGGCACTTTCAACCACTATCGGTCGATGATGTGCAATATCCCCTTCAAAAACATTTTCTCGGAGAGTTTCTCCATCGGAGTACTCTCCAATCAATCATGTATTCTTGCCGTTTCCACGTTTCACTTCTACTACCCTTCCCACTTCCCGTCCCATTTCCTCTCCTAAGTCCTCTCCTACACTCTTCCTCTACACCCTCCTCTACACGCTCCCCTACACAACCATCCCCACACCCATCCCCACACCTATAACACTCCCCCCTCCAACCCCTCCAACCCCTAGACCTCACTCCTACAACTCACTCCTACACACATCCCCCGGACACCTCCAAATATCCGTATAGCTAGCCCCACTAGAATACCCAATAATACAAACCGGAGATTTGACCCCACTAGTCGGACTCGTCGTATTAACTGCCGTACAATTCCCCTCTAGAATAGTCCGTCCGTGTGTATACCAAGAGCCGGAGGTAACGTTGAGTACTACTTCTTTACCGCAGATGTCGGCTGGTTTTGTTAGCCTCTACTCTGAAAACAAAGGAGACATTGGACGATTCAAAAAATAAAAGACGAGGCAACAAATAAAATAACACGAAAAAAACCAAGAAAAAAGAATACATACACTGAACCTGACCCGTCGGCGCCTGAAAACCAAAAGGACCCTTGGGATAAAATTCATACGCATCCGTACAATTCGCCTGACTCGCTGGTAAAATCATGGCATATCTTCCCGTTGCAGTCGTGATGGTATAATCTACGAGTCCGTAGTGGAAATCGGCGAGGATGGTGAGGGGGAGGGTGAGGAGGGTTGAGATGGTTAGGAGGGAGCTCGAGATGTGCATTTTTGGTGGTTGGATCACGCTGGATGGATGGATGGATGTGAGATGTGAGGTGTAGCGGGATGGTAGGTATTCGGATGTACGACGGAGTGTTCTTGAGTACGAGTATAGTTGGATGTGTATACTTCAATGTAAATGTGAATGTGAAGGGAAATGTGGGATTAAAGATAAACAAATAAAAATCAAGTCGTATTTTGCATGATCTCCCAGATTCAATTCAAGATTTACAACACAGCAGAAATTCCCCACCTTATAACATTTCCACACCTCATCCCATCCCATCCCATCCCATCCCATCCCATCCCATCCGATCCAATACATCATATCATATCATTCCTTACCAGCCCAGTACATTACAGCACAGCACAGCACAACACAGCATATAAATCCCACCCTGCACATTCCCAATAACTCCCTATACCTTACTCCATAAATTCACACCGCAGATCACCTAGTAAATTCCATCCCCCAAATCCCATTGGCGAGCTCGCCTGATCCTCTATGCCAAGATCCCACTATAGGGTGCTGATCTGCGGAAATACGAGATGCGATATGTGAATGATGTCAGGTACGGAGGGCCGGAGACACGGTGCACATCAGGTGCGTATGTCGCGAATGTTGGCTATGAAATGAAATGAAATGAAATTGGTAATCGGGGATGTTGTCAATCACGAGGTTTTGGGGTTGCACTGCGTGGAAGGGGATAACTGGCGTGTGGTGTGAATTTTTATTTGATGTAGGATGAAGGGGTAATGGGATGAATAGGATTATTGGCTTGGGGTTTTATGTAAATAGGGCTTGGTGTAATGTACGAAATACTGATTGCTACGTTACGCAACACGCACGCAATTTCAAGACTAGGGAATATAAAAATATTCAGGGGTTTCGAGATTCTGTGATAATTTACCGAGGTCGAGGTGGCGGTGGGAAGGAAATCAATCGGTACGGGCCGTGAGGAGTACGTGATGGTTATGACTGTTTAGCTGAATGTTAACATTCGATAATTCAAGAGTCAATATTAATGAACGGACTATGGTGAGTAGGTTACAACTCTCGAGAAATAATATTGATATAGCAAATTGGGAAAACGAGGTTCTTCAATACAATGCGTCTAGCAAAATAAGTATGGCTTCAAGTAAGTTATATCGAACGCCACAACCTCTTCCAGTTGGCCTGGTGGCTTCTTCCATCCTCTCTTCAGCCATATTAAACCAAAAGTTTGAAAACGTCGATAGTATTAGTTCAAGATGAAGGATGAAGAGGAAATCCGTGAGATTTTAGACACTAATTGCATGCGATCTCCCACAGCGCATTTGAGAGAAGGTATATTGATAGGCTATGCAGTGGGCTTCATTTGGACATTAGGAGTTATACATATCACGATCGCAATGACAAGTAGGCAGACCTTTTGAGAAGTCTATGCATCCAACCTACCTCGCATGTCACTAGAATATTCAGATGGGCCGCCTTTTTAATATCAGTACAACTCTGTCTCATGGTTTTTACACCATCTAAATGTCACGACGATTTTCGAAGACTTCAAGCTGCTGAAAGAAGAGGGGAAATCGAGGATTTAAAAGAGGATTTTGGAGACTAATATCTCAAGAGATTTTAAAAAGCTCTTAGTATCGATAGGATTTTCGTCAACGGTGCTGTCTTTGGCTGTTTGTCGATGATGATGATCTCGAGGAATCCTACATCGGCTTAAGCTTATCGCAATCAAACAACTTAACATGTCACTGACCAAGGCGGTAATTTCTGCCGCTGGAATCTGTGGAGGAATGTCAAGAAATTTTGCTTGAAAGGTTCTAACTGGTGGTATTCGCGCCCGAAGTAAATTGGACGTGATGCGCCGGCAGAAATGGAAAGAATTGAATGATCAAGCATTCCCAAATTCACCATGGGAGACAACTAACGATGGTTGATGAAGTATAGAGCCGCTAGGAATGGAAAGTTGGAGATGATATGCCGGATGAGGACAACTTCAAATCAGTGAAACCGGATGTTTTCGGTATGAATGCTTTATCACGAAGAGGAAATTTTAAAATGGGGGATAGAAAAATTGTAAGTCTTAGATGATGAGGGAAACGACAAATCCAACGGAAATTCCCGGAATCCTGTCAAGCCAGACGCTTCTAATAGGGGCGGTTCATCTTGGGATGGAAGCTTCAAAGATGGGAATGGACATGGACGTGGAAACTGGACCTCTGGTGAGAAGAATAAGTGATGGTAATATATGTGCATCATCGAAGAATTAGTATCTTCATTGTGGCTTGTGTGACTGAAGATTGATATATCGTTTAGTGAAACAAAAAGGAAAAGGGGAACGATAGAAGGAGGTATATTGCGGTAAGATAGTTTTAACAAAGTCCCTCAGTATGTTCAAAATCCATTTGCTACATCGTATCGTATCTTGACGAAAATGGGATGACGGGACAATAAGATGATAGCAATGTATTGTAGAATGTTGGGATGGGATGGCTGGTCCATCATAAAAATAGTAAGATCTTATGTCGGCAAAACTTTAACCTTAATGCCGATCTTCAGCCTTACCCCATGGTTCACCAGTTCTACACTAAAAATTCCCACGAACCATCCGATTGAATCACAGAGTTAATCACAATCCAGCCCAGCTTCACACAGCTGCAACCTCCCTTTAAACCATCTACAATATTTCCACAACTCCATCGCACTCTACAAAATGAGCGGCCCCGTTCTGGATATTCAAGCACCTGGCATCCAAGCACAAGGTGAAGTATTACATAATATGCGAAAAGAAGTAGCCACTCTACTTGGTCGTTCCAATCCCAGCTTCCCCGGCGCACAACCCGTCAGTTTCACGCGACGTCATCTGGATGAATTGATGCGACAGGATTATTACGTCTGCGAGAAATCGGATGGTTTTCGTTACTTACTTTACCTGACCGATGATGAGAATCGCGAGGAATGTCAATATTTGATTGATAGGAGGAATGATTATTGGTATATACCTAAAGGCGGACTACATTTCCCGATTCCTCAAAATGTCGCGGGATTTCACAGAGGTACATTGGTTGATGGAGAATTGGTTTTGGATCGAGCTGCGGATGGGTCGATGCAACCCAAATATCTGGTTTTCGATTGTATGTTTTTGGATGGAAATAGTCTCATGAATCGCACCCTCGATAAACGACTAGCCTATTTTACCGAAAGGATATTTACACCTTACGTAGAACTCTTGAGGGAATACCCGGAAGAAAAACAATACATGCATTTCTTGATGGAGATGAAACAGATGCAATTTGGTTATGCGATGGATATGATGTTTCGACAAATCTTACCAAATCTACCACATGGAAACGATGGATTGATTTTTACATGTAGAGGGACGGAATATAAACATGGGACCGATCAACATATTTTGAAGTGGAAACCGGAAAATGAGAATAGTATCGATTTCAAACTCGGTCTCGATTTTCCCACCGTTCAACCTAATTCCATGGATCTCGCAGAAGGAACTACAGAACCATATATCGATTACGACGCAATTCCCATTTGCAATCTCTTCGTCAACGCGGGAAATAATAGGGATGAATGGTATGGAACTATGCATTTAGAAGCAGAGGAATGGGAAATGTTGAAAGCATTACGAGAACCTCTCAATGATCGAATAGTAGAATGTTACATGGATGCGCAGAAGAGATGGAGATATATGAAGTTTAGAGATGATAAGGAAGTGGCAAATCATACGAGTACGGTCGAGAGTGTGATTGAGAGTATTAAGGATAGAGTTACGGAAAAGGATTTACTTGCCGCTGCACCTAGGATTAGAGATGAGTGGAAGAAGAGGGATGCACAAAGGAGAGCACCTGCGACGAGTTGAGGGTGAGATGAGGAATCAGTATTATGCAGGTTTCTGAAATGGCGATGGGATTTTTTTTTGCAGACCAAGGTGTTTTGAATTTCGGGGCGTTGGACAGACGGAAAAGAATTATTGATTTGTAACTTTATTGTATGTATATATCGATAATGGTTATTTTCTGGTATGCGAGACGGCTGGTTGGGGCGGGGGGGCATATAATCGGAAATGATACCCTTTGATGATTATTGAGTTCTATTTTTTTGCTAGATTTGTTTGGATATTCATCTCCTTGTGTGTTTTACTCGTCATTCCAGGTTCAGCTATAGATACGGTAAGGTAAGGTAAGTACTGGTAAATTGCTATGATATCCTTTGTGTATGAGTGTATTGATGTATTTGTTTTCTGATGCTAACAGAGCGGGAGATGGATGGTTTGTATGATTAGCTTTAACCTTATATATCTAGGATTACCTGGGTAAGTAGATACAGATAGGTAGGTAGGTAGATGAAGATATACTACCAACTCCCAACTCTTAATCTGATGTTAAAGTTAAGTGCAAAATATTTTTATAAGTTATAAGATATAAGAATTGGATACGAGTATAAGATTTAAATAAAAATATAAAAATATATCAATTGAAGTAAAGTATAATTGAGAGCGTAATTGAGAGTGTAGTTGAGATTAATAATATCTAAATAAAAAAAAGAATAAGATTTATATAAACTGAGATGATATCATTGATTGATTGATTTTATTAACGTCCATCTTCAGTCCAAGACTATATAGGACGGCTAGGCCCTAAGGGCCTAACGGGTCACTTTTTAATTTACAATATTGGATATGATCTAATTGGGGAAGTGAAAACAAATGCTGGGGAACAGTGCCCGCTCATTATACGCATTGCATATAATAAAAAGATTTTGAAAATCAAGAAATTGTGAGGAGGTCAAACCCCTCTCTTATTTCCTCAACTGCTTCTTCTTCATTCTCTTCTCCTCTCTCCTCTTCCACTACTACTCCTTCCTCTATTACTTCTTGTTCAAGAGTCCTTGCTAGATGCCATGCCCTTGTAGCGATTTTAGTGATATTGATAAATTTGATAGCTAATTCGATACCTATTTTTGTATGCAATAGGAATTGTATAGTGTTTTTGGATAATGGTATCTTCTTAAAGATCTCTTTTCTTTTTGTTTTATATATAGGACAGCTAATAAGGAGGTGTTGTGGTGCCTCAATATTACTGCATATACATTTGTTATTGGTGAGTTTGAAACGATGTAAGTAGGATTTGATATATCCGTGACCTAATTTGAGTTGAAAGAATGCGCTAGCAGTATTTCGAGTAGTTCCGCTTGGTAGCTTGATTTTGGAACCTATTTTCCATGAAAACAGCTTCGAGTAAGTTGATGGGGATTGGTTTGATCTGAGTTCGTATTGTTTGAGAGTATCAAGCCATTGATCTGAGGCATATTCTTTGACAGTCATACCTAGTAGTCCAAAGCTTGTTTCGTTCGAGGTAGGTTGTATTGTGGTTGCTTCCTTGGCTAGCTTATCTGCTAGCTCATTTCCTTCAACTGAGGTATGACCAGGAACCCAATTTAAGGAGATTTCGGCTCCTTTTGCTCTGATAACTTCTGCTGCTTTGATCGCTCTTATCTGATTGGCTTGTCCTGGGTGATCTGAAGGAGTTTTTAAGCGGTATAAACCAGCTTGATTATCCGAGTAGATTTTGAACTTTTGACCAGTATAAGCGATTGAGCTAGCGTATTCAATAGCTCTTGTAACTCCAAAAAGCTCTCCATTATATACCAATTGATTAGTACCAATATTGCTTCGCTCTTGATATAGAATTCGATTATTTGATTGTATAGCTACTATGCCTACTCCAATACCTATTCCCTTTTCGGTGGAGGAGGCATCAGTGTAAATATAGGTGGTATCTTTATCCCTATGTTTGAAAACAATATTATGAAGAATGGCAGCATCTTCTTTTGACGAGAGATGATATCATTACTCGGGGGACAATGTCACGATTCACCATTAGGATTAGTGTCCTGGGATAAAAAGGAATCACGTGATAGGGAGCCCTGAGGAGCCAGAAAGCTCCTGGAGGCTCCCTTTATCGTTCATTATATAGTTAGAATAGTTTCATAGTTTAGGAGCTTCGTGCTCAACTTAGTTATCAATTAATTTACCTACATTCTACTTGATCTAGTAACGACTTCACTTCCAAGTGAAGACCAGTGATAAAGCCTTAACCTACAACTACCAACCAGACGAAACCTCAGGCAGCCGCTGCCTCCAGTACAGTATCGTTACAGACAAATAAATTAAATAATAAGACCATTAATAAATTGAAAGAGATAATTAATAAAATTATATATATTTAAATATTTATAAAACTTATAAACTCCTACAAGTTTAATCTATAAAAGAATAAAAACAAAACCAATTATATAATTAAATAACTAACTGTTACGACGGGCTACACAACTACCAATACACGTGATCACAAATGATCAGTAGTGATCATTAAGGATCACGGTATAGGTGATCACTGGTGATCATTAAGGATCACTAAGGATCACGATATAGGTGATCACTGGTGATCATGAAGGATCACCAGTAATCATAGAAGCATAAAGGACTATATAATCAAGATGGATTTCCTTTGTATAGAGCTTCATGCTCAAGATCAATCATTTAGTATACTCTACTATTAGTTACGAATTGCATTATTGTCATTACTTTAAGTCCCTGCTTGACGCCTAGTTATAAACCACCTCGAGAACCTAAAGCACTTCCACGTGATCTAGACGGCAACCCTCGTAAGAAAATCTTACTTTACAAAAACTATATAATTATATATACTTCCACTTTATATTTGTCTATATATCTAATTATAATCTTACAATTTTGCAGTTACCCACTTATAAAATCAAAAAGTCCTGTCTATAATTATGTCAAGATATTTTCACTTCTAGAGTAGATTACATAAAATCATTACACTATCTAATCAACTCTTAATTAATTCACACATATACATATAACCTTATATTATATCTTGCGAGAAATATAATTGATAGATGTATTGATCAAAAAACTACCTATCTACAGACAAGCCAAAATCCAGGCGATAGACAGCAGCTATGAAACTGCTGCAAAATGTAAAGCTAAGCCATCCTAGTAACTTGACTGCATAGCACGTCCGCCGATGTGAAATATGGAACTAAATTAAAGTATGTTGTTTCATTTTGTAATGACGAGCTGTGTATTCGTAAAATCATTATCATTTCCTCCGTCCTATCGTTGTTTCTTCCTAGGTATCGTTGCGTATTGTAACTTGTGTATGTGGTGAGGTTTGAGAATTTGAGGACTTTGTGGTGACTGGAAAACGGCTTGAGAGATGAATTATCTTTATTTTTCCTCGTCCTTTAACCGCTGTTGATTCCTCCTCGTCGTGAGCCCCAACATCTAAGAAGCCAATCTAACGGCATAGAAAACACCATCCGTGACATACCACTACAAAGCAAAACAACCTAATCAGCAAATTTCCAAAACCACAAAGCAAAAAAAACAGAAACCTACCCTAACATCACCAATATCACCACTATCAATCGTCAACCTATTTCTCTGCGTCCAAGTATTATCAATTTCCCGAACCCAATACATGCGAAATGGATCATCATCAGCTGGTTTCATATCTTGCTTCTTATTTGCATCTGGTGTCTGCATTTGTTGTAATTGGATTTCGCTACTGGTAGCTCCATGTGTGTTCATGGCCGGTTGGGGAACATATCCTGCGCCGAAAGGAACATGTTGACCTGGGCCGGCGAATTGAAGGTAAGGATTGTATGGGTATGGTTGGAAGGTAGGTGGAGGCATGACGGGTTGAGGCTGAGGTACCTATAGAATGATTGTTAGTAGTGAAGTTAAGAAATTGTGATTTAGAAGCAGGAGAATGATCGTGCGCAACTTGCGCCCAAGAAAAGTGAATATAACATCATATCAGAGATTGAACTTGCTGCAAATTGAGAAAAGCACTGAAGGTATGGAGATGGTAAAGGTGCCATAGCAGGTACAGGAGCGACTGGAATGGGAGTTTTGGTTTCTCGAACATAGACAACTCCATTGACTATGATAGCACCATCAGCTCGAGGGATGTAAGTATGTTCATGAGGTCCATTGGTAGTATCTGGAACTTGAGGTTGAAAGTTTTGGACTGGTATTTGACCCATTTTTGGTTGAATGCTTTGAAGTATCGAGATCAATTTATTGGTTGTAGAATTGATGGTGTTGATGCCAATATTTCTTAAAGGTCGGGATATTGAAATTAAATCTTGATATGTTGAGTTCATGGAAGTTGAGGTTGAAATTGAATTTGAGTTTGAAGTTTGAAAGTTCTTGCCGAGTTTCTCAAGTATAGAAGAAATGTTGGGATACAAGAGTTATCAGAGGTGATAAAGTGAATTTTCCGACATGAATCGGAAAGTATTACCACCAAGAACCAAGAACCAATAGTCAATGTCATAGTAGAGTTGAATAATCAGGAGAACAGCTCATAGACCGAGAAAATGAAGAAGAAAAGGTTGACAAATAAGGAAGGAAGAAAGAAAGAAAGAAAGAAATAACTCACACTCGTAACAGGAACCCATTGACGTATATTTGGATCAAACACCATAACACATCTATCACCCTTCTTCTTTTTCTCCTCCTCAAGATATACATCGGTAAAAGGCCAACATGGGAAGCACATCTTAACAATCTTGGTCAGGGATATTAACCAGTGTAAGTGAAGTATGTGAAGATCCTGATAGTAATTACGCTTATTACAAGGAGTAACGTGAGTAATGTCAATCTGCTGAGACGAAGTTGTACTTTAGACAGGAAGTAGGTGTCTATTCAACAGACATGGCTTCTATCGGCATTGAAGATATTCTGATTCCTTCTGTCCAATTTTACAATGTGTAGTGAATTGAAGAGAAGACTTTTCAATGCGCAACAAATCAACTGTGTGACTCAAATGAGTCATCTTGCTTGCTTTTTGCCTTCACATGTTATGTTTCTCAGCCTTCCCTCACTGAACAGTGACAACCCATTGCTGTGATGTGAACTTGATGCATTCAAGTCACGAACCCAACAAAATGAAGTTATTCTAAAGTGGAAACTATTTGTCTCGAGCCTGTTCCCGATAGCCAATACACAACATTTTTATAGTAATGAAACAGTAAAATGATGATATTTTGAGTTGATTCCCCAGTATCTTGCACTGTTATTGAATCTTGAGTCAGCTTTTCTTGAATGTTCAAATGTATCATTCAGAATGGGAGTTCCTGCTGGTAATTTCAATTTTCAAACTTGCATCTAACATTCAAATCTGCCTCATAAAGCATAGAAATTCCGCTCCAGATAGTTAATCCTCTCGCCCCAAAGGTTCTTCAAATTCACTCTGATGAAGTACTCTTGCGAGGACTCTTATGGATTCGATTCCAGTAATCAAACCAATCATCTCCATAATTACCAACAACCTCCTCGTCATCAAAGAATCCGGCCTCTTCCAACTCCGTCTCCCACTTCGTCCCAAAAGCACGCTCCTCCTCTCGGGTGTCAAAATATCTTTGTTGACAATCTTTATCTAGAGACTAGTAGAAAAGAGAACTTAGTAAGTGAAATTAATTATCGAAATCTATCTTGAGAAAAAAAAGTCCGGTGTGAAGTTAGATTGTAATGTACTTACATGCATGATGGCGACACTACATTTTGATGTCTCTCCCCATTCTGTGTATTTGGAGTTAACGCCGCGAATGCCGTCCAGCATAACCATGTAGTCATTTTCAGTTCTGATGCATTTCCATCCGGGCTTGGCGGCAGGATCTTTGCTTAGATTTGGCAATCGATACATCCAAGGGCCATCTGAAAGATTGTATCCTTTGTCATTAGGGTCTCGTATCGTATCTGGTATAGTTTGTGCCGATTCAGTCTTGCTTAACAACGAACCATTACGATCCGCAGATTGTTCCGAGGCATTGGTGTTTTGAATGCTAGAAATACTGATCACTTCATTGTCCCAGTAAAGCGGGGGAGACGTGATGTTTTCTGGAGGAATCTTGCTATTTCGCGTCTCGCCTTTGAGAGTAGACATAAACCCAGGGAAAGATGTCTTATACTTGAAATATAACAAATCAACCTTAGAACTTTGACCCCAACCATCAATCAACGTGATCAACAGAATCCCAAAATCATGCCCCTCATCCTGAATTTCATTCTCGGACCTCTTTCGCTCCATATCCTCCACGATAAGCACTGCCTATATTCACGCAAGTTATTGAGTTGATCTGCTCTATATGTAAATCAAAGTAAGGAAGACAAAAATGAAAACCAAACTTTATACCTTTGACAAGATCGATTTCTCGAATATGTTGGGGTCCTTTCCTAAAAGACCTCTTTCATTGATATCTTGATCAAGGAGTTCCTCGATGGATCTTCTCATAGCTCCATTGTTGGAGTTCTGTAAATGATGAAGTATTCTTTGACCCCGCTCTTCACATATGGCGTTCTCTCGTTCAGTCTTTTCAATGACTGCTGGTAAACCTTCTCCCTCACCTAATGATGTGGCAGCGGCAAATGGCATGGTAGTGTCCGGGTCATACATTGAGAGATGCGTCAGGGCCATAGAAGGAAAACCCCTTGAAGCGCCTATTCCATCTTTGAAGACACTTTTGAGAATCATGTGCTTCACTTCAAGAGGCGTGTAGACACGAACGGAAGAAGCTTGTATGGAGGCAGATAAATTCATGATGATGTTTAGTGTTGTTGTTAACTATAAAAGGTTTTGGCAAAGCTAGAATTGCTAGAAGAATTTTTTGAAAATTGCAGAGAATTTGAAATAAGAAGCGATGGAAAATTGAGGCGTAATAAAATTATGGCAGTAGCCTTTGTAAAGTACCTAGTACGGACGAGCGTGGATAGTGACTTAAATTCTTGCAAAGTTTTGATTCTTCTAGTTTTCACCGTATGGATTCTCCGAACGAGGTCGGTTCAGCTCGTAAGAGGAAGGTGCAACCCATACAGCCTTAAAATGTTCTCCAGAATTCAAGACGAAACTGAGTTCTAAAACTCTGCATTACTCCTGGTACTACAGTGTCCAAACCACCTTGGCACACATCTAGTACCTGTCCCATCTATATATACATTGCCCACCTTGGGGAAAGAGGAGAGATAAACCCGCTTATGCAACCCGCGCCAATAACAAAATCTATTATAATGACAAAGCACAATACAATGAGTGCTAATGCGCTGAAGAAAGCTTATGCTGTTTAGAGCGATGGGGAATGTTCGCTGGCCTGCAGATCTTGAAATCATAAGAAGGTCGCTATTTCGTGGAGGGAAGAATTTTATCGTTATTTTGGTCATTTAAAATATTGCTTTTCTTGCTACCTTGAGAGTATTGTTAGTAAATTCGTGTCGAAATAGCAGACAGGCCAATGTCTACTTACTGCCCATGCGCCGGCTACAGAAGCCACGATCCCACCGGAAATCATCATAGGTCGAACTCCTCTTGTACTTTTAAAAATCATCCCACTCAGCGCACCTGCAAGAACACTGTTCGCCGAATCATGCCTGCCCCTCATATGTCCGATAAATGAGTTGAATCCGTTGTAAACCATAGCAATTACTCCTGCCGAGTTGCCCAAGAATGGCCCTCGCCTCGTAACAGCGTTCAGCACCGAGTTCAATCGTAACTTTGGTGGTTGCGTCGCAGACCTCCTCAAACCCTCCTGTAATCCCCAAGCACCACCCACAGTTAGTGCCGTCAAATATGTAACACCGGTACCATAACATAAATCGTCCGACCAACCTCTCGAGGGTAAGGCAGATTGCGATCCTGGAAGATCCGAGAGAGTAGATTCTTCGAGGGATAGATAGTCTAGAGTCTGTTGGTTCAGACCAGCCAAAGGATGAAGTTGTGATGGATCTATGAGCTCTGGCCCTGTAAGAAAAGAGTTGACATCTTGACCTTCTTGAGGGTTGAAGGGTGTAGGTGTGAATGTGTCAGTTGGGGTATTCAAGGTTGATCCGCCACTAGAAGTGTCTTTTGATGATGGCTTTCGCCCTGTCAACTTATCCCAGAACGACATTTTCGAATATCTATGTGAGAATCTGTAAGGTGTGTAATCGAGGCCGGCGCGAATACCGCACGTTTGGGTTGTAGGGTTGAGAATATGTAAATACAATAAAGCTCACCTGCAAGTCAAGGACTTCAATCGTATCTTTCACATTTTCTATTCAAAAATTTAGTTCCCTCCCGGATTATGACGATGGTCCGTGCACGGTCCATGCTAGATCACGTGTACGATCGCAAATGGTAATAATTTCTCACACCATCAAACTTTTTTATATTTGTACTTCGGCTGATAATAAATATACGAGAGGATACTTCTGTGGGACATAAGTAATCCTCAAATACGGTCATTCCAAAATCTCAGCTCAGAGATGCAAAGACTCATATAACATTTCATTTCCTTCATCCTCGTCGACAGAAATAACTTAAACGTTCAGCTGCAGGGAGAAATCTGAAATCGCAGTGGAAACAATCCTACCTCTCCCCCCATTGGAAGCGAGGATTGAATCCCGCTCGACCACCCAGAAAATACAATGTCATCTACAGCTCCTGATAGTAGAGCTCCAACGGACGATAGGCTTCTACCCAAATGGATTGAAAACCAACCCGAATCAGTCCAGTCACAGTAATTTTGAAATATTCTCTATGTTGGCCATATAACTAATTATTATTTCCAGGCTTACAAGAAGTAGTCTCGAGGACTTTTTAGAGAAAGCTGCTCAACCGCGACATGTGAGCATTTCACGTCCTTCTACACTTTTTTTATTTATTTTCTGCTATACCTTAATGTCTTGTTGCATCTAAATGTCTTATTCCACTCGATATTCTTCTATTTTTGCTCGTCAGGCTCTATTTCAACAACCGGATTATTTCATTTTTCAATCCGGATTTAATGGATTCCAATGTCCAACTCAGTTCCACGTTCGATTTCATTTCAGCATTTAGTACCCTATTCAATGTTCAGATCTACTTTAGACGCCGGCTATACTGGCTCTTCAGCTCTTGTTTCATGTAAAGTTTCGTTTCCTCTTTCATACTGACCATGTGACGCTCCAGGCCTCCGGAAATGCGTGTATAAAATTGTGCCATTTTATTGAGCAGTGTAGAGCCTCGTCATACTCTTCTCTCAGGGAAGCAGCATATTCAAAAGAAACATGTCTAGATCTGTTTAATTTCTACTTGGAATGGAACGAGAAAAATCAACATCGGTCAATGCGTCAAGTTTTGGATCTACTGACTTCTCTCCTCAATTCTCACCCAGATAAATGTGTTTCAAAATCTCTAGTAACTATCATTGTAGAAAGGTTGCTTTCCGTGATCAGTCATCAAGCTTCACAACCCTTAGTCAAGCCAGCCTTCAAAATCTTGGAGCACTTGATAGGAAAGGGTACAGTTATCATCAATGATCTTGCAGCATCTCAAAAACAGTCGACACAAAAAGGGGATCTGCCGAGCTCTACACTTGATGGTATAGTTTCTGAGACTTTTCAATGGATGAACCTCCAGGATGTCTCGCCCTCTGCAGGAAAGTTCCTGGTATCCCTCTTCAAAGTGTCAAAGGAGCTTGCTACTAATGTCAAAACTGATGAATCCGTAGCCCACACTAGGCTGTGGCAACGTTGGATCAGTGATGGCCTCAGCCAGAACCCCGATGCACTTGAGAATATTAAGAATTATCTCCTTCCACCTCTTTTCAAACTTGACCGCGTTGGCTCTCTAGCCTTTTTACAAGATCTCAATCAGAAGGGACCTTTAGAAATGCAGGGACAAAATATGGAATCTGAATCGTTAGCTCATTTGTCTGCAATAGAAGTTGGGAAGAAAGCTGGTTTGGTCGAGGATTCCAGTGAGTCTCCCCTCCACACCAGCGGGATCAATCAATTAACAACGATAGATGTCACCTCGTTTTTGAAGCCTCCAAAGAAGAATCCAGGCTGTATTATTTTACACGAAGATACCATCGGCCCATTATTGACCCATCCTTCCGATACTGTTAGATCATTGGCTTTTTCAGTCTTAGTGTCATCTGCCTCGTCAATTAGGCCATTCAGCCCCGCTGCGCTCGCTTTCCTACAAGATAACATGGCTCATCTTTACGCTGACACTGATGCCAAATTTCGTAATGATGTCCTAAGCAACACCAAGCACATGATAGAACGTATCAAAGGTGCAACAGCGTACCTGGTTAGGGAAATTGACCGCATGATTATTCAAGACCGTCAGAGTGATCGTTCAGATGCCCAAAATTTACTTCAAAATCATGAAAACTTCCTTGTGTGGTTTTTGGAATTCTTGCAAGGGGAGCTCGTGCCCACAGCATCTTATCAACGGCATATCACATCGTTGAGAGCAATCTCCTTGCTGCTACGTTCAGGCATAGAGGAGTATTCATCCGAAGAACAAAAGTCAACATCTACGCCTGATGCTACTGTTTGGGCTCATAAGTTGGCCGTGTTCAACCTAGAGTCGATGCGACTCATTCTCGATCTTCTCATGGACCCATTTGAAGACGTCAGAGGCGGAGCCACGGCAATATTGAAATTGGCTAGTCCCCATAATTTCCGATCCTCGGAGTCTCAATCTCCAACAGACTTTGACGTGTTAATGGACTTTATTAGTCGTGCAGAGGATTTTGCAAAGCGTACAGGTCGAGCGGATTATGCTGATGGAGTCGCACGGTCATACCAAATTCTTTATGGTCTCTCGGACGAAAAGGGCCGTCTGGTTCTCGTCGAAGGTCTCGTAGTCGGATTAGAGAGAAAGGTTGCAGTCGCCCAGAAAGATTTGGGTCAAGCTGTTCTTATTGCTCCGATCCACAGTGACTTTTCAACAATAAGGTAAACTCCATTCTACCGGTAACAAGGATTACGCTGATTTTTGTCACAAGTTACATTTGGGAAGAGATTGAATTCTCACGAGATGACTCCGCGGATGAGGAGTTCGCTAGAATCCGAAAGGAGTGGGAAGTCTTGCAAAGCCGTATAATTGCAGGTTGTTCCAGCATATGGGATGCTGTAAAGGACATCCTATGTAACGATTCACCAGAAGGCCATATCCCCGAAGACGTTGATGATATCGAGTCTATTGATACCAAGGATGTGTTGAGTTACAGCTTCAGGGCGATTCATGAATCGAGGTAGATCACTCCCTTGTCAGTTTACTGAGTTTCGGGTAGCTAACTGATTTTTTTTTTAGTAATCTGATCAGGACTGTTGTGACAAAAGCAAAGGATCGCTATTATGATGGATCTTTAGTAATGAGCTCTGAGCTCTTCACTAGAGCTGGAAACTTGACCTTTGAACAACTTTCTAGCCTACGACATCGTGGGGCCTTTTCCACAGTCTCGTTAACATTTGCTAGATGCTGTCAGCTTTCGCAGTGTCATGCCTCAAGTGATTTGCTTGAGATATGGTATAAAGTACATAATGATCTCAACTACCCATTTCACTTGTCCTTAGCCAGCTGACTGTTTTAGGGTGCTCTGCAATGCATTTTTGAGCAAGCTTCTACAACACGAAGATCCGCAGGAATCCCGGCACTCGTTACTGGCATATTATCCGCAAATGCTAGAAGTCCAGCTTTCGAAGATGTAATGACGGAGTTGAAGTCTTTAGCCAGACGTCCCGTTGCATTGTCTAAGACAGATGAGACAAATCTACCTCAGGTTCATGCAATGAATTGCGTAAAGGAGATATTCAAAAGTTCTACGCTGGGGAAAAGATCAGATAAGCACATCCCCGATTGCTTACAACTTGCTGCAGATAGCTTAACTTCTGATATGTATGTCGCCAATAATCAAGATAAATTACGTGCTAACTGAATAAAAATAGTTGGGCGATTCGGAATTGCGGGTTATTGCTGTTAAGAAGTCTTATCGACTGCCTATTTGGTACAAATGAAAACAAAGCTTCTATTGAGGCTGGCTGGGATGGTCGTTCTACGAAACTGTCATACGAAAAGTATCCAAATCTTCCAGAGATTTTGCTGAAGCTCTTGAACAAGGAGACTATAAACACAGAGGATACTAATGCCCCAGCAATCGGCGCTATCGAATCCGTATTTCCGTCTTTGGATATTATCCGTCGTGCTGGTCCTCCAGTCATACTATGTAACGAAATCAAGGAAAGAGTTTCTGTACATTTGGGTAGCAAATTTTGGCACACCAGAGAGCTAGCTGCTCGTACTATGTGTACCTTTATGCTTCATGATAGGTGGTTACTTGACTTAGAGAACCTGCTCAAAATAGCTAACCTATCTACTAATTACACCCATGGAGTTTTGTTGACAGTCAATTCTGTGCTGGAACGCCGCCTTGCAGTATTCTCAAGCCCTCCTAGTAAGTACTAATCACATGATTATATCTTCTAATCTAATTATGTACCGTAGATGTCGAAGATCTCATCACTCTAAAAGATAAAATTGAGGCATTGGACCACATGGGCAAATGCCCGGACGTTTTGGCGACTTATGTTGATTTCAAAAACCTCATTTACCAAATCCTGCTGGATGCATCTTCTTCTTCCTCTTCTCTAAGCAAGGTTAACAGGGAGAACGTCATTGGCAACTACGACGCGTATAACTTTTTACTGGATGAGAATGGACAAAGCTACTCGAAAGTGAGTGTCGATGTATCTCGCGAGAAATCCCGCATTGGTGGCGCTTTATTACATCAAGCAACTGCAAGGGAAGCTGTATATATTTCTGGCCTGACCGAAGATATTCAAGCCCTCAAAAAAGTCTTGAATCATTATTGCGACATAGATGTCGACACAGCTAATCCGTCTTTGGAATGCGTACTGCAAGCATGGAGGAATCACAGTATGATCGTGTTGGAGGCTCTCTTAGACGCAGTAATCGTAAGCCCAGCAGACTTGGAAAAAAGTGGACCTAGCGCATACGACCAGTACTCCAAAATGCTCAATAGTATCAAGCAATGTGATATGGATCAATACCTACTGGATATTGGGGAAATTGCTCATTTCATGGGTTCAGAAACTGGGAAGTCTGGTCCGCATCTAGCTCATGCATTGATGAGAACAAGCGGCACCTTTATGCTTTTCAATTGGCTGAAATCGAAAGGAGACGACAGCACTCAGATAAATTTCATGGCAAGAGCAGAGCAATGGAATGAGGCTGGTAAATCATACAACGTGAGTAGCTTCCAATGAAATGTCTCCATATGTCTCTAACTGATGATAGGACTTTGACACACGTTTTGCTGCCGCGAAGGGACTTTCTTACTTCTTTGCATGCCTACCTGGCGAATTTAAATGGAGTTCCGAAGTACTTCCATGTCTTATTACCCTATATGATACCCTCAATGACGATGACGATGAAGTTCGTGAACTTGGAGCAGAGATCGTCTCTTCCATTTTGGGCAAACCTTTGATCCCATTGGCTGCGTGTGAGGAATTCGCCGAATGGCTGAGACTTCAATATCCTCAAGATCAAATGTTTAGCTGGAATATCATTTGCCGGATTACAGGGGGTGATGAGTTCATATTCCACGGAGCCTATGCGGGGCTATGTTCGCCTGAAGATCAGCTTTCAGCAGCAATGAAGCAAGACGATGCTCTTTTTGTTGAAGAAGAACAAAATCTGTTCATTGATGAAGTCAGAGAAGCTAAGCTGTGGAGTAGCATTCTTTCAAAAGATTTTAAAATGCTCGAAAACAATAAGTCTGCGGAGTATCTTTGGCAACAATACAGTTACCTTGCCCAATGGGTTCTGGATGCTCTACGGAGGCTGAACGTACTTATGGAAAAGAGTGACGGTCCTCTTGGATGGACATCAAAGCCAACTATGTTTGCGTCTTGCATAAGAATTCTTTTAGGAGCAAATGCTCTAGTCGAAAGCAGACACGCTCTACCGGAAGGTATCTCACGAATTATTCGCCAAAAAGAGATCGCCGACGAATTGGATATTTTCAAAGATCTGGGCGAGAAGAATGATATTCACCCATCTTTGCTCTCCAAAGTTAGGAAGAGTGAAACTTCACTCCTCAACCGAAGTTAACGAGGCTTAGGACTAGCCTCGCCTCTTTGTCGTTCTGATTGATTGATAGAAAGCAAATAAATATAAACAATCCAGGCCGGAATATTTCTCCCAACAACCATATTCCAATTCAGTCAAAACTGGCCAATTATCTTGAATACTCGATATTCTGGTTTACTATTACTTCTCTTTTAGGGTCTTAAGTACTAAAGCCACACTTGAAGAGCATTCTGGTAGATTCTCCTTCCTTTGCTCACCTTTACGATTTGACAACCTTTCGGCTTTCATCATATCCTCCATTTCTATCCAATTCACCAAAAGATTTTCAACCATACCTACTGGGCGCTTCCATCTCTTCTACCACGAAAATATGCAGAAAAATCAGATCATAGCCATGCTTCTCTGCTTCGCTTCCCTACTCATGTTTATTATAATCTTCGTCACCATGCGACTTGTCAATATTTTTGTAAGTATCCTCTTGAGTCTTTAATTTTCTGTCCTGAACTACGTGCTGTGTTCATTTCAATCTGGATCTATTTTCCTTACTGCTAAAGACATCTCTGCGATTTCTTAAACACAGCTAACTTTTCAATTGCAAGGCCCACAAGATGTACGACCCAATCCACTATTCTCACACTTCTTTACCTTTAGCTATTATTTCTCCACACACCAGCGCAAGCTGACAGCCATAATTTTAGATCAGATGCGAAATGTTCCATTGGAGAAGATCGGGCAGTTGATGGCGATGATGGTGTGACGGTTGTCACTGAACCTGCTCCTGCGACAGTCTGAAAATTTTCAACACGATTATATGCAAATTCTATGATTCTAGATGAACAAATGATAGATAGTGTGGAGGCTGTTAGTTACGTGGAGAACAATTTGATCATGTCTATGGATTGGGTACAACAGCTGTGGATTTTATTATGAATGAACAAACGGTGAAAGTGTTGTCAAGATGGACGGAAGATTTGTCTTTGAGTGGATAATTATCAATGAAGTGGTCGTGGAGCTGCTGCTGCCATCACCCTTAGATCTATTCTTCTCGCTCCTGTCAAATTAAAGAACTTTAGCTACTCAATTTTCAACTAAGTACAACTTGCATCCAACGTCTGAATGTTGCCACTAGTGCCAGCCAGACATTCAAAACCCGCCAAATGCATACCACTAGCGAAGACTCTCACTAGTGTGATAATTCGATTGTCCGCACCAAATTTATACTTCCAATCATTTACGGCCCTAACACCACCCAAATTGCATCTTTCGTCGTCGTCTTCGTCTGCACATCATCACTCTCATTATACACTTCCCCACAAGGAAACTTTTTACACCCAGAAACCTCACTCTCCCCAAATCCCTCTCTACTCCCCTCATAATCCCCATCATAATCAAATCCCCACATCCAATGCACCCCCTCATTATCACAACAATTCCAAATGGCCTTAACATCAAAAAACGTGATATCCTGCCAACACGCAAAACATACTTCGCCCAGAATATACTGTTCGGGACCTGGATGATCCAGATTATAGAGTTTGGGATCGACGGCTTTGAAATTTACGGCCCAGTTGGGGATGGAGAGATTGAGGTGTTGAGAGGGCTCTATTGATTGCGCGGGGATGGAGTAGCTGTTGGGGTTGGGAGTGAAGATTAGGAGACGGGTGGTGGGGAAAAGGTTTTGGAATGTGAGGGTGTGGTTTTGGCTCGTGGTGAGGGAAGAGAGGAATATTATGGGGATGAGTAAGGATAACATTTTCTTTTTCTGGGCGGATCTGATTGGGCTGTACTTTTGTGGTTGCTTGGTGGTTGCTTCGATTGGAATGTAAAGTTTGAAAAGTTTCAATACCTAGTTAAACTTGAGATGAATTAGCGGGCTCAATGGCATTTATTTATACTCTTGCTCTTTTTTACTTAATTTCACGATGCAATTCTTTTTCCTGAATGCGTGATTGATGAAGTTATAATGCGTATTCGTTACATTGTCGAATGAATATAATATTTTGGCTTACTAGGGGTGGTTGATGGTTGGAATTTTGCTGGAAACGGAATGTTGTGATTGCTTCCGGAGATGAAAATCTAGGAGATATGGGGAAGTTTCTACCTCTGGTTTCGGGTACGGATTCAAGTTTTATATTCGATTGTATTTTAGAATGTCCAATTAACTCGTGGTGAGTTTAATATGCGTAGATTTTGTTGACTCGTTAGGTGTGTACAAGCAAGCGACACGAGCTCCGAACCTGAGCCTGCAAATTTTAGCTTGAAAATATCGCTAGCGATTTTGCATTAGATTATGTAAAAGTAAATGAACATCAAATCTAGCTTTAAGAGAATAGAAAAACAGATGGAAAGAAGAAGAAAAGTATATAATATTCATATCAAGTAACACGCATAAACTAGCCCTAAGCAATTGCCCTTGTCTCATTATACCAATCACTTTGAAAACATTGACATCCAGGTTGTAGATTTTCTGGTTGAATTTTCCGAGGATGTTTGTTGAATAGATTTACTATAAAAATTAATCAAGGGGTACCGAACTGAGAATGACATAACGATTGTCCTAAAAAGACTATATAGGAATATCATAGCAGACCTGTTTGGATAGATGGTTTGGAAAACAATGTGTATTTTGAGCCTCCTCACTGTGAAATTAATTCATTTCTCCGTGCTCGAAAGGTCGAAATAGCGATATTGCAATGTCTAGCTATATTTTATATATTGTGCTATATGCACTATGCCATATATCAGTGTCATAACACCAACGTATTTCCAAGAATATCATTCCAACTTTCTTCAGTTCTACTCAATCTTTAGCAATGACAACCAAAACTGCAGCTGAGACCTGGGAGTTTAGCTGTTTAGCAGATATACTAAAGCGATGGACACCCATCTTCATCACAGAAGTCTGAGGTCTCCCATCTATGAAGCCAGGCCCTCAAACATTCAAACCGGTTTGACTCAATACCCCATAGGGTATCTAGAGTAATTTCCTCCAGTTCTCCTCTTATTTAATCACGTTTCTGTAGTATCTCACTCAAATGTGTGTTATCTTTGGATACATGGAATCATTTTATCTGCTCATTTCATCTATGTACTCGCAGATGTCATGAAGCGTGACAAGTTCTATATCAAGGAAATTTCGAACATTCTAACTAGCTTTGAAGTATTTTAAATACAATCTCAGAAATGACTCTGGAAAGCAGTATATTGCACTTACTGGCACTCCTGAGGAGATAAGTATGAGAAGAGAGAGAATCAAGAAAGGAGTCATGCGGATTCCTTGCAAAAATGTTGAATTTGAGCTCATATGAAGTTGCGGGATGATGTGGATTTCTTTCTCCCCTAATTTACTGCCTATCAATATTTGCGTGAGTAAATAGGGAAGACGTTGAATATACACTCAACAGATAAAAAGAATCATCCCACCCAACTAGAGCTTCTTGAAATTTCACTTTATCTCTCCGGTCTACTTCCATCAATTATCTCGTCACATCCCTCCTTATCTCAGATCGCGGAGACAAGATGGTAGAACACACATCTTGGGTTCGTCCCGTATCACACCTACATACTGTAACATCCTGGAACGAGCACTTGGTGTCCCATAATTTTGGATAATAAAAAGACCATTCGAAGAGGAGGAAGGATGACTGAAATTGGTCATAAATCGGGGCAGGAAAATGTCACCAAATCGATACTTTGAATTCCAACTAATTCTGAACAACCAAGGCCATATCCAGATAGGAAGTATGAGGAAATTCATCAATATTCATTAGGGATCTTAGGTAAGTACTTCTCATCAAGTTTCTCCTACCCAACTTCCATCCTTCTTTTGCTTCCCATCGCTTCTTCCTTCATTAATCCAAGTTTGTACCAATCCTTGCTTAGGATCCTCATCTTCATATCCTAGACTCCTTCTTACTTTGAGCACTTCCTGCCTAACCCTGGTCGTGACTTCCTCCCGTAACGCAACTGCCTCTTTGTAGTACTTAAGCCCTTCTGTAAGCTCCCCCATCTCAATATGATCATCTAGGCCCTTTTTTCTTAGTGCTTCCTTCTGTAATTGTACTAGTTTTTGCCAACGAGCGCGTAGATCTCCGAATATGCGTTCTCCATCTATTGATTCTCCAAAAGCAATACGGACTTTCTTTCCCGCACGAGGCACGAAACGTGGAAACTCTCGCGATTCGTGCATGATGTCTTGATTGCCGTCGATAAAAATGGGAACGATCTCAGGTAATGGTTCACTTTCAAGGATTAGACGAGAGACTCCCCATTTGAAATAGCGCAACGTCTTGTTTGGATGTTGGTGCACTCGTCCTTCAGGAAATATATGTATCCAACTATGCCTTCGTGAGGTGTATGCAGATGGAGCAGGAAAGACATCTGTGCCATTTGTAGAATACGTGAGGTCGCCGGAAGAGAAGGGGTCGATGATATCAGGGTCTTTTGGCCGCATAGAGATTTTCTTCTTGGTCTTTTGTACTGGTGGTTCATAACGTGTGGAGAAAGGCTGCGCAGATAACATCCGTATAGCTTGTGCGATCGTAGGCTGGAAAAGCCCACCGTTTTCTGAGTATGCGCTTCGATGAGTGGGTAGAACTTGACCTAATGTAAAGAACGAGGAAAGTAGCCTGTAGAGAGGTCAATAATGGGAGTGGCAGATGAGTGGTGAGTTTGCTGACTTGTTCTGGAAGCAGATATCATAGCTACCAAGACTCCATCTGTGATTAGAGGCGTTGAAGCCGTATTTGAAAGGTAGTACACCCCAGATCAAAGGGTCATCCATAACGCTGACATGATTTGAGACAGTGATTAAGCCTCTTTCTCTATCTTCGGGGTTTTCCCGTTTATCCAAAGTTGCCATAAATCGTTCTAGCCCAATGACCTCCATATTGTTCAAACCATAATAGAAGATTCGGGATACCGCACCGGTGACACCCATGATTAAGCTCGAGCCAAATCGCCATGGCAGACTGGGTTTTGATGGAGGATCGGACTGGAGTTTGGTATAAGGGTTCAACATTATGAAAGAGAAATATATATACAAGTGAGAGATTTCATAGGTCGTAATATGGATTTACAATGAATGTGGTGAGCTGGAACATTGAAAAGTTGAGAATGCCATGTTGAACTTTTAAAGTTTGACCAGAGAAAAAAGTGACGTCTCGATGCGCGACTTGCTAATTTTGGGTTGGGACCTGCTTAGACCCCACATGCGGCCGCTCACCCCGGGTGACCCAACCACACTTGATGTTTTACCAACGTGCATCTTTCGATGTGCATAGAACTTCTCGGCCGTCTACTAATCTTTTCATTATCAATCTTTAATGGAACATCTTCAATATTTGAAGTAGAATGTTTGGACCATTAATCTAATACTGCCGTGAAAACATTAAGGTATAATGTTAGATATCTTTCTTATATTGTTACAATCTATCACGCTTTATCACACAATCCGTCATGAACCCAAAAACCCTAGCATTGAAAAGCGACATCTTCCTTCACCACTTTATTACCACCTGCACTAGCGAATCCTGTTCCCTCACTTTTGATCTCTACTAACCCCGGCTTAATCTTTTCTTTATCCCCCTTTTTCGCTTTCTCCTTCCCATCGTTCCGCTCCGTCAGATCTGCTTCGCAGACATAACATGCCACAGCGTTCTGATCTGTCCCAGCCTCCGCGTGTGGATCGTGAACCCCGCTTGGAGTCATGAATTTTGTGACGCATGATTTACAGAGGACATGACCACAGGGCTTGGCGAGTACGGCCTTCGAAGTGTTGGTCAATTGCTTCTTACATGAGGGACAGACTCTTTGGGACTTTTTGGTGACGCTATCGTTTTCTTCTGTGAATGCAACGGTAATCAAGGTATGAAGTGAGTAATTATGTGGTTTATCTTGCTGTGAGGCAGGGCAAACTGGTGATTGTTTGACTTTTTTGACGATGTTGTGGAGAGTAGTGTTTGTATTCGAGCTTGGGGTAACAGATGGAACCCAAAAACTCGGTAAAGTTGTTTTAGAAGCCGGTCATAGTGTTAGTAAATGATTTGATTAGTGAGGTGGAAATTATACCTTTTCTTCATCAATAGCTTTCCTAGCTTTCGATCTCTCATCCTGCGCAATTCTCAAAAGTTCATCCTCGTCTAACTCGAATTTTCTTTTTTCTCCCCTCTTCCCACCTTCACCATTTACTTCTTCCTCTACCAAAATCTTTCCCCCCTCCCTCCCTACAATCTTACCGCCCTTTCCCCCAGTCTTCCCCTCCAACCCCATTTGCACCCTCTCAAACTCCTCTACGGCCCTCTGCCTCGCCTCATCTTCTTCTCTCATATGATCTTCATTCCTCTCCTGGTCGTCTTTCTCCTTATTCTTCTCCAGCCTCTTGATTTCCTTCTTCTGCGCCAAGATATTACTCAAGGCGCACTCGCGACAAAAGATATCACCATGACTACACGATACAGGTGTACGCGCTGGAAGGAGACATAAACGACATGAAGCAAATGGTAAGAATGAGTCTCGAGATAGGCGAGCACTACTGCTCGTCCAGGCTGATTTTGCTAATTCCCGCTCGTGAGAGGTGAAGACGGCACGGGAAGTGTTACGTTTGCTGTGAGACATGGTTGTGTCTAGGGGTTTTTAATGTCGAGAAAAGATATCGATGAGAGATACAGGAGTATTGGCAAGAGTTCTATTCCGAGATTTCAAAGATGATCACCTGACGATGTAATTGCGCGGGAAATTTAGTCCGTGCCTGATGCTAGCTCTAAAATGGACTAGTGCAATAATGAAGACGACATACATAGGATGGAATATCTTGGACACGAATTCTTTTTAAAGTTTCCAACAACATTTATGGCATCCACATAAACCTGAATTTCTCTTCATTTGGTGAATCTGAATTGGAAACATTTGAAAAGAATTCAAGCCTGAAGGATTCATCTGATTGTCAAATGTGAATTAATATTAGGACATTAATATTTGTGTCACATAGTTCTTAGGGTGACGTTTCTTCAATCAGTCTATATCTTTTATCTTTTGATGTCGTGTAGTTCTTCTATATATCTCTTTCGTGTTAATCCTTCTACTTTCTTCTTCCCATTCCTAGGAGAATGCTGCCGTCGATTTCAATACCCCGTTTCTGTGACCGCACAGTGATGCGACCTCAGAACTCAGAACCCAAAAGTTAGTCGAGCTTTCTGGAGTGATAAAGCGGAAGATAAATGCAAGGCTTGACTAAGCAGAAACGAATGCACTGATAACAGCATCAATTTACCATCCATCACAATAGGTCGAACCAAGATGCCAGATGGGTGTCATGGTCCACAACAATTGAAGGATGGCATTGCGCAAATCCGCGTCCACCATGCAGTCGAAAAATTTATTGAAGCTATCCGTGAGGATTATGTTTATCTGCTAGCTTCCTCGTACCACAATAGCAGTCTTTGTAGTTTCCTCAAAACGCCAGCTCGCGGTAGTTACAACACCTGTCACTTTGTGCATTTACATAGAAGAATTTCAATGAAGATGTTGAGAAGTGGGTGGTAGCGTTCCGTGCTTGGCACATGGGAGCGGTGCTAAGCCCGAGAGCCAGATTGCTGCAATGCAGTAATGACATTCTGTCTTTGATCTTCAGGAGTGGTACTGATAAATCCTGTGTCACAGGCTTGTCCGTGATAAAACTACGATTGCGCTTCCCCAGATCTATGCGTACAGACTCGGGTGAAGCCACAAGCCTCTTTTATCGTTTATTATTCTCGAACAAATTAAGGGGCGCTAGCTTTCATACGGCCAGCCGAGAGATCTCTCGGACGAGCAGCAAGAAGACTTATATACTTCACTTCCGATATTCACATCCAGCTAAGGACGCTTGAATTTCCTTAAATTGGATTTTTGACTCGCGCTTTAGACTGCTTTGAAGTGAGCAAGAAAATAACTAAAATCGAAATCAATACGCAGGAGCCAGACTGTTTGCAGCCTTCCGAAATACAAAACTTATTCTATGATAGGAATCTTCTCACTTCGGCTATGATTGCATGGCGATGCTTCTTCAATTGCATACAAAGCGTTTGCAGAAGGTCGAAGCAGTGTACTCAATGGAGATCAGAGCGAGGATGCTCTATAAAATCTCCATATTTTCCGCAAGTATGCCAAGAGCTGAGTGGATTACCGCCTTGATCAAGTTCCATTTGTCTTGATTCCTGGTGATTTTGAGCCTTCAAACTTATGAAAATCAATTACTAGCAGGAAAAAGGACGAATGCAAAAGAAAATAGTAGTTTTCTTGTGGCCGATACTTTGGAAAATTGAACGAACATGAATTGCAGGTGGTGTGCGAACCGATGTCAACTGAAAGTGTTGCCGTAAGGTTGACCTGACTGGGCGAATAAATGATTTCATAAAGAACCCAGTTCTCAAGGCCTTGATTGCAAGAAAATTTTACGAAGGAGCTGTCTTTAAGGCAAAATTGAATTAGCGTGACAACAAAACTGTTGGGGTAGCACGTCGTGAGAGTGATAATCACGTTTCAGCATCTGCGATCACCAAAGCATTCCTTGTTTATCAGCTCCGGAAAAATAATATCTCGCCCTTTCCACAACTAGCTTTGGAATTTTTGGTAGTTTTCTGTGGGTCAATATACGTTTTCGTCAAGCCTATCTTGCGGTCGCCAACATCATGTTGTATCTTTTTCCTCCTCTAAATCTTTTGCCTCCTCCAAATCTTGTAACGCTTCCAGCTCCGTCTCAACTTTGGCATGCGACTCCTCCAAGCGAGCAATGTTGATTACATGGCTATCAACTTCATCCTAATAACTCAGTGTGGATGGGGCTATGCCTCGAGCAGCCAGCACTGCTTTTGCTGCTAATGACGCAAGTGTTTGAGCTTCTTCATCCATCGTGTCTACGATTCTCTGCATGGCCTCCTGCTTCTCTTGAATGTTGATCCTCAACTTCTCTTTTCGATTCATCAGCGTCTGAATTCCTGCAATGCGAGCGTCAGTTATTTTGTTTGACTTTTTTTTTACAGGACTTTTTGGTCTCCAAACGATGTGTGGTCACAAATTTCAACTTAATTGGAATACGTAAAGGATTTCATACTCAAGGAGGAATGCTGTTCCAATGGATTATTTATAAGGATATACTGTTTAAAAGTACAAACTATATGGCAAACTAATCCAATCATAAGACTCTTGCCATTGCGAGATACCATGACAACAAACCAAAACAACCTGTAAATCACATCAAGCACACCAAGCTATCGAGCTGCCCTACCTTCCGGCTTGCTTGCTTTCTTGCTAAAAGAACAGTGTTCTTAAGCCTGTGACTTATACAATACATCATCTCCAATTGTTTTGTTCTGCAGCTATCAGTTAACCTGCTTTACATCTGTTTGTAGGCGTCCGGTGCATGGAAACCGTAGGAATTAGAGTAATACGATGTTGAGGCAATTCACAATGAGTACGATTTATAGAGGCTAGTGTAAAGCTGTGTAGTTGATTGCCTTAAAGAAAGAGGCTGTATTGCGCATATGTTCGAAAGAATATTGTTGGGGCGATGACTATATGAAGGTCGTCGCTTAGGCTAGTTGCATAATGCAACTTGCATGTGCTGTAAAGGCATGTGGCAATCAACAACATCAATCATGTTCTTTGACTACCAGCATACTTTGTAAATATACTAAGAAATGAGAAATCTACTTTTACACCCATTGCACTCAGATGTTCTGCATAGCCCCACATCCCATACGTACCACTAGCACAAATCTCGAAGGCCCATCAATACCCCCTTGAACCCCACTACTCCAACCCTACACCTTCTTCTAACTAAAACTATCCCAACCTACCTCACTGAATATCCTACTTTGTCCTTTTTCAGTCTTACGATGCTAGTATTTTATTTTCAGAGGTGGGTGAGTATGAGCGGATACTAGAGATGGATCGGAGGATTAATGGCTATTGGGGTGAATCTGATTCAAAAAATTTGCCTTGTGGTAGAAGGGGACTTGGGTAATGCAAGAGAACAGGGGAAAATAAAATAAAGACTCTAATGAGTAGCTGATGACGTTGCTAACTTAATGTATGTTTATCCCTACTAATTTAATATTGAAATAATTCTGTAACTGCTCAGAATTGTTATATATTTTAAATAATTATATCATCATAGTCTGATCATTTAAAAACTTCACTTCATTTTCTCCTCGCAAATTAGATGTTTTTCGCTTCGGTTGTTAGTAATGTCTCATCAAAGATTTTTCATTACTCCAAACAACCTCCTTAAAAGCTCACTTTATATGTGGACAACCAATTACATCATCTAGCCTAGACTCACCTTCTCCTTTCCTAACGTAACTTTTTGTTTCGACCCGTTCAGTACTTTGATTGAATTTTATTTGGAAATCTGTAAATCCGATTGTGCCTGTTATAAGAAATATGCGCATTTGAATTGCCTATGTTTTATTGATGGAGAAGAGTAAGTGAAATAAGTAGGGAAACCTCACTTTGCCGCCTTTAATTCCCAACCATCAATCTATTCATGAAAATGAGTACCAATAATTTCATAGCCCTACCCTTCCGAAATGGTTAATTTTTTGCTATTATTTCTGATGGTGAATGTTGAAATGCTTTCTTCAGAATGGAGGATTGCTCGAAGTCCTTGACCTAGCTCGCTAACGAAAATCGGCACTTTGAGGAATCGTGACTCCTCAGTATTTCAAACTCTTCCCGGAGATTGGAAATATTCACTTAGAATCGTATCATGATAATTAGATAGGGAATGCTGAGTCTAAGCGTGCTATCCTCGTTCGACTTTTCAATATCTTAGTCCCTCTTGAACAACCAGAATTCATATTCTGTTCCTCATAGAATGCTGTATCCTCATTTTCTTGGAACTATAAGAAGTATCATCCCACATACAAATCCCTTCTTTTTCCTCGTGGATGTGAATGACTCACTTTCTCACCGTATTGTGATTATTGATATCTTTTTTTTAGGAAGAGGCTAGTTTTGTTTATGGCTTTTTTTTTCACATTTAAACAATACTATTCAAGGCCGTATCTTTGTGCATATCGGCGCATATATTTCGAAGCGAGATGGTTAATTATTCTTAGACACAAAAATATCTTAAGTCAGATCGACTCCAATTTGATTGGTATACAGGCACGATCCATTACCAATAAAAAATCAGCAATACAGGTCATCTCACTGTTCATAAAGGCTCTCCAACCAACTCTCGAGCCTAGGGTACCTCCTACAACAACAAAATCAAATAGTGCATCGTATTCTCAGCTTGCATCGAACATCAGCTTTCACACAGACATAATGTATCCACTATTTGCAGTAGAAACCTCATCTTACCAATCACATAAAAATAATTCTTCAACTGGACCTTCGATGAATAAACTCCCTGAAAAGAAAGATTACCCACGAAAGCGCCTTTCTAGACTGGAAACCAAGATGGATCAACTTGGAAAATTTGGTCCGGACTTGAATGCTCTCGAAGGAAGAACACAAAAACTTTTGATAGATCAGACGAATCTTAATTTCAATCTCTTGGGACGCCTTCAGATTCCACAGATATCTTCTCCACAAGGATGTCCTTCGGTACGGGGTCCTCTCCAGCACCCATATACGCATTTTCGGCAAGCGTCTAACTCTAGTCAATTTTCTGCTAATCAGGATGTTGGGATTGGAGCAGTGGATGTTGAAATGGGTGACGCGCCGGATATCAACGTTGTAGAGTCGGCTATTGTCGCGGAGAAAAATGAGGATCGAAATGTAGATGCAGCTCCAGCCTTCACCCGCTCACCAATCACTGTCTTTAACATTCCAAATCTGGTACTACCTCCCTCAAAGTCATCTCGTTGCTCAAATTCAAATATAAAATTTAATAGTGTCCAACATCCGGCCCTTAAAACCAGCACAACCAATATCCGTGATCAAATCGAGCTCGAAATATCCCACTTGATAGTAAAAAAGCACAACGAGCTACGACTCATAGAATCCGAACTAGCCAAAGCACAAATAATGCTCGAACAACTTCGACGAGTGCATTTGAAGCCATTCAATCTTGTTCAGAATGAGATGGGGGAGGTGTATGCGGTGAGGTTTGTGGTGAGGTCATATGGTGGGGAGGGAAAGAGGCAAAAGACGATTGAGAAGAGACAAATGAGGGATGAGAAGGCTGCTGAGGAATTGGAGATGGAGGAAAGAAGGAAAGGTGGGAGTGGTGTGGGATTGAGGAATAGGTATGTTAGGAGGTGAGGGGCGGAGCGCTAGGATAAAGGAACATAGAGATGAAGTTGGTAGGCTGCATTATTTCCGATATGAAGACGACTTTTCAGCGAGCGTGATATCGTGGAATATGAGAGAACAAAATAAATAATTGCCGATGCAAAAGATGTAATTTGAATGTCCAACTCTGTCAAACAATTGTCTCGATGAGTATCATTATCATCAGAGAGTCAGAGTCGTGAAGCTTAATAATATGATATGAAAGCGTGCAATCTCCAATGATGCATTCTATTAAAAAGAATAACATGGAAATATTGGCATCTTACTCATTGTAGGTGATCAAAAAGTTCTGAGCTGTGATTTCCATCAGGCCGCCTTTCATTGGATTTATCTACCCGCGATGCAGCATTGAAAACTTGAGGTGGTGAGTGAGAATATGCTGGGCTGAAATGAAAGTAGATCGAGTAGTTGCTTTTCCCCTTGCAAATAGAGAACTTGTCTCGGTGTTTTTTTTGGTTTAGAATCAGATGTTCAAGATGAGGCTCCGCCATAAAACTTTGATGGCAGTAAAACACACGTGGCGGCGGCAAAGAATAAAAGAGCGTGATGAGAGATACCGCTATTCTTACCGCATTCCTTTAGCCCTTCTTGTGCAAACGTCTTTCACTGCTAGTAAGAGTTCTGGACTCTACTCACTGCACAGTGTAACACTTTTCACCTAAAACCTTAATTTATTCAATTTTTCAAATCCTTGTTAAATCTGTATATAAAATGACAAATTGAATTTTTTTTTAAAAAAAGTCAAAGATAGTTATTTGAAATCTATAAAAACTTAATTGATTTATTTTTAATAATTTTTATTAAAGAATTATATAAAATTAAATGTGACGGAAATCCCTGCTTTCCTCCCACCTTTATTATATAATAAACCTCAGGTACATTAACCATGTCCACACATGATACGATTACTCGAGATTAGTATGCGATTTAGGTGACCTGAGGATCAGATCCGGACAAGTACTAGGTATCAATGGTTATCGGTAAAGTAATATCATTGGAGGAATAAATATGACTTCTTTTTGCCTAGCCATTGCGGCTAGGCCATTCATTTGTGTATATATAGAGTAGCTATCCCCATCTACAGGTGCTCTTCACCTGTAGATTCTAAGTTAAATACAATTGCTGGTCTATAAACACCCTTTTGGTCACATTAAAGATAAAAATTTAAAAAATTTAAAAATTCTTATTTATTTTGTATAGAAAACGCGTTACACGATAGAAATTTTAAAATTTTACAATTTTAAATGATTATAATTTTTAAACAAAAATGATTAAAAATAAATTATATTATTTTTCATAATCTTATTTATATTCATTATTATTAAAAGATTGGGTGGAAGAGGCCTCTATATTGACTATATTACTACGTGTGTAGGCATATTAAGATCTCCTCTTGGTATCCTCGGAGGGGACCAATATGCCTGCTTATGGTTCGTCTAATCTAGCCTGTTTAGGTAACCGTATTACTAATCACGACACGTGATTAATACCGGTAACTTCTATTCCTTTTAACAATTATAATATATTCAAAGTTCAATTGATTTTATTGAATATTGAAGAAGTTATTCAATGTTTAATTTTATATGAGAAAATAAGATTTTTGCAAGGATTTTGTTACAAAACGTTACGGTGTGTGGTAAGTAAAGTCCAGAACTCTTACTAATAGTGATCTGCGCAATGTTAAAGCGCATTTTATCCGAATCCTCAAATCCACATTAAGGGAACTTGATACCTCATTTTATTTTATCTACACTCCAGCTATAGAATATTTTCCTATCACTGGCCCCATTAACCTTAAATCTTTATCTATATTTTATTTTTGTGTTCATAAACGGTAGAGCGTGTCAATATGTGAACGGGAAGATAGAGACACCCTAAATAATATGGTATGCGATGAATGTCTTTGAGGTGCTGAAGTAGATGATGGGACTCGAATTAGACATTGATTTTCAATTAACAGGAGAAGGGACAAGAAAAGAAACAAGGGTTGTTAACACTTTTCAACTATCTTGGTAAGATTATGATACCTTCAGAAATTGTCTTTGACTGTTGTCACTGGAGGGATAAAAATTTCCCCTAACATACTAGGGTAGTGCTAAAGCATTAGCCTTGGGCAGAGAACGAGATATCAAAGTTATCAAATAAAGCTATCTTCCATCACAATGTAGCAGCAGCATGCCATATTAATGTTAATGTTATCATTAATGTTCACATTAGCGTTTGATTACCACTAAACATGCCTTTCTGCCTGAGTCGAGATTTTAGTCGCCCATTCCCGAGACCGCCCAACCCCTAAAAGAAAGACCCCAATCAATTATTCATAGAAGACAGTATAGACATTGAAAGGTCTAATACTGGACGGTAACAATGCCTCAGGTTCAATAACCTCTAGAGATAGATCTAAGGAATTAGAAATCTCCGCATTCATTACACCGTCATCCAAATCGCAAAGCCAATGTACCATCAACCTAGTTCTTCCATCTGGTCTTGCCGGTAAAAGAGATATCTGGCCAGTATTTGGTGGGATTGTGACATCCGCCGTGACTGTCGCATATAAGATGTATTTGAAACTCGGGTGATCTCGAATGAAAGCCACTAGGGAGCGCAGAGTTAAGAGTCGAGTGGTTCCATAGTATTCTAGAGGAGGACCTGGTTTAGAGTGTCCAATTGCATTCAAATGATTCACGAAGTCCCCTCGATCAGCGAAGTTGCAAAAATGTTGAAATAGCATCCGGCCGGAAGGGTATTGCAACAGGCGACTGCGTCCGGGACTGCTTTCGTTGTAGAAAACTCTAGTTCTAGTATTTCCCGTGGGCGTCGCTTCCAAAGTTGCAATCACATCTGTATGAAGATCATTGAGCTGGTGTCTTTGCCAGAGTTCGTGTGGAAGTCTAATAGGAATAGCAGGGAGCTGGTGGTGATTTTGGTTGAAGCTCACACCATTAGAAATGGATGCTGAATGTTGAGCCATGATTGTGACTTATGTCCGTTCCTTAACTTTCCCTGATTGTACTGAGCTTGTACCAAACTACAGGTTCTGGAACCAGCCAATTGTTCGATTAGCTCGGATGCGAAAGTAGATAAAATATCTGGATATCATACTTCTAATCAGGGAAAAGCTGGAGTATATATACTCCAAATTCCCCTTTTCCAGCAAAAGTCAAAGCCGCAGACCTAATCTTTCTCACTGAAAAAGATAATTATTACATCTTTCATTTATATGCTGCAAAATCCTTTCTTAAAAACCATGTAGATCTGCACCACAAACAAGAAAATCTCCAGTAGCTTTGAAAACTTGTCATCACCACGATTATCTCCATACTCTACCCTAAAATTCTTTACCATGAGAGGATGAAGAGAAGTTATAAAGAGGCGAAAAAAGTTGAAGAGAGTAACCCAATTCATTTCTGGAACAAGATGACAATGTAGCTGATAATCATTGAAATTCTTCTTTGTTTCGACGTGTGAAGGGAAATGGGTTCCAGACAGGGGCATCGTGTAGTTATAATAAAGGGTATTTGATATGAAACCATCAATAGCACCTTACACAATCCTTTTATGGGCACCCATCTCTACCAGAAATGGCGTTTCAATTTCTCACTCCAATTTAACAAACGCTAAGTAACGATCCTAGTCCGATCAGAAAGGCAATCGATTGTCCTGTCCTAGCTAAAGTCGTCACTTCGAGGATCTCATTTCAAGTAATGCTTAATTGAATAGTGATAATCATATTTGTAGCAAAAGATGAGGCATACCATTGAAGAAAAAACGACGCGAATACTGAGACAATGGATATAGGGGTTACCATTTGTGGTACAGCTTCGAGACATAAACGGAGTACTGTTGGGACGGAGAGTATTGTCCGAGACGAAAGTGTGATTTGACTGATTAAAAAAGAATAATTTTTAGGAATGAAATGAGAATGGGTCCGGCTCATTCGGGATTGAATGTAAGTTTTAGTGAAGAATGTAGAGAAACTGGATTTCAGAAGACTTGGATATTTGTGAGGTCATGTCCATGGTGATAAGAGGCTCTGCGCAGACTGTGGGTCATAAAAGTTTGACCTCACAAGCCTGGGACTAAAAATAAATTTGATGCAGACCACGCTGCTGACTCCGACATAAGTATTGGCAGACAGACAATGCACTACCATTGATGCACTCCTATTCCATCTCAAAAACGATCGTTTCTTTAGGATGGTAAAAACTTGAACGTGCTTTAAGTGTATAGCCGAATCGTTGCGACTAACAGTATCCGAAATGTTGATTGCAGGTCCCAGATATAGAGGGTAACATTTTGGCGGAACCAACGCCAATTAAAAGTCCCAGTCGTATCTGGTATTGATTCTTTGATCACTAAAACAATTACTAATAGGCAAATAAGCTTGACAAGCAAATTCAAACCAAAATATAGACCCAGATATAGTCAACGTGGGGAGATTTGCATAAAACCATAAATAATTAGTATCTTGGCCGAGGAAAGCGTATACGAGGATATGCATAACCGCGGGCTCTTATTTTTAGCAGCATCAATCGAGAAAACTTGCGAATTTTGACAAATAGGAGATGAGAAGGAAAAAAGCGAGTAAAGGAGGTAAGCTTAAACGGCGGGGCTCCCATGAGCGGCCACCAGCGCTTCGATAGACCTCAGAAATTATTGGCGACCGAACGAGAAATGTAAAGAACTTATATCCAGGACGACATTAAACCGATTGAAGTTTTGTGTGGGTGAAAATGACGCTCCCTTACTTGTTGAGAGAAACCGGTCCAGTTTAATCTGAGCTTCCAGATCGTGCGACCATCACTTCTCAGTTGAGAAACAGAGAAACAGCCGCGAATCAGTATGGAGGACAAAACCGATACACCCAGTAGATGAAAGACAAGAAAACATAGGAAAAGATCAATGAGAGAGATTACTATGAGGGAGGGAGGAAAAGAGGTGGGTATCGACGAATTCATCTCTAGGCCACTATGTGGGCTCTGAACCTGGAAATCTCGTTCAGGATTTTGCTGAGGAAGGTAGACCATAGGGCGGAATTATTCGTGAGAATACATCGTCGCTGACGGGTTCACTTTCTGGAGGATGGTATTCTGACGGCAAATTTCAATCCGCCAAACTTGCTTGGTGCATCATGGTTGTCATTATGGCTCTCTAATGTTCAAAATATGATGAAGGTTGATGGTACGGATGCGGTTACGCGGGTGATTGATATTACATAAGCATAACCTGGGGTAGGTAAATAAGGTTAACAGGGCTCCTTTGTTCACTAAGGTATGACGTATATGATGCATTTCACGTGTCTGAGTTTTAAATACATGAACTTCATCTATTTCCCCTCAAAATGAAAACAATGTTATATTTTCAATGATTTAACGGATTTCACTCTTCTACAGTAACACGACAATACTAAGACTCTCGCAGAGTACTTTTTACTTGAAGGAATAACCATGGCAAATATATACAACAGCCAACTTGTAGGGCACCCCGTCCACCTTCTTCAATATCGATACTAATAATTTATAGGATGCATTTACATTGTATCACCAACATCACGATACTCCTTCATCTCCTACCACCTCAACAGCTCTTCCAGCACTCGGTCATGCCATAAGTGGTGCAACTGGAACTGCCATCTCGAATCTCTGCATCTATCCTCTCGATCTCATAATAACGCGTCTCCAAGTTCAAAGAACCCTCGCAAACAGCTCTTCTTCAACTACCTCTAAAACACAAAAATACACATCAGTCGCAGATACCTTTGATAAGATTTACCATGAAGAAGGAGGGATTGCTGCATTTTACAGTGGAGTTCTACAAGATACATCGAAATCTATCGCGGATTCTTTCCTCTTTTTCCTATTCTATGGATACATTCGATCAAAACGATTACAATCTCATAATTCATCTTCCAAAGCTGCTCTTCCAGCGCTAGAAGAATTAGGTGTTGGTGCGTTAGCTGGTGGATTGTCAAAGTTCTTCACTACTCCTTTATCCAATATCGTCGTACGAAAGCAAACACATTCAATGACTTCCTCCGCCGGCTCAAAGGCTCCCACCATATCTTCCATAGTATCAGATATACGAGAGAAGAAGGGCATCACTGGTTTCTGGTCTGGTTATAGCGCCTCTTTAATCCTTACTCTTAATCCGAGCCTTACATTCTTCTTATATGAGTTCCTGAAACGGGCTCTGGTGCCGAGAAATAAACGCGATGATCCAGGGGCGCGGATAACATTCTTATTAGCAGCCCTTAGTAAGGCTGTTGCAAGTAGCGTTACATACCCCGTGAGTCTAGCTAAAGCTCGAGCACAAGTCGATGGATCTTCTTCCTCAAGCCCAGTCGACAAGGAGAGTGTCGAGAAGTTTACAGAGGATGTAAAAGATGCAACAAGGAATAAATCCAGGGAATCTGCCAAAGAAGCAGAAAAACACCTGGTAGATGTTTCCAAAAAGGCGAAGAGAAGAACCATAATACATTCAATACTCAAGATTTACAAGGAAGAAGGAATAGGAGGACTGTACGAGGGTATTGGAGGAGAGATTATCAAAGGATTCCTCGGCCATGGATTAACAATGATTGTCAAGGACCGTGTTCATGAACTAATCATCTCGCTTTATTTCACGGTCTTACGTCTCCTGAACCGTAGCCCTTCATCAAAAGAAATAATAAGCGAAGCAAAAGAAAAAGTAATCGAAAACAGCGAAAACCTAGCTTCGAAAGCCAGAGAAAAGGGCGAAAGTGCTCTTAATAGCCTCAAAACAACAGGTGAAAGCACTATCCAATCTGCTCGCGAAACCACCTCAAATATTACATCCACCGCTCAAGATTCCGCTACAAATATCTCCCAATCAGCAAAAGACGTTTCTGGAAAAGTAATCAACGGAGTCAAAAGCGCAGGAGAAAAAACAAATGCTAATTTACCAACAACAAAGGAAACAACGGATAAAGCAACAGTAATAGGAAATAATCTAACGGAAAAAACAAAAAATACAAATGAATACGTGAATAAGGAAGCGGGCCATCTATTAGGAAATGCGGGTGAACAGTTAGGAGAGAGGATTGAGGGGTTAGGAGGGGAGGTAAAGAGGGTAGGTAAACAGGGAAAACAAGGGAAGGAGTGAATTCGAATTTCTAATTGTGATTTTAAGGGCGTTAGTGACTTGTATTTTATAGCGATATTTGGGATTGGAATTTGGGAATACATATGTGGGTACATACTGGGCGGGTGGGAAGCTTGAAAAGGATTGGCAAAAGGGTTTTGAGGGTTTGGGATGGTGATACAATTATGGTTTGCTACGATAGTATCCTATACACGATGGAATTCTAGCACATGTTTTATTAGGTAACATAAGATTCCAGTACTTTGCTATAGCAGTATATATATTTCACGCACGTATTTAAATTAATCATAACTTGGAAATGAGAGAAAGGAGTACTTATAAAATAATAGCTCATGGGTAGAGGTATCTTACTCGACGAACGCTGTACGGAATCGGATCCCATGAATCATAATCTCAATTTCTCTAGTTCTAGTTCTAATTCTGATATCTGTATAGATATTGCGATCTATCTATCCATCTACACGTAATAAACATCATACAACCACAGAAATCTTTTTGATGGCGAATAAATAGAACACGCGCGGACAGAAAAAAGTTTGTTGAGGTGGGAAATATTTATATGTGTACATGTAATCTTATTCAGCTCAGTTAGCTAGATATATAGTTAGCATTATAAAGCTAGCATGATAATATTGCAAGTATCCGCCTCTCTAAGAAGCTATATTGCAAAGCTCATCTCATCTTATCTCATCTCATATCGTACAATGCGAATTTATCCCCCCTAGCACCTATGCCCTATTCGATCGGTGACCACTTATTTCAACCGCGGCTGTTCGGAATTCGCAATTCTATAACTAGCACATAGCAAGCTGATATCCTCCCACTCTTCTTCATCCCAGAGGCTAATACTCGAAATCATCATCAACACTCGATCCTTTACTCTTGGTAACACTCTCTTGCTTTCTATACATTTCCGCCACCTGTCTACTACTCGTCGCCATATCGGGCTTCTTATCATCTCGGATTTTGATGAATCTTGGGAATCTTAATGAAATACCTTTTTCACCACCCTTGTCGACACCTTCCTTACATCCTGCTTTATATCTTGGACTTAAAGTTAAATCAGCTGTCTTAACTTCCCATACATATTTAGGTTCGAACCATACATCAGGTTGATGTTGGTTTCCTGATGAATGGGAGTAAAAGGGTTTAGGGCGGTCAATGACAATAGCAGAGAGTTGAGCGTGGAGTTCTTCAAGAACTTGTTCACTGAATCCTGTTCCGATGTTACAGATAGTTTCGTAAGTGTCGGTGTGTGGATTATGACAGGCGAGGAGGAAAGCTCCATAGACGGAAGTACGTTTCCCTCTACCATAGTAGGCACCTAGAACAACAAGATCGAGGGAGTCTCCGATACCAGAGAGATAGTCCTTTTTGATCTGAGAAGAATGTTAGTACAAAAAGAAAAGAAATACAATATGAATGAGGAGAAATATACCTTCAGCCAATTCCTACTTCGCTTACTAGGCTCATAACCACTCTCTGTACCATCCAACATCTTTACCATCAGTCCCTCACACGATGCCTTGACACTCTCGTCTAAGAATGTCTGAATTTCATCAATTTCTTGACCATTCATACTGGTAGCGAATTGAAATTCGCCTTCAACAGGTTGGAAAGCCTCATGAAGAAGTGCACGACGTTCTCTTAATGATTTCTCAACAACTGCTTCACCATTCAAGAAAAGCAAATCGAACGCAAATACACAGACTTTGACTTTAACATCTTCAACCTTGACATCCTTCTTCTTTCGTGTCATGAGTTGTTGAAAAGGTAAGACTTTCTTTTCAACCATATCCCAGGCAACAGTTTCGCAATCAAGAACAAAACTCTTGGTATCTTCCTTCACCCATGTGTTTAATTTGCCAAGAATATCCGGGTACTTCTTGGAAAGATCCTCAGAGTTTCGCGAGAATATAGCAGCGAGACCACCGGCAGAGGGTTTTGCCGCAGCAGGCGTAGCACCAAGATACTGTTTAGGAGAATCCTTGGCGACATAATGTATTTGAGCTCTTTCTCCATCATATTTGTATTCACAAGTGAAAGTTTGGTTCTCAAATCGATCAAGAACTTCCGTGATTGCTTTTGTAGGCTTAGCTAACATAGGCTTCAATGGTACACCAGGTTGTAGCTTGCAGTTATCTTTCAGGCTGAAAATTCCATGCTCTAACATTGCTGGAATGATCACATCGTAACTAGGAAGGGAGCTAAATTTCGTTAGCAGCTATACTCTCTATCATGAAATTGAACATACCTATGAACAGCTTTCAATATCGACTCTCCATTGGCCAATTGTTCTGTACTTGGAACTTTGCCAGATCCTTTTGCCTCAATCTCATGACATACCATCGCCTGAGCTAGAGATACGAGAACAGTCTTCTCCGCCAATCCGAGACGAAGTTTTCCTTCAAGGAAACGAACAATGTACTTTGCTTCGCTCGCCCCACCTTTATCCTTGGTTATGTCAACTTTACCTGAAGAATGTGCATCAGCCGCGGAAAGTAACTTCTTGATGCCATCAACCTTTCGGCCCTGAGCGCCATTGCCTTGAACTGTAGCAATATCGATCAGGCTCTTCAAAACAGCTCTGACTGTTAATGGCTTTGGTTTAAACATCACAGGCTGATTTGATCTACTCTTGACTGCCACAAGTCCAAGATCACCAATTTCCTTCTGGTCGTTCTTGATAACGCTCAAATTTCTTCCCGTCGATTCTCCAATAGCCTTCATGATCAATGATTCACCGATGCCCAACTCAATTCCAGCATAATCTGCAGCCAATTTGTTGATCATCAAAAGGACAGTAGATAAAAGATCATCAGGAGTTAGACGAAGTACTTGACGAAGGAACAAGGAACAATGCGCCGTAATAATCAATCTCTTAGTCGTCATCTCTACCAAGGAGAAAGTTGTACAAAGAGCAGCATATGGCACTGGCTCTCCTGCTTTCCAATCCGGATATGGGTCTTTACCCTTGGATTTTAATGTTGTTTGGATCTTCTCTCTAGCTTTGGCAGCTACTTCCGGTTTCTCGTCTCCACTGGATTCCAAGTCCTCCTCAATTTCTGATTCTGACGCCGATTTGGAAACAATTGAGTCTCGACGTTTTGCAAGTTTCGGTGATTGCGCAGTTTTCTCGATTTCGTCTTCGTCTCCTTCCTCTACCCCTTTAGCCTTCCTACCACGCTTTGCTGTTGGTGACAAATTCTTCGAAGCGTCTTCTTTTGGAGATGATTCTGGTTCAGATTTGGTCTTGGGTTTTTTCGCGATGGTCTTTGGTGAAGGTTTCCTCTCCTTTGCTTGAGCATTTTCAGCCCTTCGAGGTTTCTTCACAATGGGTTCTTCATCATCGTCCTCATCCTCTTCTTCCTTGACTTCTTCATCTAGTTTTATAGCTTTAGTCTTCGCTGAGAGTTTCGGACTAGGCGACCTCGACCTCTTAACACCTGCGTTTGCGCATCTTATTAGCTTCTTTGACTCAATGCGCTGTAGCTACCTGCATAGACCTACCTTTCTCCTGCTTTACATTTTCCTTCTTTACTTTTTCCTTAGCATCAGATCCTTCCTCCTTTTTGACTGTATCTGTGGTATCGACATCTGACTCCCCATCCTTCATCTCCACATCTTGATTCTCTTCTGAGGCGGATGAGGAGCTTGTCGGGGGCTTGGTTGAATTCGACTTTGAAGAAAAAGAGAGCTTTGATTGCTTCGCAGGCGCACCTTTAGGTTGGCCAAAGAACTTGCTTTCATTATAAAACCATCAGCAAAGTTATTCCTGCATACTAGACAAGAACGGACCCCAACGTAGTTTGTGAATCTTTAACATACCCCAGTGTGGCCTGCTTTGGAGGCATTGCGCAAAACGATCGGATGAATAGAGAAGCGTGTAGGTTGCCCGCCACAGGAAGAAGAAGTCTCCGTGAAGCCACAATGTTCGACTTGTGTGGCTGCAGGGGAATTGAAATACTTTAGCCAATTGGGGGGCAGGTATGGATGTTTGTGTACAACAGGAAGTAATGTCAAGGAGAGGCGAGGAATTTGGAATGGTCGTGAATTATGGATTTAATGGTGATATTGTATATAACCTATTTGAACTGAACAAGTATGAGTTTATCTGCATACGACTCATACAATATATGGTTTGAACTGGCGAGGTCTACGTTCTGTTATATTCGTAAGAGTTTTAATACATCATCATTTTCCTTCAAATTCTATCATTGATCTCTAATAAATTCTAGCACTCGGTCGCGTTAACCTTACTAAAATTCCAGCTACGCGTAAATCATTGTTAGCTACCGCGTAAATTACTTTTTGGTACCTGGTCAGTATGTTAGGTTGTTAGATTCCGCCCGCTAAATTGATAAAGGATACACCCATAAATTTATCCCTTTCAGCCCTTATCAACCTTATCAGCCAGATTTCCAGCCCTTCTCCCACCAATGTCCCTCCCTTCCTGACTCACCAATTGGCCATTCGACTCACCAACTGGCCATCTGACTCACCCAATTGGCCATTGCTGAGGATAAATTCCCCCACCTACCCACCATCACGATCCCCTCTCCTCAAAATTCCCAAACAATTTTAAAAAGTCATATCAAACCACGCGACAATTATGGCCGCACTTCAAGAACTCGCAGATCGAACAAAGATGGATGCAATCTATATTGACACCGATGTCGGCCAAGATGATCAAACAGCCACTGGTGCTGAAAGCAAACCATACAAGTCTTTAGCATACGCATACATTCAACATGGTGGTAGCGAGGGAGGAAAATATCAATCGAGAGCCTCAACAACCGGTGCCGTCAGTGCAGATGGAGATCCAGCAGAGAGATTGGTATGGAAGGAACCAGCTAAAGCTGCCATTAAGAAAGCTCAAAATGCTTTGGAAGCCCACAAGAAGAAGCTTGTGAAACAACAACAGACGGCTGCTGCAGAGAAGGAGAAGGATGATGCCAGACTCAAGACACTCGAGGATTCGAAAAAGATTGTTCTTACCGAAGATACTTCGTTACCCGCAGCTGTTAAGATTAAGATTGGCCGTAAGGATATTGAATTGGGTGAGGGCGAAAAGAAGGGTGTTCGTGTCAAGGTTTCAGGTCGTATCCACAGATTGAGAGAACAAAAACAAGCCACTTTCATTACATTGGTTGATGGATATGGCCATTTACAATGTATCTTGCAAGGCGATCTTACCAAGACATATGATGCTCTCACTTTCGCACAAGGTACTTCTCTAACCCTCTACGGAGAAATGCGAAAGGTCCCTGCTGGTCAATCAGCTCCAGATGACCGCGAATTACACGTTGATTACTACAAAGTTATTGGCAGATCTCCATCTGATGCTGATGCCATCACCAACAAAATCTCTCATCAACAAGATCAATGGGAGTCTTCAATGTTGGACAACCGTCACCTTGTCCTCCGTGGAGACACTGCTTCTTCAGTCATGAAGGTTCGTTCCGCGGTCGAATGGGCTTTCGCGAAGGCATACAAGGAGATGTACTTCACCAAGATTAGTCCACCTGCATTCGTTCAAACACAGGTTGAAGGGGGTTCGACTCTGTTTGAATTGGACTACTATGGAGAGAAGACATACCTTACTCAATCATCTCAACTTTACCTCGAGACTGGTATTCCAAGTCTTGGCAACGTTTACTGTATCGAAAAGTCTTTCCGTGCTGAAAAGTCACTGACCCGTCGTCATTTGTCCGAATACACACACGTTGAGGCTGAATTGGATTTTATTGATTTTGAGGATCTTCTCGATCATTTGGAGGAGATGATCAGCACAGTTATTGGTACAATTATGGCCGATCCAGAAATCGCCGGATATATCAAGGAACTTAACCCAGAGTTCAAAGCTCCAGCTCGTCCGTTCAAACGCATGCGCTATTCAGATGCCATTGACTGGCTCAACGCTCAAGATCCCCCAATCCTTAACGAAGAGGGTAATCCACATGTATTCGGTGATGATATTGCTGAAGCGGCCGAGAGAAAAATGACCGATATCATTAACTTGCCCATTCTTCTCACACATTTCCCAGTTGAAATTAAAGCTTTCTACATGAAGAAAGATCCTCAAGATCCAAGAGTTACAGAGAGTGTTGATGTTTTAATGCCAGGTGTTGGTGAGATTGTTGGAGGTAGTATGAGAATGGAAGGTTATGAAGAATTGATGGCTGCTTATGAGAGAGAGGGAATCAGTCCTAAGGAGTACTACTGGTACACTGAACAGAGAAAGTATGTATTTGATAGTCTTTGCTTCCCATTTTAACATACGTCTTGAATGAATGAAACTAACAATCGATAGGTATGGTACATCCCCTCATGGTGGTTACGGATTAGGTCTTGAGAGATTCATTGCTTGGATCTGTAAACAACATTCAGTCCGTACATGTTGTTTGTACCCAAGATTCATGGGCCGTTGCAAGCCTTAGAGAGCAGTTGATCGATTGATAGAGAAATAAACATGCGTGGTTGGAATGAATGATGATGTTGGTAGTAGAACAAGCAGATTCCCGTTTAGTAGAGCGATATACGAAAGAGTGATAGATCATCTGATTTTATATCCATGAAAGATTTTACATGTATGTCGTGATTTGAATGTTTAAGATATATGAATGGTTCTATTGGCACAGAGTCTTTTCTCTCAAGTGAAGTGAAGCACTCAACTCCTCAATTGTAAGACTATAATGATTCAATGAAGATTTTATATAGTTGATATAGCTAACCGACATCTTATAAACTTCTAAAATTCCAAAATTTCCCTTGGAGATTTAAACTTGAGAAATATTGATGGTAGATTTTACTTTAGGTCTTCTGGATTTCAGGGTTTAATTTTCTGGTATGGTATTGTATACAGTAGTAGGATAGAAGGGTGTTTCATGTGTAGTCACTAGAGCTTGGACCTATAGGCTCATCACTTGGATGAGCGGTTGCGTGGTGAGATGAGATGAGATGAGATGAGGGGGGAGTAGAGGACTAGACTTATGGAAGGAGGGGGAATTTGTGTTTGGTGTTTGGTGTTTGGTGTTTTGATGAGATGATATGACACAGGCTAACTTGCTATAGGATTTGTTCATTTGTCCATTTGTTCTAGAAGGATGGAAGGTTTGTAGAGGAAATAACTGACTGGGTTACAATTGTGAGGGTGGAGGGATGAGGGATGAAGAATGAAAGTTTGTGTCTGTGTTACTGAGATTAGTACTCCCAAGATTTATAGTATGGTGTTTTGATGCGATCAGATGTATTCTTAGTTATTAGTATTTCTAGCTATGTATAGTATGTATAGGTAGAGTACTAAATATGTGCTTTGATTTGATGATTAAAATGGTGGAATAAAGGCGTTGAGATGTAAGGGATTGTAGGAGGACGTTGAACATTGGTGAGTAAGTATGAATCAATGTTTATTTATTCGATGTAATCTTATATATAAAGATAAATGATATACATATTGGTGTGACATGTCGTAATATACAACATAGTATCTTGGGAATTAATAATTCAGGGCTGCATCTTGGAGTCGAGGTACTGTGAATACATGTAGGTAGGCTGTAAGTACCCAGCCATTATATAGTCATAAGTAAGTAATTACTAAGTAGGTAGGTACGAGTATTGTATCAGCAACACTGGAGTAGAACTAATACTTGAATGCATATGGATGCAGAATACATGAATAAATCTTCGATAAATCTTCCGGCGCTTAAGTTCAGTAATACTGTACGGAATACTCAGGGAATAAAATAAATATAACGAACGGATTGCAGATGCCAAAAATGGAACGTGGGGCCGAACTTTGACATGGAGATCTGTTCTTTGAGATTGCATAAATTTTGGGGCTGAAAGGGGGAGCGAGGGGAGGGGAAAGAAAGAAAGAAAGAAGGGGTTTTGCTGAGATGAATTTATGAAATCTTTCATATATCAATCATATCATATCACATCAATCATTGGATGAACCTGAGGAGATGGGTTTTTTTGAAAAGAATAATAAAATACGATAGAGTTATGGAAATGATAAATATCTATTCGAGTAGGTATCCATCGGAGAATATCAAAAAAATTTAATGCTCGCATGATCATACAGGAAATGGGTAACGGAAATGGAAATGGAAATGGAAAAGTCGGTGGGTGGTAGAATAAATGGTAGAAGAATGGTAGAAACGAAAAGATTTATGCTGATCGCATGCAGGAATCCTGAACCATGACTGGCTTTTTGGCATGATCGCTGATGGAGTTGGACCCTGAATTGATGAATGATGATTAACCACGAATTCGATGCGAGATCCATTGATGCATATCGTATTATGGAGTGGATGTGCTGTTGTGCTGTTCTTGTTCTGCTTGCTCCATAGTTTTATCGTAAAGTGGTGGTGTTTTGGACGGATTATTATATATAGATTGTAGATTATAGATGTGATGGACTTTGTTCTGGGAGAATATTTTTGTGGTGCTTAAGTCTAGAACATGGTATTGGCTGGCTGGCTGGCGCTTTTGATGGAATAATACCTTAGGACCTACAGAGTAGAATGCTGGGAAGATGAAAGAGGCAGAGTTCTTTGTTGGTTATTTATGAGATGGTTAGATCTATGTTTGTATTGCCGACTGGTCTCAGTGATACATATGCGCCGCGGCTATGAAGGATTCTACATTTTACCTAGTATTTGATGATGGTTGAAGTGAAGAATGATTAATAACACGACCCTCGATAATATACCACAGCACAAATACTTCAAGTCTTGGTAAGCTTAGTCTAGAGTACGTACTTCATGATACATAGGTACTTGTCCGCGTTTAAGGGTCCGAGATAGGGGCCTTGGAATTGCATTACCTCGCCTTATTTTGGGTGCTTACACTACAAAGTAACCATACTTGGATATCTTTGACATTTTTATTGGTGCATGGAGGATAAGAATGAATAACTTGCTCTTCATTTTACTGTTTCACCATATTTTGAATAAGAGATTTAAGATTTCATCTGATGATTTTTGATGAGATGTTTCTGATGTTTGTGATGTTTCTAATGGATCTCATGTTGTACAACCAATATATTTTCTTCCTACCTGGGTATGATATAAAATAAATAAATACTTCAATACCTACTTCCAGTGTAGAAACTCTCAAAGGCGTTCTAGGGGCAAACTACCGCAATAGCGCACGACTTATTATTGATCTGTTTAAGGGGAGGAAGCCAAGAAAGGTACTAGCGGCAAATCAATTATAGGAAAGGAACGATCCTATACTATACCTAACCATATTTAAATTGAAAACTAAACTATAATTGGCTTTGATTGAAATGAATAATCCCTCCGTTCTCTTTCTTATGCATGGATTATGATCTTTCATGATCTTTCATTGGTCACAATTGATAATATCACTCGATCAATTTTATTGTTTGAACGGGCCAATATATGCTAACAATATTCAAGTCATTACGATTTCTCTACCAATACAATTGCAACGTTGGACAGACCCCTCTAACCCCTACCAAATTATTTCCTCCTGTTTCCTTCCTTATCCTATTCCCTATTCCATCCTAACATCCTAACTTGTCCACTCTCTTTCCTTTCTCAACGACTTAACCTCTTCTCTTCCTTCATTACTTTTCCTCTTTTCTTATGCTCTGAACAATTCACAATTCTTTTATAAAAATTATTCAATTTCATTTGACTCCTTTTTCGTAGATTTTTATTCCAATTATTATTCCATCTTTGGTTAATTCATTTGAATACATTCTTTTTAACATCATTCATCATTTCCACCCAAAAGTTCCCATCTCCAAGAGAGATTAAAAAAAGCGGACTTACTTCTTGCATTCCCCTTTTTTTTTTATCTTTCACAATTCCAATTCTTGATCTCTGAATATCGTCAAGAGGTTCGATTGATTGATTGATTGATTGATTGATCAATTCAAGAGACAAGAGTCAAGAAGAAGAAGGAGAAGTGTGTATGTGAAGGAGAAGAGAGAAGAAGAAAAGAAATTCAAACAGTCCTTATCGATTCGTCTGAAGTATCCTTAACCTTACGCTTGACGAAAAGTTCACCTCCTTTTTTAAACAAAACTTCTTTGTTGTTACTATTGTTCCAATATCCTCTATACAACCCACTCAAAAGCTTGCATCGAATTCATTCATTGCATCGAGCAGATATTCTGAAGCTTTTATTTTAGAACTTTCCAATTTGCCTCCGCATTGAACGACCATCAACCTCGATTGGAATCCTGCGGTCAAAGTAGAAAGAAAAAAGTCCTTCGAGCACTCACTCAAACTTCAGACCTTCACTCCTTCGATACAACAACACGACATTTCGAACATCTGCCATATAGATATTTAACGGTGATTCACATCGACGACTTCCTCTTTTCGATTCGAATACTTGTATACAGACTGAACCTATTTTTAATATTCATATTTCTATCTATACAAGAATTTGTTTATAGCGGCAAACATTCTCAATCCCAGCCAACCAGCCAACCTCGAATATCTACATACCTAGCTTTGTTAATACATATCCAATCTTCACTTCGGGCGAATATTTCAAATTTAAGCTTCTCGACCTCTTCATTCTTCTCACAACTTCTGGCAGATTAATCTTCAGTTGGATATTCTTTGGTCAATTGAGTAGACTCAATCTTCAAGACCAAACGTTTTTCCAACGTGCCCTCCGCAGGCACACTTTAATCTTTCAAAACGGCGGTAATATCCTCTCTCGTGCGGGACAGCTTTGTCCTGCCACCTCATCTTTTCGGGATGCAGGAGTCACAAACTCAAAATGGTGGATCGGGAGCGACGTCTGTAAATAGACCATTTGGCCATGCATCTAAGCCCTCCAACAGCGATACCGGCTTTTCTCATGGCGCATACAGCTCAAATCAATTTTCGATGGGTGGTTATGGTGATAGACATCCTCGCAGAGTGAACATTCCTTCAATAAATACACAGAGCATGGGTCAACAAGGCCAGAATGATATGACCACTCCTGGCACCGCGTTCGATATGCAATTTACACCTTTGCTCCCTTCTCAACTTCTCCTCGGTAGCCCCTTCCAACCAGGAACTCCGTCCGCCTTCCAAAGTCCTCAGTTTCAAAACTATGCGACTTACCAGCAGCAACAACAGAATCAACAACAACCTCAAAGCCCAACAGGGCCGATGTCCCCTCAACTCTACCAGAGCTTGGTCTCTCCCTCGACTTACGGCGCGCCTCAATTCTATAACCCACAATCCCCAACAGGCGGATATGCTCAAATGAATAACGCAATGCAAAATATGAGCTTGGCACCTTCTTCTCCAGTACAAATGTCACCGGGTTTAGTTTCAGGAACGAGCCGAACAGTCTACTTGGGAAATATCCCTCCCGAGACGTCCGCGGAAGAAATTCTCGGACACGTTCGTAGTGGTCAGATCGAGTCCGTCCGACTTTTGCCAGATAAGAACTGTGCTTTCATCTCATTCTTGGATGGAAGCTCCGCCACCCATTTCCATTCCGATGCGATTTTGAAGAAGCTTTCTATCAGGGGTCAGGATATCAAGGTTGGTTGGGGAAAGCCTTCGCAAGTACCTACTTCTGTTGCTCTTGCCGTTCAACAATCGGGTGCTTCGAGAAACGTTTATTTGGGTAACCTTGGGGAGGAAGTCACAGAGGATGAATTGCGTGAGGATCTCGGAAAATTTGGTCCCATCGATACAGTAAAGATTGTTCGAGAAAAGGCAATTGGCTTTGTTCACTTCTTGTCAATCGGAAATGCTATCAAGGCTGTTTCTCAATTACCTCAGGAGGCGAAATGGCAATCACCACGTAGGGTTTACTACGGAAAAGATCGTTGCGCATACGTTTCCAAGACCCAACAGCAGAATGCTGCTCAATATCTTGGCATTGCCCCAGGATATGCTCACGTTCTCAATGGGGCTGACCGTGACTTGATTTCTAATGCTTTGGCTCAACAATCTGTAGCTGCTGCTGCCGTTGCCACAACTGCAGGCGGTATCAACAACCTTGGAAACCGAACTGTTTACTTGGGCAACATTCATCCCGAAACCACTATCGAAGAAATTTGCAATGTTGTTAGAGGCGGTCTGTTACATCACATTCGATATATACCCGATAAGCACATTTGCTTTGTCACATTCATTGATCCTACTTCCGCGGCTTCTTTCTATGCTTTAAGCAACTTGCAAGGATTGATGATTCACAACAGAAGATTGAAGATTGGATGGGGGAAACATTCTGGCGCACTTCCAGCTGCAATTGCTCTTGCTGTTAGTGGTGGAGCATCAAGAAATGTTTACATTGGTAACTTGGATGAATCATGGACTGAAGAGAGACTGAGACAGGATTTCTCTGAATATGGTGAGATTGAGCTAGTTAATACTCTTCGAGAGAAGAGTTGCGCTTTTGTCAACTTCACGAATATCGCAAATGCTATCAAGGCAATCGAAGCTATTCGAGGGAAGGACGAGTACCGTCGATTCAAGGTTAACTTTGGAAAGGATCGATGTGGAAATCCTCCACGACAAGTTCAACAATCTCAATCTCCTCGTGGTGATGGTGTTAACTCACCTCCTCATTCAGGTGGTCTTCAGCCAAGTCAGAATGGTTCTTCTCCAACAGGTTCTGTGGCTCCAGGTTCTATCAATGGCTCCAATGGAAATTTCCAACAGCAGCAGCAACAGCAACAAGGGTCTACTCCATCGACTATCCTGAATGCTGGCAGCAACAACCCATTGACTATGTACCTCAACCAAGTTTCCCAACAAGCTCAACAGCAACAACAAAACCTCGACCCCTATTCCGTCGCAGCACTTCAACAACAACAGCAACAAGTCCTTGCAGCTCAACAAGCGGCTTTGTACGGTGGTGGAAACATGGATGATTTAAACATTCAACAATCACAACCTAGCGGACATGGTTCAAGCGCAAGCATTAGCAACACAAATGGATTCCAATCCTCGGGAGCACCAACCATGAATGGATTATTGGCTCCAGCTAGAGGAAGCCACAGCAGAGCTGTTTCTCTTCCTGTTTTTGCACAGCCTGATGGCAATGGAAATGAGCAACAAGGAGGTTCAAGAGGAAGGGGACATCAATATCAAAATTCCTTCTCAGGCGGTCTAGGCAATGGAGGGTTCAACAGTGGATACGGACTTGGCATTGATGGACAGGGACATGGGCTTAATGGTTGGGCTGAAGAAGAAGTTGCAGGCAATTAATGAGTATCTGATTGAGATTTATGGAGGAAAAAGTGGTCTAGTTGATTTGAATTTGAATTTGCGTGCATTGATAGGCATGGATAGGAATTATTGTGTTGTAATACCGAGTTTTCATTTTTCTATTCTACTTTTCCTTATTACCTTCATTCGCTTCGTTGTGTTTTCTCTTCGCGTTTTGTCCTTTATAGCTCTTGCTTTTCAATGTATCTTTTTTTATCTTGTGGAGGATGTGGGCAAGCACTCGTAGGTGGAAAAAGCTTGGTCCGATTGAAAGAGATGGTATGATTGATATTGATATCCCAAGAGGGGGAAGAGGAAGTAATTAGAAACTTGGATCTGATATGATGAATAGCATGGGATTAGGTTTTTAGGATAGGAACATGGCAATCCGACCCGGTGATAGGGAGGTTGGTTCTGGGTAGTGGAACGAGAATGAATATGAAAATTAAGAAGATTTTCCAATCATGATTTTGATAGTGTCTTTAAATGAAATGCGTGACTATTTTGTTCGTTGGTTTGATAGTAGTGTAAATGAGTAAGTAGGAATGCAACCCGTGTTCTAAAATTCTTCCGTTGTCATTAAGCTCGCCAGCTTTATATTCTTCGAGAGCGCAGTAACATCTGTCCTTAATTGTCACAAACTTATTACTTATCATGTAAAACACCCCTACTTGTACCTCTATGTTACGCCGGGTAACAAGAAAACGCTCACGTGCTACCAAATCATGTGACTGGCTCAGTGAGAATCAGCAAGCTCAGTACTGAGCCATACTGATCCTACTGATCAGCTAGAACACGAAGGTCTATATAATCAAGATGGATTTCCTTTGTATAGAGCTTCGTGCTCAAGATCAATCATTTAGTATACTCTACTATTAGTTACGAATTGCATTATTGTCATTACTTTAAGTCCCTGCTTGACGCCTAGTTATAAACCACCTCGAGAGCCTAGAGCACTTCCACGTGATCTAGACGGCAAACCTCGTAACACTGAGCTGTATTGATCTTACTGAATAGTCATCGATACAAAGGTCTATATAATTTAGATAGATTTCCTTTATATAGAGTTTCATACTCAAGATCAATCATTTAGTATACTCTACTATTAATTACGAATTGTATTATTGTCGTTACTTTAAATCCCTGTTTGATGTTTAGTTATAAATCATCTCGATGTCACGATTCACCATTAGGATTGATGGTGTTACGATGGTAGCAAACTGATTAATTAGGAGAGCTTAGGCCTTGTGCAAACACGATCAGATTTCATCGAATTAGTATGTGATCTTGGTCACCTGAAGATCGTGTATGCACGCACCATCAGAAATCACGTGATAAGGAGCCCTAGGAGCTTCGTGCTCAACTTAGTTATCAATTAGTTTACCTACATTCTATTTGATCTAGTAACGAATTCACTTTCAAGTGAATACCAGTGATAAAGCCTTAACCTATAACTACCAACCGACGAACCTTAGGCAGCCGCTGCCTTTAGTACAGTATCGTTACATTTTAATTGAATTAGAATATAAGTTGATGATTTTTTGAAATTATAAATACATAAACTTCTTGGAGTAACGTGGTTTATCATCGAGTGGCCCATATCATCGAGTGGCCCACTTTCACCTCAATTTACACCTGTCTCTTTCAACACGCGTTTTATCAACAACCTATAATGAATTCGAATAATCAAGAAGCTCGTATACTCCTTGCTATCGAAGTTATTCATAAAGATAAAAAATTAAGCATTCGAAAGGCTGCTATGCTCTATAATATTCCTCGTACGACTCTTCGACATAGAATGGAAGGTTTACCTCTTCGTACAGAAACTCGAGCGAATCGTCATAAGATTACAGAATTAGAAGAAGAGGTGATTGTTCAATATATACTCGATATGGATTTAAGAGGATTTCCACCTAAACTAAAGAATGTGGAAGATATGGCGAATGATATTCTCGAATCGAGGGGTGCGAAACGCGTTGGGAAGCTCTGGGCGCATCGATTCGTAAAGCGTCGAATCGAATTAAAGACGCGTTTTAGTCGTGTTTATGACTTTCAAAGAGCTCTCTGTGAGGATCCTAAGCTTCTTGAAGAGTGGTTTCGACTAGTTGCGAATATGCGAGCGAAATACGGCATTTTGGACGGAGATTTCTACAATTTCGACGAAACAGGCTTTATGATGGGGATTATATGTGCAGCAATGGTAGTAACTAGTGCTGAACGAAATGGCAGAAGCAAGACAGTACAGCCAGGCAATCGAGAATGGGCTACAGCAATAATATGCGGAAATGGAGAGGGTGAAACTATTCCCCCATTTCTAGTAGTTCAAGGACAAGTTCATCTCTCCAATTGGTACACCGAAACGAATCTTCCTGCGGAATGGGCTATTAAACCTACATCTAATGGGTGGACGAATAATGAGACGGGTTTAGAATGGTTGAAACACTTCGACAAGCATACTAAGAATCGAAGAAAGGGCAAATATCGAATGTTGGTACTGGATGGGCATGAAAGCCACGAATCAGTAGCTTTTCAAGCATACTGCAAAGAGAACGATATTATATGTTTACGTTTACCACCGCATTCAAGTCATTTAACTCAACCACTTGATGTTGGCTGTTTTAGCAATCTAAAACGTTCATATGGTGGTCAAATTGATGGATTTATCAAGGCACATATCAATCATATTTCGAAGGTTGAATTCTTTATAGCTTTTAAAGCTGCATACGAGGAATCAATCACTTCTCAGAATATGAAATCAGGATTCCGAGGAACAGGTTTAATCCCATTTAATCCTGAAGCTGTACTCTCGAAATTAGATATTCGAATTCGCACACCTACCCCCCCCTCTTTCGACCTAGATCAATGGATCTCTCAAACCCCTCGCAACCCAACTGAAGCTCTTTCTCAATCAACATTAGTTAAATCTCGAATAACTCGTCATCAAGCAAGCTCTCCTACACCTATATTCGAGACTGTACTAGCTCTAGCTAAGGGTACAGAGAGATTAGCTCATGAAAACACACTTTTAAATACAGAGATTCGTACACTTCGGACAGCAAATGAAGCATTAAGCAAGCGTCGACGCGCGAAAAAAACCCAATTACGTCAAGGAGGAGTGCTCACTGGACAAGAGGCTCTTGATATATTATCTCAGCAAGAGGTTGATATTCAGATTCAACGCGATGAGCGTCAAAAAGGGGGGAATTCTAATGGGGAAGCATCTTCTAATCGATGTTGTAGTAAATGCGGAAAGACAGGACATAATGCAAGAACCTGTCAAAATAATGTAATAGATCCTAGATTATTAGATTCTTAATAGTTTCAATCAATTGATTCAATTGTTGTTGAATAATATGGGTTTGAAAGTGTAAATTGAGGTGAAAGTGGGCCACTCGATGATATGGGCCACTCGATGATATGGGCCACTCGATGATAAACCACGTTATTATAATCATAGCTGATTAAGAATTGATTACATAACCAATAATTTTTAAATTTTAACGTGGTTTATCAGGACCCTGTACATATCAGGACCCTGTACACTTTTACCTCAATTGCCCACATTCCATTGAAATAAAATTACAACAATACTATAAATTAGAATTAAATTACATACAATTCAAAGATCAACTAATGCTGGATCTAATTGACAAGTTCGTGCATTATGTGAAGCACTACCACATTTGCTACATCGTCGTATAGTAGCTTGCCTCCTTGCTGAAGAATCACCATTTGTAAATTCATCGCGTCGTATCTGATCTTCTACATTCTCTTGTTCTAATATATCATGCCCATCTTCTACTGAAAGTACTCCTCCTTTTCGTATTAAAGCTTTTCTAGCTCTCCGGCGTTTACTAAGTGCTTCATTTGCTTTGCGGAGACTATGAACCTCAGCAGCTAAAAGCGTATTCGCATGAGCTAAGAGCTCTGTACCCTTAGCTAAAGCTGCAACTGTTTTAAATATTGGAGTAGGTGAGCTCCCTTGATGTTGAGCAATACGACTTTTCACTAAAGTGGATTGAGAAAGAGCTTCAGTTGGATTGTGAGGTGTTTGAGATTGCCATATATCAGGATCGGCTGATATTGATCTATTTGATGGAGTTCTTATTCGAATATCTAGCTTTGAAAGTACAATTTCCGGATTAAATGGGATTAGCCCAGCTCCGCAGAACCCAGCTTTACCATTTGATATAGATATTGCTTCGATATATGCAGCTTTGAAGGCTTGAAAGAACTCGGTTTTGGTAATATGAGTGATATGCGCCTTGATAAAGTTCTCGATTTGTCGACTATATGAATACTTTAAAGGACCAAAGCAACGGATATCGAGTGGTTGAGTTAAATGCGAAGAATGAGGTGGTAAACTAAGTAATATAATGTCGTGTTCCTTGCAGTATTCCTGAAATGCTGGCGATTTATGACTTTCATGCCCATCAAGCACTAGCATTCGATATCTACCCACTTTCCTACTTTCAGTATGTTTGTTGAAGTGCTTAATCCATTCAAGACCTGTCTCATTATCTGTCCATCCATTGATAGTAGGTTTAATAAGCCAATCGTATGGTAAATCACCTTCGGTATACCAATTTGAAAGATGGTATTCGCCTTTTACTATCAAAAACGGAGGTATATTGTGACCTTCTCCATCAACACAAATAATCGCTGTAGCCCATTCTCGATTGCCTGGTTGTATAGCTTTGCTTTTTCCACATCGATCAGCTTTAGTAACTACTATATGTGGTGGTATTTGTCCCATCATAAAGCCTGTCTCATCGAAGTTGTAGAAATCGCAGTCCAGAATACCATATTTGGCCCGCATATTCGATACCAATCGAAACCATCTTTCAATAAGCTCTGAATCTTCGCAGAGAGCTCTTTGAAAGCCATAAACGCGATTAAAACGCGTCTTTAATTCTGTATGTCGTTTCACAAAACGATGAGCCCAGAGCTTTCCAACCTTCTTCGCACCCCGCGTTTTGAGTATATAATTCGCCATATCTTCCACATCACTTATTCGAGGACTAAACCCTCTTTCATCCATATCCAATATATATTGAAGAAGCAATTTCTCCTCCAATTTTGTCATTTTATGATTTGCTGGTCGACGTTCAGTAAGAGGCAGAATTCCATTCATTCTAGAAGTAAGGGTAGTATGAGGTATATTATAGAGTTTTGCAGCTTTCCGAATACTCAAATTTTGAGATGTACGAATAGCCTCAATAGCTAAATTGATTCGAGCTTCTTTTGAAGTAGTTTGCATAATTAAATATTGATAAATCGCGTGTTGAAGTTGAAAGGTGATAATTGAGGTAAAAGTGTACAGGGTCCTGATAAACCACGTTATTTCTATTTTTTGTAATAATCAATGTAAAATATATTCAAATATATTGCTACCTAGCCTAGGTATAGTTTGTTCATTTAACTTGTAAAATAACAAATATCATACTTAATATTATCCTCGTTCAAGTAACAGATCAATATAAAGATAACTACCACACAGCAAGAGATACTAAGATCGATTAACCCAAGCATTTGACTAACTAATTTCCTTACATTACTAGCAGAGCAAACTAGAAGGGGATTTCCCGAACGGCCCGAAGCGCTGCTAGTCTAGTTTATTAGCGAGGAAGTAGGGAGAAGTATTATTTTGGTGTTATCGGAAGAATGAAGGAAGGGGTATTGGTCTTTAGGATATGCTATTTTGAATAGGTTTTGAGTAGCTTGGGAAACATTTCGAATGGGTGATTCTTTGATGGGGAAAGGGAAGTGATGAATGATATTGATATTGATATTGATATCCGTCATCCTTTTTCTACTTCTTGGGTGAGAAAGGGATGAGGTAGCGGGAGTAGGCAGACGCTTAGTGATAGGCAGTGTGATAAGATCTAGTAAATACTCAAAGTAAAAGTATAAAACAGAAGATGATACATTCATAGAGCTAATCATCTGATGATTAACAAGTAATATTTCAAATGACCTGTGAAAATGTATTTAGAGGTTGTTTTCTGATAAAGGAGGGGATGTAATAGAAGAAATAAGTTGCAGATTAGAACAAACTTCTTCTTTAATACTCTACTACTACTGTAGATATTTATCTTGGCTTGAGGGTCATTCGATTTTTCAAATATGAACTAAAACATTAATAACTACTCGAGTTCTACAGTATTAGACATATACATTATATCTTTTGACTTGAGTAATAATCCTTCCTTCCTGTCTTGTGAGGGGCTTTTATTAGTCAAGACTCAAATATGGTCCGTGCATCTCAATGACGGAAGGCTGGTGATCAACAATTGTATTAGAACTGCAGGAAGGGAAGCTCCTTCACCTGTTTGTCTCAACTACCATGATGACTGAATAAATATCACAACACCACAACACCGCAATACCACAATCGATTGCTAGTCTTTATTCTACCATTCACTCAAAATCTCCCAAAGAAGCAAGCATATGATTTGTACAGGATGTGGAACGATGAAGACAATAATCCATACGGCACCAGCTTTGAGCGAAGAGACTCAATAACCTCCTCAAATGCTATTCCAAACTCACCTGGATCTCGTAAGTTATTCTCTTCACGTTTACAACTTCGATATCTTCATATCAGAATGTTCTCTGTCTTCTTGGGTGCTGCGCCAAATCCTGAGGTTTATGATACTGACTTGGAGGGCTGGGATATTATAGAACATGATTTTGGCAGGCCGCACACTCCTTCGACCATCAGTGAAAACCACGATAATGTACCAGATCAGCGCAACCTAAGTTACGATACGAGTGAGGCTGGAAGTGATGAGGATTATGGCGAAGCATCTCAAGCTACAAGAAGGCAGAAGAAAGGAGGTTATGATAGTCGCATTGAACAAATTCTCTATGAGAATCCGGAACTACCTATTCTGATTGTCGATGCTGGAAAGAGTTCTGAGAGTGGAGGGAAATATATTGTGTATACAATAAGAACTGGAGTATGTTTAAAGGCTAGGTATTATGTTACAAGCTGACATGGCAGTAGGATCTTGAAGTTCGTCGGCGCTATTCCGAGTTTGCGTCTCTCAGAGATGCGCTCTCTAGATTACACCCTACTTTGATCATTCCACCTATTCCGGAGAAGCATACAATGGCGGATTATGCTGCGAACCCAACAAAGGCCAAGCAGGATCAACAGATCATAGATCTTCGAAAGCGCATGTTGGCTGTATTCTTAAACAGATGTAGGAGAATGGATGAGGTACGTAATGATGGGGTTTGGTGGAGATTTTTAGATCCAAACGCAAGTTGGGTAAGTCACTAACCATTTCTACTCTACTGCTAGGCTTCCTCTGACTGTTATTAGAGCGAAGTCTTACATTCCCATCCCATCGCATCAATTCCAAAATCCAACATGAAGGCCCCACCACTCGACCCCGCCAACCCCACACCTGCTCACGCATTTCTACCTGTACCCGCAACATCGGCGAAACTCAAGGCGGCTTCTACAGCAAATACCAATGCTCAAGGTATGATAGCACAGCCTTCCGATTATGCTGCTACTCCTTCCGCCGCGGCGCATACTCAATCCGGACCACAAGTCTTTGGTAGGATCCCACCGGAAAGTGCAAATTTGAGTGAACAAGATTTGGATCCATACTTCATAAGCTTTGAGTCTTCCACAAAGGATCTAGAATTATTGTTGACTGGACCTATTGAACGAGTAAACCGGAGGACTTTGACTCACTTGTCTTCCTTGTCGACAGATTTGGCAGAACTTGGCGCTAGATTCAATGGCTTTTCACTCTCGGAACCCTCGGCATCTCTTGCAGCAGCTATTGAAAGAGTTGGTCAAGCTGTAGATTCCTCATACATTGCGACTGAGGAACTTTCTGCTTCTTTAGGTGCAAGTTTTGCCGAACCAATGCGAGAGAGTGCACAATTTGCTGGAGTAGTTCGTAGTGTTTTGAGATATCGCGTTCTAAAGAGGGTACAGCAAGAGATGACTAACGAGGACTTGGCCAAGAAAAGGGCTCTCCTAGAACAACTGGAAAGAAGTGAGGCTGAATCTAAGAGAATCGACCAATACCTTAGCAATAGTGGAACTGCTAATGTACCACGGCGGTCAAATTCATCTGCGAGAGAACCGCCACAATCAAGTCGCGAATCACCACATGATGACACAGCATCGATTGATTCTGACTTTCCTCCCACTCATGGCGATACTCCTTCTGCATCACAAGGTATTCCTCAACCTGAGGAAATACCTCCTACTCATCGAAAGAGCTCCAGTGGAAATTTCATCACCAATAAGATTTTTGGCCGCATAAGTCATGCAGTTCATGGTGTTGTTGATGCTGACCCGGAGCGAACACGGAGGGATCAAATTAGCAAGACTAGGGAAGCAATTTCACAATTGGAACAAGCTCAACTGGCATCTGCACAAGATGTAAAAGATGCAAGTGCTGGTGTGCTCAAGGATTTGCAGAGATTCCAAACAGAGAAAGAGGACGACTTGAAGAGATATATGGTGAGTAGTCGCCTTTTTTGATTCTTATTCCTTTTACTACCCATAACATACTTGCCACTCGCAATACTAATCAACTTCATAGCTTGCCTACGCCAGATCTCAGATCGAATGGGCCAAGAAAAACAAAGAGACTTGGGAGGAAGCTAAAGTTGAAGTGGAGAAGATAGATGCTAATTAATTCAAAAACCATGAAATGGTTTGATGATCAATCAGAGTTACTGAGCAAGGAACATGTTTTATGGGTGGTAATATTGATCCGGGATGAATGAATGGATATGAATTTACAGAGGCGTCGTGGTTTGTGTGTAACTAAAAAAGGCAATTCTGTAAGCTCAGCGAAGCAAACTAAGCAAAATGATTAGAGATATACCCTTGAGCTTGATGGAAGTTGCATATATATTTTTGTGAATGCTTCATAATGTGAAATTGATGTTTGGATTATGATGGAAGTAGACGGTTTGATATTTTTTAGGAGTTCAGAATGAGTACCCGAAGTATGAGGATAAAACCACTATCTTTCTTTAACCATATATTGCTAGTGAGAAAGGGGAAACGGATGGGAAGGTAGAACCACTCACCACTCTTGGACATAGAGCAGTGAGAGCATCATAATGTCTCGTAAGATTACAGATTAATATCCTCATTCAACCTAATCTTACAAACGCCGCCGTGAAATTCTCGAGTCATCCTACTATCCTGTCTGTCTGCAACCTTCCTTATAAGATTATCTGATAAGCTGCTGTGGTTGATTATGATTAGAGGGTCGTGTATTTTGAGACTTTTAGATTATGAGATCTAGAGCTGGGAATTTTTATATTAGGGATGAGGGGAAGGTGGTTATTTTTTGTGTGTTAATAGGCATGTATATGTATATATTAAATACTCCTGGACTTTGACTTCAAAGTGTGGGGGTGGGATTCGATGTTAATTCCTTGATATTTTTTTGTTTGTGGGGGGGGGTTGGTTTCTAGTAAATTGAAAAATTGATTTTAGAAAAAGCGGCTTGGAATGTGTAGGTGCTGGTCCCTGGATGATAGGATATTGACATTGATATGGAGGTTATGTGGATGGGAATGGGGATGGAGATGGATGTATAGGACCTCGGGAATGGAGGTGGTGTCTAGCAGACTTGGCAGTGTGTAGGTGTCGATTGTTATGTGGATGGTTTGATGCTTTGGAATTGGATTTGGAAGTTGGAGGATGGAGCTTGGAGTATGCGGTAAGATTGTGTGTTTATATTGAGCTTGATACTTGATATTACTGTTGAGTGGTGTTGAGTACATGTATAGTTCTGCGAGGGGATTAGCTTCGGTTGTTGAGGATGGCTTGGATTGTTCGTTCACAGGGAAATGCTTATTGTGTATATGAATGATTTAATATTCATATACTCGAGTATTCTTAAATGTTTATTCAATTGTAGAAATTTTCTTACGGATAGAGATACTTTAGAGTTTATAGTCTTGGATACTTTGAAAATTGAAATGTTCTACGGAGGCAGTAGCCCGCCTAGCAGGAAATACTCACATAGCCAATATTTGCGAAATGTTTTCCCGCCTTGTCACCCATGATGATTAACAAATCACTCTCAGCTCGATGGAAAAACAAGCTTTTCAAATAATACACGGAAGGTGGAAAGTGTAAAGTGTTTATCCGCGTGTACGGGTAAGATTGCGGGGTAGCTAGCTTTGTGGATTTGCGGGGTATGGAGGTTGGGGAAATTGGGGAATTAATTAGCGATGATTGTTATGGGTTGGTTAACTTGGGATACCTAGCTGAAGTTGAGGAATTCAGGGGATTTGTATCCTTTACTTTTTTTTTGTTTGGTTAGTATTGAGAAGTGAAGGAATTAGTCAATTTGGACTTTTGTTTATTCGAAATATTGAAAGTTTGATAGGCTTGAGCACAAGATTATAATTATTACCTGCACTGCAGACGTCCCGACCTCGCTTGTTACATTGAGGTCAGATGAAAATTGTTCTAGGGTGCAGGATCAATATTTTACCGGCAGTCATGTATCTGCACGAACTGTTGGCTTGTGAATCCCTCGCTTTAGCTCTGCATCATTGCGATGAATTCCCTTGATAGCGTTGCTTATCTAGATAGGTTATTAAAAGTAGTCATAATTCCCATGTAAACAATAAATCTTCTCGCTTCCCCTCACCGTCTCTCGATCTTATCTCGCTTTCCCTGAGTATCAAACTCAATTCTACAATCATGGGCATCTTATCCAAAGTTGAGGATCGTCCCACTCCCTCTCAAGTCTACAATTGGCGTGTCTATCTATGTTCCATCGTCGCTGGTTTCGCGGCGGTCATGATAGGTTATGATAGCGCATTTATTGGAACAACTATCGCTCTTCCATCTTTCAAACAAGAGTTCAACTTTGAAGCACTATCTGATCCGAAGTTGAATCTTGTGAGTGCAAACATTGTCTCATGTTATCAAGCTGGAGCGTTTTTTGGAGCACTCTTGGCTTATATTGCGGCGTACTGGCTTGGAAGAGTCAGAGGAATGGCTGTTTTTAGTGCTGTATTCACAGTTGGTGCTGGTATGATGCTTGGTGCTAATGAAAGGCGTGGTCTTGGTCTTATATATGGTGGAAGAGTTTTAGCCGGTCTAGGAGTAGGTGGTTGTTCGAGTTTGGCTCCTATTTATATCTCTGAGATATCTCCACCTGCTATTCGTGGTCAATTGGTTTGTGTAGGTTTCACTGATTCTCATATGACATCTAAAGTCTTGCTTATACTCTCCTAGATGTTTGAATTAGGATGGCAGATTGGTGGACTTATTGGATTCTGGATTAACGTGAGTTGTCAATCATCGAGCAAGATGAAAACTGCTAATGGCCTATCAAGTATGGAATCGCTGAGACCCTTCCATCCAACCATGAACAGTGGATAATTCCATTTGCAATTCAAATAATTCCCTCCGGACTCCTATTGATCGGGTCACTTTGGCTTCACGAAACCCCTCGCGTGAGTCCTTTGGTTTCCAAACTCTCACTCTTTAGTAATTAGAATTGTTTCTACAAGCCCAGTCTAACCTTTACTTCTACAGTGGTTAATGAGCAAAGGCAAACGAGAGAAAGCCATCAAAAACCTTTGTTGGATTCGAAACCTCACGGAAGATGATATATACATCAAGGAAGAAATCTACGCAATCGACCAAAATATCGAGCAACAAATGATAGGAGGTGGTCTTGGATTCTGGCAACCATTCAAACTCCTCACATCAAGTCAAAAGATTCAATGGAGATTCTTCCTTGGAGGTTCATTGTTCTTTTGGCAAAATGCTTCTGGTATCAATGCCGTTAATTATTATTCTCCGACTATCTTCAAAAGTATTGGGATTATCGGTACTAATACCTCCCTGTTTTCTACCGGTCTATTCGGTGTTGTCAAAACAGTTGGAACTTTCATTTACCTCCTTTTCCTGATCGATCAATTGGGTCGAAGGAAGTTATTGATGATTGGATCCATTGGTGGTGCTTTATGCATGTACTACGTAGCTGGATACATTGCAATTGCAAAGCCTGCTGATCATCCAACAGATTCACTTCCACCTTCTGGTGTATCTGCTGTTTTCTTTTTCTACTTATGGACTGTGAGTTTTTCTATTAACTAGTTTCCCGATGACATCTAATCATTCCTTAGGCATTTTACACACCAACTTGGAACCCAACCCCCTGGGTAATAAACGCCGAGATATTTGACCAAAGTGTTCGAACTCTAGCTCAAGCACATGCAGCTGCTCATAACTGGCTTTGGAATTTCCTAATCTCCAGATTTACACCGCAGATGTTTTCTTCAATGGGATACGGAGTTTACTTATTCTTCGCGTCATTGATGATTTGGGGAGCTGCATTTGTTTTCTTCCTGATTCCAGAGACGAAAAATGTTCCTCTCGAGGCCGTTGATAGACTCTTTGATCGTAATATGCCAGCTAGGAAAGCACATGCTGTTGTGTGGGCTGAGTCGGAACAAGAAGAGGAAGCCTTGAGAGCGGGGATTGCGATGAGATTGGAAAAGGATAGGACTTCTACATATGTTGAGAATGTTTAGGGTTAAAATGAAATGATATGATTGATTTTTGTCATTTTATAGCTAGTGGCTAATAATGTCTACTTTGTCTGCTAGTGTTACAATAGGAAATATATGTACTTCGAGTGCTTTTAGGTAAACTTCTTTCTCGTGAATCCTATTCAAATCCACCAATAGTACAAAATTGCAGACTATTTATATGTGGAATTCGATACCTCGAACAATGAAATATTGATAATAATTCCGATCTTCCAAACAAAACAATTAAAAACTTCTCAATCTTAGGAAATGCAGTCCAGATCCAGAAACTATCTGAGGAATGCGTTCTCCAAAAATGTCAAATAGTCACTACCACCGATTTCTTCTATCCTTCCCATTTCCAAATCCTGACAAGAATCCCAATCTCAAAATAACTCCAAATGCTATAATCCCATTATTGACATATTCCTCCCTCTGCCATTTTGCCACATTCAAACTTCCCACCGGATCCGCCTGATAAATCGCCAGAATATGTCCCATGTCAGACATCAACATCGCAAATACCACAGCCTGCCACACGGAATAATCGCGCGTGAGTCTCAGAACCACAGCTTCGTTGATGGCGAAGAAAATATAAAGAGCTGCAATATCGGTGGAGAGGAGTTTTATCACTGGCTTTGGAAATTTGATGTGTATAAACTGCTGGGAAACCTTCCATGGGGCCGTGCGGACTAAAAATTCGTTAGGTTGGAAATAGGCTAGGTAGGCACCGCTGAGGGCTATGAAGGGTTCGATATAGAGGAGGTAGATGCGATACATGGGGTTGATTCTGGAGATGCGGGGATCAATTGATAGTGTCATTGTGAATGGGAATCTAAAGTATTGATTGTGATATATTTGTTTTTGTTTTTTTTGAATTGTGTTTATTGGGGGTTTTGTCTGAGAGGTTAAGTTGCTGAATCAGAGAGGAGTCTAAGCAATGAATGACACATTGTATTCCCTCAAAGAAACCTGTGCCGTCGGAACCTTTCCGCATTAAGTTAGTGCATTAATTGTTGATGCTTGTATAAGAAAATAGATTAAAATAATATTAATAATGTTATTAATTCATAATACTTTAATGTGTAGCAAATCCGATCTTAGTTATATATCTAGTAAATCTAGTAAAGGTATTGAAAGTTTTTAAATTATCAAATAAAAATAAAGAAAGAAAATAAACTAAGTTTAAAAATTAAATGGGAAAATTATATTGAATTCAAAAAATAAAAATTAATTTTCAAATAAGTTATTAGAGAGTAGATTAAAAGTAACTATAATTATCACTATTGTTAAACTATTTTATTTTAATAAATATCAGATTCGATCTCAACTATACACCTTGTCACGATTCATTAATTCACGTGACCTCGAGGACCTTAGGGACCCAAAGGTCCTCAAAAGATGATATAGGGTATATAAACATTCATTTAGTCTCGTAGTTAAGGAGCTTTGTGCTCAACTTAGTTATCAATTAGTTTACCTACATTCTACTTGATCTAGTAACGACTTCACTTCCAAGTGAAGACCAGTGATAAAGCCTTAACCCACAACTACCAACCAGACGAAACCTTAGGCAGCCGCTGCCTCCAGTATAGTATCGTTACACACCTATACTCTCACAATCCACAACGCCAACGAAAGCCATTAGTATAAGGTTCACATCCACAATTTCACGGTCTGGTCAGACTTCTAACCGAACTTGGTTTCACTCATATCTGAACCGTTCCCAATATACCAGACAGGAACCTACACATCTTGATGACAAAATATGTTACCTAGTAAGTGGCCAAGATTTAGGATCTACTCCGTACACATCGATATACTCAAGACGCAAATGAAGTTTATACTACCTCAATGTATTTCCCTTTTGTGTCTCAATACAACCATTTGAGGTAAAACTTTCCGACGTATCAAGCCGTGATCTCCCGCTTGCCTACAATCTACCCTTCATACTTCACATTCCGGCTCATGAAGCTGCGGAACTGGCTTTTATCATTCAACTTTCTTCTGAAAAGTTGACTCATATCACCCATTGGGAGGTCAAAAAATAATGGTTCCTGGCACATCAAATATGCCACAATGTAGTAGCTAAGCATTTCAACCATAAAAGCAGATGCCCTCGCGGTTTTTCTAAGTGCAGCAATGGTTGCAGTAGACTGCCGCCTGCCCAAAAATAATCCACGGGTTACAGATATCTATAGGTTACCCGTCCCAAGGATTAGCTACAGATTGATGATGGATTATCCGCAATTATCCGCATATTAATGGATATCTACAGATAATCTGTAAATAATCTACAGATTAGCTATTCAGATTTTCCAATAACCCGCCTTGTAAATGGGTCATCCGCGGATTACCCATTAAAGCAACAATCCGCCCCCCCGGAGCCCGTTGTGCAGCCTAGGTTGCAGCATTGTCGACGGCGGGGAGAAGTATGATGTATTGATAGGAGTGAACGCAGTTGTATGAAGAAATACATGGCAATATATACGATATTTAGTGTATTGATTGGGTTTCTGCTAAGGAAAAACATGCAAAGGTCCACTAGATGATACATACATTGGGAATGAATCAGTCAGGAAGAATAGAATGAAGACGAACAACACTTTTTTTAATCAGTTTGCAATTTCTCCATCGATGCGTCTCGGAAACCCGCATAAAACGAAAATTCAATGGCATTGTTATAATGTAAGTATCATTTTCACAGGCCGCTGTTAAACCCAAGAATGGTATTTCCAATACACCAAAGCCAGAGAAGAAAAGTCAAATGCTCCCAGAAATGTATGACCGTAGGAATTACCTCGAACTAATCCCCATTGAGCGGACATTACCATGCCTGTAACTGCACTTGAAGAAAACCAGATGGGATGTTCAAAGGAATAAGGAGGAAGGAGGAAGGAGGAAGGGGAAAGGGGAAAGGGGAAAGGGGAAAGGGGAAAGGGGAAAGGGGAAATGAGTATCACGCAAAATTGAAACTCGCAACGAATAATTACATCGGTGTTAGATAATCCACAAAACCCCATGAGCTAAGTGGATGACTTTCATGGTCTGCTCTTGCGAAGCTTGTTAATGAGGAGCTTGCAATCATGCGAACGCCAAAGCACATAAGAGTCACGGCCATATGACCTGCGACCTAAGAAACCACATTATGCGATATCTCAATTACGAGGCTAATAAGTCGGTTAGAGGCTGTGTTGAGCATGAAGTACCCACCGTTTGTAATCACCGAGTAATAAATATAGCATCTACCAGAACATTTCTATCCTTTCCCCGCGTTTGCATCTACCGTGCAAGTGTGGGGTATTTCACATCTGTAACCCCGCGGCTGTTACATACCTTAGCTTCTCCCAATCTTTCCCCATCGGATGAATATCAAACCGCCTGAATAGCTGTAGCCTCATTGATTGGAGAGATTATTGTGGCTAGAGATTTCTAGTCTGCATAAGCCACATTTAAACCATAGAATGCTTAATCATCACCACAGCAGACGGAGTCGGCATGGTATTTGTCCGATCGGAGTTAAGCCAAATGCCAAGACCGTGAATCTCTCGAGATTATATAATATGTAGATATTATATCATTCCTCCAGTCTTCGTCGGCGTGAAGACTTTCTAAATTTCGGACGGAGTACCGGACGGATATGTGGTATTACAAAAAGATACGGAAAAGAAAAAACGATCAAACCATGAAATCTCCTCGGTAATATGAAAAATTCCGGGAGAAAACAGAACCCAGCCTCGCTACCAGTCGAACGTTAAAGCTTATGTAGGTGTTAGTTAAACTTTTCGTATGATGATGCCATGAACTGTCTTTTCCGGGAAGATGGAGTCCAGGAACACCCCGAAAGACTGTGGCGGCCCAAAAATACCCTGTATCGCTAATTCAGTCAGCAAACCAACTTTGTAAGGACTTCCGGACATCTCGACCATCACAATATCCGCCTTTTTAAGTTTTGGAGTTCACTAGCCTCCACTCATTGCCACTGCTACTTTCATGGTGGATATCTTTTACCAGATTTGGGGCACTTTGAAATCTTTGTAATCCACATCATGGCATGACTCTTTGAAGATTTTGTATACTAAAAAGAAGAGATTTTTAAGGAAAAAGAAGTTGAAATTTCATTGGTCGTGTGATGTGTTGTTTAGATTCAAGGATTGCATGAAAATTCTTATTATTACTGCTGATTGCGGTGAAAGTTGGGCTTAGAAGTAGGCTGGCTTAAAGTAGGCTGGCTAAGAGTAGGCCTCGGTTATGAATATAATGAAGGAGCATCCCCTGGATCAATCATTTCCAACCGAAACACAGTACAAAGTATGTAAAGCCATTGTGCCAAAACTTTAGGTGTTTGGGTATCATTGTCATTGTCGATCCTTACAATTAATAAATCCCATCTCTGATCAATAAGCAATCCAAAAGAAAAACTCCTCCATCATTTACCAAGCCGCCATATTAGCTCGTTGATCTCACACACCGTGCACCACCTACATTGATCCATCTGATTGACTTTTCTTCTGGCTTAAAGCAGGGCTGACAGAGTACGATCCATGCTTTACAAATTACCATGTGCTACGCCACAAATCATGACCAATGTGACCTATCAGCGCTTACGATGTGTGGATATAATGCAAGGCCAGGCCACGAACACAATGATTCATCAATAATCCAAAAATTAAGGTTTTTGGCATCGAGTTGATTAAAGAGTAGTCGTGTCCTGCCATTTGTACTCGTCCCCCCACAGCGACATCACCGGTATCATCATAATCATATCATTTTTATTCTCCATATTTTGACCCAATTGTCTGTCCCAAATCCTCATTTCCCGGCCACTTTATATAAAATCCTCCTTTCTAGCCTATAATAAGCCAAGTATCCATTGCCAGTACCGTTATTGAACACAGAGACTATTTTCAATCAATCAAACCATTCATCGTTGTTATCCTTCTCCCCAGAAACACCAACACAACATGTCCGGGGCATTAAGCTTGCTTGCGGAGCTCGAAAAGGACACTAATAAAGCTCCGAGTCGAAAAAATAGTCAATCGAAACCAAGAACAGGTAGATCGGCAGCTAATTCGCGATCATCTTCAGTCCAATCGTAAGTTTTGAACTATTTCTCTGCAATCGTATCACATTGGTTGCTAATTCTTTGAAGACGAGGACCATCGCAAACACGACGTCCAACATCAGCTCCAGCACCCCCCCAAATTCCACCTCAGAATATAACTCCCCGGCGAACTACACAATCAACAAATGTTACCCCTCGAACATCATTCGACCGTGGAACCGAGAGGTCAAGATCTCAAGGACCTGATTCCCGAAGAGTTTCATTCGCTGATGCTCCACGACCACAAACCCGAACTTTAATGGTACCTACGAAAGAAAGTGTGCTATCGTCCGGATTTCCGTACAACCCGAAGTTAAACAAATATGGTGTTTCCGAGCATGAATGGTCACAATTCACCAAAGAAATATTGGACACTCTTCCATCGTCAAAGAGCTTTAGCTGGAGATGGAAACGTGGGAAAATCATTGCGATTATCAAAAGAGACCTTCAATACGAATCACCGTTGAAGTCAGCACTCAGACAATGGAACAAAGGATTCAGACGCAGAGGTTTCTCGGTGTATTTGGAAATCCCAGTCGAGAAGGATTTGACCGACGATGAGGTTTCGGGAGACACAAAGGAGGAAAAGAAACAAGCCAAGAAGGATGCAAAGAAATTCCGATTTTTGATAGGTGCTGCGAACTCATCCTCTTCATCCGTATACTCGCGGACAAGTTTGGCGGAAAGTGTTAGTAGAGAAAGTCATGTTAAGGCTGTAACAATTACACACCAGGATGAGGAACAAATAACCAATAAGTTCCCCCAAGCTGAGGTTGAGGGGACTCCGAATGGAACGGCAGAAGATGGAAGTAATGAGGAAGAACCGTCGGCCGAAAAAGCCGCAGTAATTTCGCCATCGACAGAAACTGTAGATAATGCACCGGGTCCATTACCCGTGGCATGAATTTTGGATTCATCGGATTGTAAAATATGAAGCGGTACTCACGACATACAACGAAGATAAATGACAGTGGTTTGGAGTTTAGGGTTTGAATTCATCGGTGCTACCGATTTGGACATATTAATGAATGGGATTTTTCAGGCTCCACTCAAGGCATTGGACCAACAGCATAGCATGTATGGATTAGACATTGTCATTTTATGTGCATTGCCTGTTCTCTTATAGCGAGATTTGTACATTAGATGGTTATTTACAAACATCAGCACTATGGTTAATATCTTTCGTTCATAATGGCTCATATTTTTCGCTTGTTTACTGCTCATTGTGGTTCTTAATAGTTGTGTGATGAAAGCCGGGGTGGAAGGTGACGGGAAACGACAGCCTTTGACGGCAAACCATGAGGTACATCTCCCCATCATACCAATCTTTCATGGTTTAGATACGCGGTACTTTTGTCATTATCTTTAGTCGTTCGAAAAATTTATTTTACAGTTTATCCTGCGAATCATTTTGAATAGTCCTAAAGGCATTTTTGAGATGTGTATAACACTTTATATGGGCTTTTAATTAATCGACATATTAAAATCTTCTTGATAATGGTTATAATGGTAAATATATTTATATCCACAAATACGTACTATATGGCAATCCAGTTGTAGGGCATGAATGCATGCTGAGTGGCATGCTTGTTTAACCCAGCTAGAAGCTTTTCAAAGATCGGTTTTCAAAGAGGACAGGAAATGATTGTTTACTCGAAGACACTACCACAAGTAAAGTAACTTGGGAATTCCTACTGCTATATGCTATGTCTCGACATCAAAAGATAATGTACATAAGAACTGGTCCTTCATAAAGAGGACATCGTGACTGCTCTGAAGGACACCCACGAGATCTTGCGGCTCCTCCGTGGGTTGCAGAGTGCAAGAAAAGGATCTGTACTGAGAGAATTTCCATCCAGATTTTTATGACATCGTTGTATTCTTTTGATGATATCCTGCATGAGAATACTCTTCCCCATGGACCCTCGCTGAACAATTATATCTGATCTATCAAACTATGCAAAACTCTTAAACACACCTAGAAGCTCCCAGGTTCTCTGAGTTGTCGATGTTTCTCATACTCTGGCATTTACTGTAGCCACATGTCAATGGTGACCATGGCATTCTTGGCAGTTATTCATCCGCATGACTCGGACAGTAGTTGTACCGTTCGCCAAGATATCAAGGGTTTCAGCGTGGAGTTTTTAGAGTCAGCTAGCATTAAGGGAACAGATGGATAGAAGGAGCATAATTCAAGTGTAGCTATGGGTTCAGATGCTGAAGCTAATAGAAGGTAAGATGAATGGATTCATGCATCTTGTTATTTCATGGCACGGAGAGATTGTGAAAGTTCAATGACGGTGAAGGGTAAAATTAAGAGCTGAAAATGTTAGATGCGAGCACAAATAATGTCATTGAAATAATAAAATCTTGGTTCAGTCGAGCCAAAATCACTCATTATTTTTTCCTATGCTTAATCAAGCCCAATATGTTCATGAAATCCCCAATCGTTTCCATCAAACTAGTCCCATCTTCTCTCTTGGCCACCTCATATACAAGCCCCATCTCGAATCCTCCTCTAACTCTTCTCCGATCGTCTCCACCAAGTCTCTCGCCCAATTCCTCGCCCACCAATTATACCCCACCCCTCTATCTTGTCCTATCGCCCAATAAGCGACTAATACCAACGCAATCGGCTCCCTTTCTTTTACGCATTGAATGTATGCTGGTGGTGCCGTCCCAGGCCAAACTCTTCCGGGAAATTGCTGTGTTCTTCTCAAATTTTGCCGAACTTTAAAGGATATATCGTTATACAAGTCTCGGAGATGTGAGTCTTTTAGCTTCTCAATTTCTTGACATTGTAATTGTTCAAGATACTCTTCACCTTCTGCTGGAGTATTGGCTACATCAGCTCTCATTACTTTTTGTCGGAGATGTACGCTAAGATTGGAATCAAGGCTTTTCATCCAACCCATCCTGTATATAGCCACAGTTCCATTAAACAAACTGAATATTATAGGTAGATAATCCAGTAATCTCTCACTAGGTCGATTTGGTCCGGCCTGCGCTACTGTGACCGCATAGAGGGAACTTATCAGCAAGCCTGAAAATCCCAAGGCAGCTTCACAATTTGAAGCTGTGAGATTTTCCAGCACCGGCCTGAATTCTGTCATGCCTGCATTTTGATATTTCAACGCTTTGATTATATGCATCGAGCGATTCTGGGGCTGCAAAACAGCTAGATGTAATGCAGCAAATGAAAGCATTCCGTTGTATACGAACCCGTGGGTTGAAGCGTTGCGTCGAACTGCTCCTTCCCATTTACTTTGATCCGGACGATTGAATGCTGATGTCATGGGTCTAGCAGTGACATTGACATAATGATGAAGAAGAGCATCTTCTTCTGTGTGAAAACCGAATAGAATTCGTGCTTGACTGCTGTGGAGGGGGTTTTGATTTTGAGGTGGATTGCGTCGGGAAGATGATCTTATGAGAGGCGGTTTATGATTCTGTGTTTTAGATACCGGCGGTGGTCGTAGCTCAAAACTATGTTGACCAGGTGCTTGACTGATGACGGAATTATACGTGCACTCTCTTTTGTATGCTTTACATCTAGAACAGACAGGCTGACGCTCATCACACTAAAGTTGAAATTAGCACGATAATTGAGAAGTTGTGAGCCGTGATCTGACTGACAACCCTAACAATATTTCGGGATGCAGGGAAAAATTTACCTTAACTCTTCGGAGTTTGCATTGGCTGCAACCGTGATGTGATTTGATGTGTGATCTTCTTGAAGGCATCGTGGATAGACTCCTACAGGTGGCTGAGTGAGATCACTGCGATCAAATAATTCCACAACATCCAAAGGAGTGTGTCTAATTATTCAATTTTTGTGTCGGATGTCGTCGGCCGGTATAATATTCAAATCACTTGAACTTGAACCAGTCAGTCACTCGAATCATTCAAATTCATTTGTGGCTGACTATATTTGGATTATAGTAAGTGATAAGAAGCAGAGCGGCGCATAGATTTTACCTCCGGAAACAGCGGTTCTGACCCCGCTTCGTAATCATTTCCCCCTGTCATCGTCGCTCATTCGAGGATTTAGGTCACATTGCGAGAGGTACCTTGTCAACTTCAATCGCTGAGAACGTGGATTTCCATCCCATCTTAATGCTCTTGGAGCATTGACCCAAAGATGCTGAAATTTGTGAGTTTAAGGTATGTCATGAATGACCTGATGCTCCGAGATATAAAATATTTCATATTTGCCTAACTCTCAAGTCCTCCTCCGGCTTTCCGGCTTTCCCTCCTGTCCCAAAATCCTCGCTAGTTTCTTGCGCACGATTCCAATCTTGTAGTGAAAATTCTCTGCACTCCAAATGTCCGAATGGCGACTTCTCGCAATACGTTTTTTTTTTGGCATTTGTCAAGCTGTCTTTACAGACTAACGTAGCATTCCTTCTTGGCTGCTGCGCCTTTTCCAAATCGCTGGGTTTCCATCTCTTGAGCGTGTTCGGCAGTTTTTGTTTCAGTCACCGATTGCGAGATCCTTTGCCATCTTATTACAATTCCCATACATTTTCATCTGGTGTCACAACCATATACTAATGTGGCTTATTATGACGAAGCCAGGTCGAGAACCTTCGGAAAATAACCATGAAATGACATTAGTTTAGAGTTGAAGAGATGAAAGTACATCCCGCTAACCCCTAACCCTCGTGGGTCCCTAGTAACATGCCTGGTATTTTGTACTTGAAGTGGAAACATGTTGACTGGGGTGTTCATTGATTTGCAGGGGCAGGTCACCTGAATGCATCAATAGATCAATGCTTGAACTCGCAATGAATGAGTATGTCTCAAGGGTACAAGTTTGTCAAAGAGCGAAAAGGCCGAGATGAATTCATTCCATCATGCTCCCTCAATTATGCGCAAGGTACCGAATACCCGGATGCACAATCAACAATGAGATGCTTTGAGTTGTGGAATTGTATTGAAATATTAAATGGCTGTAAACTTTCTATAACTTCTGGAATATTGACTTAAAAAAGAAATATCAGATAATTTGAAGTGATGAATTATATTCAAGTATTTAGAAACTTTCAAATGTTAAAATTTCACATCTTAATCCACTAGTTTGAACTATTGATCTATATTGTTTAGAGATACTTATCTCCCCACAGACATCCTGGTCACAAATATTGTTTGCTTGCCCAGAAATTTTCTCCAAATGCGGAGTAGCATGGAGGATGTGCAAAGCGTCTAGCTTGAATTGGCCTTATGCATGTGCACTCCTGGGAAAACATGCCGCCAGGCATTTCGTTTCGACTTTCCATTTACATAACACTTATCTATGTGCCGCAATTTTCCTAGACGCAGAATTAGAGTAAACAAGCATAATATAAGCATCTTCTTAGGATTCAGGGCACGCAACTTTTCATCTGTTCCATACATAGCACTAGTCCTCTTCATTGCATCATCAAATACCGAGCCTCATCCTTATTTCACCAAATCTTCGTAGGCTTCCGAGAATTCTAACCTTACAAGAGACTAACGTATAATTTTCCCAGCCCCAAGAGTCTCTGAGACGACATTCATTTTTCGAGGCCATCGCAATTGCCTTGTGAAACAACATGACATTGAATTCGGCTTGATTGTCGGGTCTGATTCTATCAAAATTACATTCAATACGATGCACAGTTCCCGTTGACGTAAAACGGAAGAAATCATACCTCAAGTTCAGAACGCAAAAATCTGATCAGGGGACAGAATTGGAGGTGGATGGCATCGAACAATTCCTTGATGACTCTGCATTCTTCAGTAATCTTCGGGTTCAGATTGTCGTTTGGCATATCTACATTGCTGGTTGCCTGATGTTTTACTAGTATTCAGGAAGACGGTCACTACCGTTTCGATGATCATATCTTGGGATCTAGCATGCCCGCGCTAGCTCTTCACTTGCCTTGGAAGGTATCATGTTCACAGCTCATCGTTCTTCCTGCTTTCCTTGATTTCTGCGACCCTTCCCATGTCGCTTAAACCCCTCTTAACAATACTCGTCAACATCTCAAAAATTATCTGCGACGCACTGAGTGCCGTTTCCTCTCCCGCTCCATCATAACTTGGACTAACCTCCACCACATCCTACGAGATGTTGGAGTCAGTACTCGTGAACAAAAGAGTCTCTCAAAGTTGAGAGACGCAAAAATGAAACAATAAAACTGCGCTGGAGATTGTAGCATATGAAAGGAAATATGAAAGGATCAACAATACTTACCGCACCCACAACATTTAATCCCTCAATTCCCCTCAGTATTCTGATTAGCTCCCTCATTGTCCAGCCACCGGGCTCAGGCGTGCCTGTTCCTGGCGCCACGCCTGGATCCAGAACATCGATATCAATACTAAGATAAACCGGAACCTCAGTTCCAATTCTTTCCATAATCTTCTTAACCACACCTTGAGGTCTAAGGTCATCAATATCATCCGCCGAGATCCTCAGAAAACCTTGTCTATCATCATCTTCATAATCCTCAAAATCGTTACCACTTAATCTGGTCCTTAACCCTGCGTGAACACTGCTACCATTTATGATTAGACCTTCATTTGAAGCGAGCCAAAACATACTCCCGTGATTAAATTGCGCTTGCTCACTTGCCCATGGATCTGGATATTTGGCTGGATGCCAGGTATCGAGATGAGCGTCGAAATGTAGGACGGCGATTGGTTGATTGTATACTTTTTGGAGAGCTCTGAGTGCTGCTAGGGCTATACTATGGTCACCTCCTAGGGAAATGATCTTTGGGTGGATGAGAGATGAGGAAACGGGCTTTCGGTTGAGTAGTTCGGTGTAGGCTGCTGTCATTTGTTCTAATGCAACAGCGTTACTCAGGGGTGTGACGGGTATATCCCCACAATCGATAATGCGAGCGAACGATGTGTATGGGTTTATACCAGCTCGTGTATTGACTGACCCCGTGAGGTTAGCTTTATGCTTTCCGAGAAAGGGGCATCATCAGTGCCAATGACGGCTTAAAGTCCTACATCCTCTAAAGCTAGTTTGTCTAGCGCTCGCTGATCGAATAGCCTTGGGCCCAAATCTTGCCCCAGGTCGATAGCTAACTGCAGTGTCAAATGGCACACCTAAGATTCCTATATCGAAAAGTTCATCGGGAGTAGTGAGACATTTCTTGTATTCCAGATGAGCAAATGTTGAGATTCCTGAGAATGACCACTGTACGCAGGGTTTTGTTCGTCAGTCTGTAGCAGTCTCATAGTTTTTACGGTGATGAATAGGCATGGACAAATGAAGATTTGTGTATGAGAAATGAATGCACTCGCATCTCCTACTTCCCATGTTTCTCTCAAAATAAATGGAAGACTCAGTCAAGAAAGTACTAATCGCGTCGATTTCGTTACAGAAATATGTCTTTTGATTCCTTTTGCTCCACGCTAGAACGCCATTCACGGGCGATAATTGGGGAAGTCCGGTCCTACTAACGTGCCACGGGTTATGTATCCATTCATCACATCCCGATGCCTCAGATCGAATCCCAAAGGCTAGAAGGTGACCCAGATATCGTCATCATTCATCATCATTTATCGACTGTACCTCATGATTCCACAACCTGTGCATCTATCTGCTCCTACCACCAACAAGCAAAAGTCCACTAACCTCAAAACCCCAAAGTCTCTCCAATTCTTGCTTTCTTTCGTCGTCCAAACTTCGATCAACCTCTTCAAGTCTCAATCCATCAACATCCAAATGTTGCTGCGCCATTTCATCTTTATGGTGATGGCTATGGCCCACCACAAAATTTGATGAGAAAACCCCACATGTTGCCAGTAATGACAGGCAGTTGAAGATGGGAAACTTCATCTCTTTTCTTCCTAGGTTCTTGTATCTATAGGGAAATATTGAATGAGGCAGACGACAAAGAAAAATTGGGATGGATGAGTGGTTGGGTTGATAGATTTAGAGAGAGTTGAAATAACCTTATCACCCATATCCCTTTTTAGATAAGTACGGCCTTCCCAGTTATTTTGGTAATGGTGACTTTGATAAGCTCCTGCCTGCCTTTGTCATTCATAGATGCGTATGGAGATTGGAGATTAGAGACTGTTACATAAGCACAATGCACAATGTTTCCCGCGGTAAGTAGTCTGCTGTATATCAAGTACGTACGACTGTGGGTCTATTATATACTATAAGATAACCCTCTTCATATGTATACGATAGAGAAACCTTTCACCCGATTACACCATTACACCCCCACTAATATCGGTAAGGTTACGTCGACCTATCAATCCTCTCTATCTTTAACTTTAAAAGTCGAGACCTTTCATTATAGTACTGTATTTGAACTAATAAACTCATGGCCAATTCCATGACTGATAAAGCATAAGCTCTCGGGCATACATTTCACACAGTTACATGATTGACTCAAATCCATTCACATCAAAAAAGTTACGGGCAGTCGCCAGCTCGCGCAGAAAGGGATAGTGCCATCATTCGTTATTAACGCCATGTCTTTCTCTTGAATATCGATATCAAACTCGAGAGACATACATCTACCCCTTCTTGGCACGCGACGCCACCAACGCTCCGCCGCCGTGTTCTCTAACAGCTCAGGCGATAAAGATCTCGAGCCAGATCACGCTTTCAAGCTCACCACTTAGACATCTACTTCACCATGGTATTCGTCAAAAGACCAAAAAAAAAATCTGTATATTGCATTCCGGCCCCCACGGTTTACCTAAAAAACATCTTAACCCGCAATATGGAAAAAAAGAGGTAATCAAAGTAGGGTCGCTGGGAATCGATTCTTGGCATCAAAGTAACAAGGAGGATTGTAAATAGAAAAAAAGAAGCCTTCGTGTGGCATGCCATTTCTCTACCTACCCTTCCCACAAACCTCAAAGTCCTACTCCAGAAAATTGATTGAGAACTTTAATACTCCGAACTCTGTTCATCAAATGCGATTTCCCTTGATGTAGAAGCACCTCGTCATCTATTGAGTATATTTGCTGCCCCCTCCAAACAATTTCCCAGCGCTGTGAAATAACGGATCAAACCCTCCTGCCGAAACGGGGTACAGAAAAATGATGATTATCCGCGTAGTTTCGGTGATGTGTCGATATGTAACGTAACTTTCGGAGCAACTCGCTCAACTGTAGATCAACCCTAGAACTCTCCGGATTCATATGATTGTCAAACACGATATGGACAGCGAGAGGCGAGAAAGTAGTGGTGGCGGTTGAAGAACGGTGCGAAAGGAGATGAGGGCAGAAAGTTAATTGTTGGGTATTATTAGAACAATTAAATTAAAGAATTAAGCATCGATGTTGTTTCTTCTTTGGCGCAGGAGGTTCTAATGCCGCAACAATGGCCTACTCAAGATTAGCATTTCCCCTCCTCTCATGCATGTATCGTATCTTGGCAGACACTGCGGTGCATCTTAAATGAAGAATTCATACCTCATCGAAGACATCCTTCAGCTTGTATTGAGTCAGAGCACTACACTCGACGTATTTGACAGCCCCCAAATCCTTAGCCATTCTTTCACCATCACTCTTCTCAACCGGCTTCATCTTTTGTTTGGTAAGCTTTTCCTTCACACTAACATCATCTCTTAAATCGGTTTGTGTGCCCACGATTAAACAAGGTACACCAGGGCAGTGATGATGAACCTCTGGGAACCATTTCTCGCGTACGTTCTCGAATGATGCGGGGGAAGTAACAGAGAAGCAAACGAGGAAGACATCGGTTTGTGGATATGAGAGGGGTCGAAGCCTGTCATAATCCTCTTGCCCGGCAGTATCGAATAGACCGAGGGTATATGGTTCATCGCCGATCCTAACAAATGATAATCAGAACACTGTTCCCAAATTGTATGTTACTTCGCGGAGATGGAAGATGCCAGCAGGTAAATGTCGGTGTAAATCCAAACTCACATAACTGTAACGGCATAGTTATCGAAAACTGTAGGGACATATTCGGAAGGGAATTTATTGGTAGTATAGGATATGAGTAAACAAGTCTTTCCCACGGCACCATCACCGACGACGACGCATCTGTAAATTGATATCATAGGTTAGCTATGAAATGACTGAAGCAAGTAATTCTCCGAAATCACTATCTCATCCATGCCACAGCAGCAGCTTTCTGAAGGAGGTACTAACTTTATCGTTGCGACAACCATTGTTCCGATTGTCTCTATTTCCCTCGTCCTTTCAAAAACACTTTTACCACTTAACAAATATGGTCCTATCGGTGGTTTGTATCGACTTGCGCTCGGTCTTGAAGGATTGATTGATTATTTGTGAAGGGTTGAAGAGTTGAAAGATAGTAAGATTAGGTATCGTATGCAAAATGACGTTTGAGTAGAAATGGGATGTCGGATTGAAAAAGAGGTTGTGTGTATGTGTGTATGTTTGTATGCGTGTATAGGTGGATGTGTGGATGTGTGCGAAGTGGGTGTGTGTGTGTGCGAAGTGGGTGTGTGTGTGTGAAGTGGATGATTTGAATGATTGAATTGAATTGAATTGAATGATTGAAAGAAGGGGTGAGGTGAAGTGAGGTGAGGTGAGGTGAGGTGAGGTTAGGTGAGGTTGAGGTCAGGTTGAACACACGAATAACCCGGGACAAGTAGATTGAGTAGCAGCCAGTTAATGCAATATGAGCAAACGATTTCCAATCTTTTTTTGAATCTGAGGTCTGAGTTATCAGGCAGAAAGCCGACAATGGAGATGGATGGATGGGGACGGGGGATGGGGGGGGGGGGACAAATTCGACCTTTTTTCCCTGAATTGATTCGAACTCCTTATTTTCCCTTTCTTATTGATTTTCAACGTCGTTCTATGGTTCGCGTATTTTATTCTGGAGGATTCAGTGGTTTCGGCGCTGCAAGTAGGGTGGTTCGTGCCCTTTTATTTATCTATTTTGTGCTGTGCTGTGCTGTGCTAGGTATGTGCTGTGTAGTGTTGTATTGTGTTGTGCTGTAATAAAAATACACTGTGTAATGTGAAATTAATGGTTGAATAAAGGTTGGCTTGTTCTGGTGTTTATGATGAGCTGGTGGAATAATGAAATGATGTTTAGTAATATGTATTAAATGATTTTTCTTTTCCTTTTTATTTTTATCCTTTCTTCTTCTTAAACTGTGTTGAGGGTTGTATCAGAGTGAAGTCCTAGGCAGGTAGGTGCACGAGGGAAGAAAGATATTATATGATTATTCGCTTGGGAAAGATGAATAGATAGCATCCAGCACTCATCTAGCCTAGCACCTCTAGCCTCTACCCTAACCTCCTTCTAACCTCTAACCCTAACCTTCAACGTAAAAAAGATAAGGCAACGCAAAGGAATTAGAGGCAGAGGCAGAGAGAGGCAGACAGAGGCAGAGGCAGAGAGAGGCAGCAGGGTATGGAGGAAGGACAAGCCTAGACTCAAATTGCTCAATACATAAAAGTAGAAACGTAGGGCGGAATACTCATTACTGTACTACTAATGCTCCTTGCCAATCACATCACAGCACCTTTACACTTTGTGCAACCAACAGCTCAAGAACAATGCAATGCAATGCAATGCAATCAAAATACAATGCCTACAATACTACCCAACTAATTCAAATTGAGCATATGGACACGCCTTATTCATCCATCTGGAGTCAATCCCATCAAATTGGATGGTACTTTTGCTTCGAGTCAATGATGGATGCCGGTACTCTGTCGATTGCAATAGAAAGGAAGTCTAGGGTCGTGGTAGGGATTGAAAGGGAAAGAAGGGCTTTCGAGTATGAAAATTTAATTAAAATTGAGGGAAATTGGTATAGTATTAAGAGCGACTGAGATTGATATAGGTAGGGTAGGGACAGCACTGTAACCTCAAACACAATCGAATTTTATAAACTTGACGATTAGGGTGCTGACTTTCATATACTTTATAGGTTACTGAGTACATACTGAATCTGCCCGTCCAGTGGTGAGTGTTGGATATGGCAGAAAGTTGAGATCAAGAAAAAAGAAAAAAGAGTCGATAATGTTAAAGGTAGCAACCATTATTGATTCCAAGATGATCAGACACGGATTCGGTATAGCTACAATATTCACAATCACAAATGACAAGACATATCTATCATCTTACTTTCTACCATATCCATATGCGCCACATCAGATATCACCCAGTTGTGAGGTTACGATACGACACCTTGAATGATCAGAATCATTCATTTGATTATGAACAATTCAAGATATGTTGGAAATGTTTGATTTGTCAAATTGGAATTGAGGCTTTTCACTCTGAATTTGAAAAGTAGTAGATGATGATAATTTACATTTACATTTACCACCTCAACCTCTTGATTGAATCAACATCTTCATTTCTTCCCTTCGACTTTCTTCATAACTGACAGTCGAATTGATTACCTGCTTACTTTCCCCGGTACTCCGTACTTGGATATTCTCCACCTTCCACAAGTTTTCTTTCCTCCCTTCCATGATCCTTGATAACCTTGGACTACTAGTTCACCAGTTCATGTGATTTACGGAGGAAGACGATGAATTGACTACGGGGACGAGTCACGAGACAACCACAAATTCCCCACTCCACTTTTGTCAGATCCATCCACCACAGCTCAACTCTACCAAAGCTCTCCTTATTAATGAACATTGAACTTCAATTACACTACCTCCACATCCCTAGGGTTCAAAACAATCATCCCATTCTCCATTTCCCACTCGAGTCAGAAGCAAATATTGAAAGCTTGGGCGGGTTCAACGGGCGGAACTCTATGGTGATTGTACCGAGTAATTACAACTTGACAAGGAACGACAGAACCAGCAATAGCATCTTATCCTTACCTGCCCCCTTCATTGGCGCCCAATTCACGAAGCTCACCAACCAATTTCATCAATAATTTTACTCCATCATGTCTATCTCTACTGTCCAAGAACTTACCTCGGAAATTGATCGACTGCTAGAACAGTACCTCCATCTTCTGGATCAATACAGTTCTCTAAGGTCTGAGCTCTCCTCATTATCCTCATCCGTTAGTCTAATCTCTCCTTCACCTCCACTGTTAATTATCCCTCTACTCTGACACCTCATGATGGATGCAATGATCCGTATGTCAAAACAAAATTTTAAGCATGCACGGTATTGAGCCAAGCCTGAAGGATCATTCAATCGTCGAATCTGAATGAAACATTGCAGAGTGTGTTGCAGAGTCCTTTGAGGCAAAGAAATCCTTTGATATTACAATTTATTTCCGTCTATCCACTGCGTGCCCCTCACCCCTCATTTGCTATTTGTACAGCCCTGTGTGTCTCTTCATGCCCAGGATATCATCGGGAATTCTAGTTTACTGTGTACGTATACTAACACAAATGACAATAGATGTACATCAACCTATCCCGAGCAAACTTCATGCCGCAGAATGGAATTCGTTATGACACATCATTCTATCATGACCGTATCCAAGCACAAAGGTTATGCACTGTAACGATCCCCGAAAACGCCTCGAATACACAATCCGTAAAATTAACCGCTCCTGCTCTATTCGCCATCAATGAAACTTCCTCTTCGAAATCAGAATCCGATCTTTCGAAAAACGATACAAACGGCGAAGACACGAAAACGGTGTTCAAGAAGGATCCACTGAGGATGTTCGGACTTTTCACCCCGCAGGCTTTGAAGAATACACAAGGAGATAGTATCAAGATGATGGATGTCATTCCGAAATTGGTCACTACCGAGAAAGCCATGGAAGACCTCGAAATTCGCATCAGAAGGGCCAGGAAATATCGAGGAAAGGCAGAAATGGAGGAAAAGAAGAATTCACCAGCCGAAACTCATAGGGAAACCATCAATCCTGTGTGAAGTCTACAGTGCTGCAGTACGACATCATATACTCGGCGATCAGATAATACCATACATATGTGGGAAATAGATGATGCGCAGTATACCTATCTACCTTCACGCGCATCTCTGTGCAGGGAACGAATATGGGAATAAAGGACATGCATGGATTTTTGAATATGCTAGAATAGGTGGACGAAATATGTTGTGTTCGTGTTCGGATGATGTGCAGATCTTGTTGCAAGTGGCTTGAAAGAAGGGATGAGAATTTTGACTTATGCTTATGAGCTGTCCGTACTTTACGCCGGGCGGCCAGTGGCGCAGTATATTATTTTCCAAGCATCTTGAGCTTCGATACCTTGAAGCTTCTCAGTACTTCGCAGACATCCGAGTTCCCACCTCAAAATTGGAAATGTCCAGTTCTAGTCAATGACACTTTCCGCTTACATTCTTTGCCAAGAAAATTCTCCCTTCAGCTACACCGGCTATTCCGGAATCAAATCCGGCACTATGTATGCCTCCGTAATTCCAGCCAGCTCCCCAATTAAGGTACCGGGTATCAAGCCAAAAACGGCACGAAAAGCGGATAAGACCATGTCTTGAATGGGACATCACGACATGGCCATACGGGCGGAAAGCCTGGAAAAGAAAGTTGTCAGAATGACCACGTGGCTTGGCAGATGTTGTGATACATGTGGCTTGCAGGACAATGGATTATTTCTGGGCCAAAAGGATGTATCATGAGACGAGACGGCGAGAATATGGGTTGCAGGAGGGTGCTCGTCATATATGAATGCATGTACAGGTGGCATTGTTCAAACAATGATGGAATGGATGTATTTATGTGTGTATCATCTTCCTTCACTGGTAATGGGATAAGATTTGTTTCATTCCTCAAACATGGAGTGGCTTGAGAGTAAGTCTCGTTACCTATATCCGTACACTCTTTTCGGAATGGATAGTTCCAATGTGAGTTGAGGCAATAATGCTGGTTCGAAAGGCCATTGTGTGATGATCGCATGGCGATGATAACGTATGCAATATGAGGATCTACCTTATACCCTCTCCATTTCATTCTTTTATCTTCATTTTAATACTTGATACTCCAAAGGGAAAAGTTGCAAAAAAAAAAAAAAGATGAGTTTGGTTAGAAGAAGGATGGGTCTATATGGTATCGCTTTCCGGACTTTCCACATAATCCATTACATGGCTCCCTACTCTTGATTACCTGAAGAGGAACGAATATAGTTGTCTTTAAAAGCTTCCCCACAGCTTCAAGTTCTAAGTTTACACTTACATCTTTGCTATTAGAATACGTTCTAAAATTTTCTCGGTGGCCTTGGGGTGAGAAGGGAGAGATTGAATAGTTGAGGTCTGATGGATGGGGTTAAATTAGACATCGTCAATGTATGAGTACCAGTGAGTGGTTCACTTTATTATTATTTTCTCAGACAAATAATTAACATATAATACTTTTATCATAGAAAGGTTTCCCAGTTAATTTTCCCGAGTTGAGATAATATAATATAATGTTTTTTCTTTGGATTTGCTTATGTATTAAAACTATTAAAACTATAAAATTAAAGTATATATAATAAATAATTATTATTATAATATTTATAAAAAGTGAAATGATTTTTATTACAGGTTATTTTATTCAAAATTACAGTAGACCCGCGGGCCCTGATACAAACGATTACTTTATATTTATAAATAAATGAAAATTATAGATATTGATTCTTGTTATTTTTAATAGGGAAAAGTGATCTAAAAGAGGGTTAGTATGAAAGTAAAGTATTAAGCTTGATAATTTTTAGGGGTCTATGTGACGGAAATCCCTGCTTTCCTCCCACCCTTATTATATAAGAAACCTCAGGTACATTAACCATGTCCACACATGATACGATTACTCGAGATTAGTATACGATTTAGGTGACCTGAGGATCAGATCCGGACAAGTACTAGGTATCAATGGTTATCGGTAAAGTAAGATCATTGGAGGAATAAATATAACTTCTTTTTGCCTGGCCATTGCGGCTAGGCCATTCATTTGTGTATATATAGAGTAGCTATCCCCATCTACAGGTGCTCTTCACCTGTAGATTCTAAGTTAAATACAATTGCTGGTCTATAAACACCCTTTTGGTCACAGTCTATTTAAATATTCACTTCATCAGTATATTATCAATGGATTATCTATCAAAGCTATTATCAGCTTGCAGGTGTCGGTTGCGCAGCCCTATTGTTGATTATCCGAGGAGAATGAGTGGTCTAATTTTACCTGTTATGGCAAGCACTATATATATACGTGCACAACTCCTCCAGACCCTCAACTGCCACTCGCTTACTCGCATACTCCTATACTCCTGTCGCCAACGCTACTTTTGAGTATTTACTCGAAATGGTGGAAATTGCAGCAAGGGCATTGAGTCCTGACTTCATTACAGCTTACACCAGGTAAAACATCCAAAGCGTGTTTAAGTGAAGATTAAACAATTGGTGCTTCCAAGCACGATGAATGTTCTCACGGCCAGCAGAAAGTCGGTACTATCTCTCAAACTTCCTTGTACTTGCCAGAATACATCAAAAATATGAGAGGTTCAAACAAAGTCGTAATAAGAAAAAGCTCTGGGTGCGATATACGAATCACAGTTCACGACTTCTGGCAAGTTCCAGAATTGCTAAAGGAGATCAGTAGCAAATTATTGCCACATGCGCTACGATCATCCCCGCCTCTAATGATTGATCTTTGCCAGTCGCCAGTCCAACTCGGCGGGCGATCCTTTTTATTCAAAAATCATTTGGGGCGATCCGTTCGTTATTCTGTGTGCCCAGAATCTATATCTTTGATTTCGAAGGGGAGATTGAGGGAAGTTGTTATTTTGATACCAAGCCAAATCAATTTTTCAAATCGACCTTGCAATAGTTGAGGTGATTGATGTATGGTGAGTTGGCACAATTCATCAATGCTGCTTTGTGGTAGCTACTGGCCATCACGTAATGGCCTGCATTGACCTCCAAGCAGCACTAAATCTCGTAAGCAAAGACCCTAACCTCCGTTTAAGTTCCGTGCTACACCTACTTCCATTTACTCACTTTCTTATCTCTCGTGCATTTAGTTAATACTGCGTGTTCTGTTGTTCTTTATACATTCGCCCGTCTTCTATAATCTACAAAGTTCGTGGTCAAGCAGCCATACATTTCACTAACTGTCGAGCCACCATGGCCAATCCTCCTTCAAATGCAGAAGTTAGAAACTCCGAGCCCTCCGAAATACCAGTCACAGAGCAGAGAGAGCTTGAGCAGTACGCTGTGAGTTCCAGCTATTCCAAGTTTGTGACTCAAGAGCTTATGGAATTCTGTCGTGCAGTGCGACCATTGTAAACGGAGAAAGGTTGGTCCTACCACCAAACATCATTCTTGAGAAATTTAAATCTGATCCCTTTTAGCTCAAATGCTCCCGAGAGAAACCGAAATGTTTAAATTGTCGGGGATGGTCGGGTCCATGCACTTACTCCCGCCGTGGGAGAATACCAAGACGAGCACGGATGAAGTAAGTCCGAGGTCACCACATTCATTGCCGTATCACTGACGAGTAGCGAAAGCATCATACGAGACGGTGACCAAAATATTATAGATCGGAATCGCCCAGATGTTCTTGAATGCAATGGTCATGCTTTGATCATCGATCAGGACCCCGCTTCTTTGAGGTCATCAAAAGATGATGGCGACAAGAACATCATGATTGATTCAAGTCGTCCTGTTGCATCGCAATCTAGTGGCGAGAAAGGCGAATGTCTTCCTGACGATTCTTCCACACCATCGTTACTAAGCCAAGCAAAAAATAGCATCACGACAGCTGAAATAAAGTCAACTAACATCGAGCCAGGGCTACAACAAGATGCTGAGAATGGATTGTCATTTCTCACTGCATCATTTTCTGAAGGAAGTTTTGACGACCCTGACATTTATTCAAACGTCAAGCATTTTAGAAGGCAAATGGAAGTATTTTTCATTCCACAAAAATCTGAAGGAGAGCGGATGATACAGAGTAAGATGGTCTTGGTTCTAGTATTTCCATGAATGTTTATCGCTGACACCGACATTGAAAGTTTTCATTGCAGGTATCGAGCGAGGCAAACCATTTTTTACAATGCCTCCACTTGATATTATCCCAAAGCTTGCGTTTGAACCAAAGACAATATCCGAGAGAGCCTGGCTTCTACTATACAATGCATTCCTATCGACCGCAATAGCTTTCATGGAGCCATCCAATGCAAGAGTTAATCGAGGTCTTCAGTGGAACGTGTGGATAATTCTACAGGATTCTTCATTCTTTCTCGAACCATCAGTGATTAGTATTCAAGCCCTATTAATGTTATCCTGTCACTGTCAAGATCTTGTCCCACCGGGATTATGTTGGACACTTATAGGCCATGCTTGTCGAATGGCCCAAAGTCTCAATCTCCATGCTCCGTCCCCAAAATTCCCAAGGAAAAGCGAAGAAAACGATCAAAGAAACTGCCTATTCTGGAATCTATTTATGATTGATAAATCATTATCGCTTGCTTTTGGGAGACCTCCATTTCTATTTAGTCAGCTATATGAGGCGGTCGATCCTCCGGACCCGGCATTTCTTGCGACATTCAGACCTCATCGATCATCAACTTCAGGTATCGGAACTCTACGGCAAAATCAGCTAAGCGATGATTTCGGTGCATTGTATTTTTGTCTGGCACGCGAGCTGTTTGTGTTGCAAGGAAAAATAATAGATGTTGCTCTCATGGTTCATAATGGAGAGTCTGGAACAGAGCAGATTTCGAAAATGAAAAAAAATCTTGGGATTTGGAAGGAAAGTTTGGATCATGTTTGTTCTCTTGCACCGGGATAGGGAAGATGCTTAATTAATATATAAATACAGAAAACGTCAGTATACAACAATTTCCAGGGAGAGCCTAGTGAAATTAAGTCAGTCCAAATGGGCATCAACTTCCTCACATTCCAATATCATCACTCTGTTGTCTACTTGACTCGTAGCTCCAAACAAAATCATGAACTTTGCCTTTTTTCTGCGCGAGTAGCGATCAAGATACTGGAGAAACTCATTTCTACTTCCAGGGAAGTTTTTAATGGTATCACATGGTACGTAATTGTCCGTGTTTTGTGATTGATTTGCCCAATAATTTCATGTTCCCATTAATCTGTCCTAGAGTACCAATCTTCATTTTTCCACCGCTTAGATATTTCCTTCCCATTTTTTTAACACATCATAGGCAACTCCTCTACTATCCATTCATGCCTTACTTTGTTCTCTTCTCTAACATAATCGCTGACCCACATTCGCCAACTTGTTTCGATGACCTCCAATTGCTCCGGGCGGTGGTATACTATTTCTTGAGGATGCATACCCAACATCGCAGTGCTCGGAAGCTCGAACGTATTGCGGAAACTTTTACTAGGTTAGCAGAAAGCTTTGTGAGAGGAAGTATGAATCGAAAATCCTTGGAGAGCAAATCACCGGAAATACCAACTACGCCATCTATTCGACCACTAACTAAAAGTTCACAATTTACTTCTCAGGTTACAAGCGAAATGATCTCGCAAACTTCAAATCAATTTGGAACTTTTCCTGCCAACGATAATATACAGAGTGCAAACACTTACAACCATGATGCGGAAATGGGGGCGAGAAACCTTTCTGACGACCTTGCAGACCCAACCTTACTCAGCTTCCTATCCTATCCGATGGATATACCCATGTCAGGTAATGAGCATTCAGAGGATATATCGGTGCGTGAAATAAACTCGTTCACCGGACAAACCGCAGCAGTAGCAGATCCATTATTTCATCAATTAGACTTTTTATCTACCGAACAGTCTTTAGATGGAAACTTCGACTGGTTTTCATGGGATACTTATGCATGGAGTGCGGGAGGAAATGGAATTTGATTTAATGCCGAATATAATTACTTGACGGCCATCAGCAGTACGAGTATAAATTGAGCTTAAAAAGCTATTTCGCTCAATTACTTCACTTGGAGAAACGCAACCAGCTTCGTAATTTCTAGTCTGTTGATGATTACTATAATTCTACTTTTCATGAAACTACTTAGGAGTTATCAGCATGTCAACTAAGATCCTGTCCACGGAACTTGAGCGAGGTCAAACCGTCGTTGGAAGGTCCATTGATTTATGTGATGTCCCGCGAAAGCTGTTGTCTATGTGTGGTTTGGGTTGCACTCTCTACACTGTCGATAGTTGCCCATTCTCTAGGTTGATGGAAACTTCCATAGATCTTTCTACTTCTTCATATAAGTAATAGTAAGATTCACCTTTTTTACAAGCATTTGCCAATTGAGCAGATAATACATGGTTGCGATTGAAGTCTCGATGCAGTTGATTTAGTTAAAGTTGCTATTCCATCATTATCCATGACTAGAATGTCCATATCCAAAACTTTGGGGCTGACGTCCCCCGGATGACCAGGCGAATTTGATGATTGCACTTTTTTTCTGTAACTTCCGGACGGCTAGAAGGTCAAAATGTTCCAATCCAACTAATGATCAAACTGGGAATGGGAGAACTTCGAGACAACACCTTAAATTCTTTTGGATCCATCCTTTGGGATCGATAGGCAAGTGACTGTTGGTAGTATTTGGAAAGAAATCCTCACCACGGGCTCCGAAGTATCCAAGTCTTTAAAGATAATGTCTTCACGGTTCTGAAGGCATTCTGAACGGCAGTAGTATTGATTGCGTGTCTTGAATTAACCTGACATACACAAGTGGATCTGGAGACTTACCAGATTCGACAAGGCATGACGTATTGTTGTCGCTCGAACTTTCAGGGAGACTGAGACGGTATCGATGAAGAATAATTCAGGAGAGGCTAGTTTTCATTGATGTGTTTATCCTTTGCCATCCATAACCTTTGACGAATCTCCGGAACTTAGCCACCACTTTAATTTTGCGCTAGTTTGACCTCATTGGTTTGATGGAGGCAAGCCTACCAGACCATATTGACTTCGTGTAATAGATTGGTTCGTGTTCCGTGTTTTCCGGCGGTACAATAGACTCGCAGCCGCTTCCACTCATGTATGGAGAACATCGTCTCTCGTCGTCTTTGCATCCTAATTAGGTCCTGTTGGTACTCTGCGTGAGCAGACTTACTTTGGAATGATTATAAGTTAGAGACTAGTCATGTGTGAAGATAAGTTTAGAGCTATTTATCCGTGTAAGTGTAATTATTGATGTTAGTAAAGACCTGGACGTCGTATCGGGAGGAAGAGCTAACAACGCAGAGGTCTTCCACTTTTGTGTATGTGAAATGCATCACTCAATAAGAGGAAAGAAACGAGGGTGAAGGGTAAATATAAAAGAAAACTCACGTTAAGCTATAATTTGTCCGTGCAAATATTCCCTTTGGGGAGCTTTGAATGTTGCGTACTGAGTCGTCTTTGGACGCATACTCTCTCCTCAACAGAGTTTGCGACATTTCACCTTCAATTCCACCCAGAAATTGTTCAATAGTCTGGATGTAGTTTAATTTGACCTCATTAGGCCTTGGTATCTCCGAAAATACTTCAATCATTTTGACCAAGTTTTTGCTTCAAATCAATTTAACACTTTGTCCAACTTTAGTTTTTCAATCAAATTGGATGTGTGAAATGATTTCATATTCAAAGGTCCCTCATTGTTAGACGACTGTCTGGATTATTGGATGCGCTGAATACAAATGGAAAAGACCTTAACTTACCTTTTTACGCCCCTTGATATACCTGACATGAATCAAGAATGTTTAGTATTACCATTTATAAGTAAATCAATGTTTAAACAAATGTCATCGATATACTGCAACGTTTATCCCTTCATCATGTTCAGTGCCATGGAGATCTTATCCAAAATTCATCATCATATGACAGGTCTTTTGACCTTTAAATACCTTGAGAGTCAATTTCAGAATACAAATAGTATATGAGAAACCTTAAGATTTGACGCTATAATTTTGTAGCTTTCTCGTCGCCGATGATACAAATTGAAGGTTGAATTTTACAGTTCCAGCCAAGTGGATTTCCCACCAGAGAAGTTCAATTTACATGTGCTCAACACAATACTTCAATATATTATAGTGGAAATCCTAGTCATACCGAGGAAGAAACATTTCCTGATAAAATTAGTTTGTCTGATTTTAAAAAGCTCAGACTTATGACGTATATCTCAAATACTTCATTTATGGTTTAATACAAGGCTATCTTAATTATAAAAATCATTCCTGTTACTATTAGTGTTTTTGTAATTTATAGAATCGATGGTTAAAATTTTCACTTTATTTTTATTTTTATTTTTATTTTTATTTTTATTTTTATTTTTATTTTTATTTTTATTTTTATTTTTATTTTTATTTTTATTTTTATTTTTATTTTTATTTTTATTTTTATTTTTATTTTTATTTTTATTTTTATTTTTATTTTTATTTTTATTTTTATTTTTATTAACTATATCTTTCTCTATGTGACGGAAAAGTCGTAAACGGAGTCAATTCAATCACTTAGAATCTAAAACTAAAGAACTAAGAAGATTCTAAGTAAGAAGG